TTATAAAATACTTGTTAAGTAATGTCTTAAAGTATAGGAACAATAATTGTATGAGCCAACAACTATTAACATAATGTAGCATAAATCGTATTATCTAAAATAAAAAATTTCTTATAAACATCTTTCTGAAAAGCTCAGATCTATATTTGTGAATTTGTGAGGGTTTTTTTGCAGTCTGTCGACTCGTTACATAATTTTCATCTATTATTAAATCTAAATCAAATTATTTTATAATTTATGAGACTGAACTAAGATAGGTAACTTAATGCCCTGATTTTGTATCAGAGGAGTTTGGGGAAAAAAGTTTGATTAACAAAGTAATTACTTGAAATAAAAAACAACATTAAATCAAACATTTAGATACTTTTTGGGAGAACATGTATTTTTAAATATGCTAAGTCGATAAAAAAAACCCACCCCATCATGCAGGTTCTTTTTGAAATTCTTTTATGTTGTTGCACTTGAATAAAGTATTTACTGTAGAAATGTGATTATTTACAAACAATGATGTTTATTTTATTGATACAGTGCTTGATTGTAATCAAAGTTAACGGCATTTTTTGAATCTCTGCCAGTGAACTATTTTGTTAGATCAATATAAAGTTATTGCCAGAAGATGCACAAAATGTAATTGATATATTATGTATATATAAATTATGCATTAACTAAGTTCAGTCTATATTGTGAACACAGGGCTTTTTTAGCTCGACTATTCGATAAGAATAAGTAGAGCTATTGTAGTCACCCGAGCGTCGGCGTCCGCGTCGGCGTCTGCGTAACCACTTATGTTAAAGTTTTTGTAATAGTTCAAATATTTTCAAAGTCCATTGACATATGGCTTTGAAACTTTGCACACTTGTTCACCATCATGACCCCAACCTGTAGACAGGAGGAGGTAAATGTATCAAGCATTTTGACAGAATTATGCCCCTTTTTCGACTTGGAATTTACGTTAAAGTTTTTGTAATAGTTCAAATATTTTCAAAGTCCATTGACATATGGCTTTGAAACTTTGCACACTTGTTCACCATCATGACCCAACCTGTAGACAGGAGGAGGTAACTCTATCAAGCATTTTGACAGAATTATGCCCCTTTTTCGACTTGGAATTTACGTTAAAGTTTTTGTAATAGTTCAAATATTTTCAAAGTCCATTGACATATGGCTTTGAAACTTTGCACACTTGTTCACCATCATGACCCCAACCTGTAAACAGGAGGAGGTAACTGTATCAAGCATTTTTTTTTACTATCAAGCACTAAGAATAGTCGAGCATTGCTGTCCTACCGACAGCTCTTGTTAGGAGGTTTTAGAGTTTTGATTGGGTTAAAACAGCACTATCATAATTGCATCTAAAGTTCCAGCTTAACTGGTCGTGCAAGATTAGACCTGCAGGCACCTGACACTTAATTATTACTACATTTTTTTATTGTTATGTTGTAAAGGTATATTGAGATTGGCTGGTTTTGAAGAAACAGCAATGCTATTGTTTTGACCCAGGCTGTTTGAACAGTTACACATTTGAAGTAATATGTGGGTGCTGATCTCAATTCAAACTCTACCTGTTTTATGCCCATTTTTAGGTCAATAGATCAAGGTCACTGGTACATAAAATATATAATCAAAGTGCAGTTCATTTATAATTCATGCATCACTAAGAAAAGTGGAGCATGCTCAGATCCTGCAAGAACTCTTGTGGTACTTCAAGGTTTCATTAAATTAAAGTCATAAGAACATACAGCTGTCTGTGAAATGTCTACATTAAGTGCTGCATTTTCTTACAGGAATATCGGTAAAGTGTACATTAAACATTTAAAGATACACCGAATAAAAGTTTTTCAAGCTTTCAGACTGGGATTAATACACAACTTTTAATGCCATCAGTAGACTGTATAGCCCACCCAGCTGTCTTAAAGGCACATAAAGCCTCAAAATGCTATCATCAGCTTTTTCTTTCTTTAGTGTTTTTTTTACAGTTTTTAGGAAGGAAAGTTATACTGACCATTTATCTGAGTAATCATTTGCTTCCTTTGTGTTAAGGTATAGAATTAATTCTTACACTTGATTAAGTATTTTGTATGGAAGTTAAAATACCACTTTGTTTACATTTTGATATACCAGATGTCAAGCACAAAAAGGCACATCTTTTTCTGTTCTGCAGATTGTAAAAATATAGTCATTTGTCTTTAATACAAAATGCTGTCATTTTTGAGGCATGATGTGCCTTTAATACAAAATATATTCATTTCCTGAGGCACAATATGCCTTTAATACAAAATATATTCATTTCCTGAGGCACAATATGCCTTTAATACAAAATATATTCATTTCTGAGGCATAATGTGCCTTTAATACAAAATATATTCATTTCTGAGGCATGCTGTGCCTTGAATACATAGAAGGTGTTTGAATGTTGGTATTTTTAGTCTTCACTCGATTAACAAGTAATTTATTTATGAGTCTGTCTACAGCCTAACACTCAGGAGAGCTACAAATAGTTCCTTGACCAGAATATAAGATAGCTGTTATAGCGTTTGTTGTAATTGCCCTCCCCCTAATTTACATATTACCTTGGAGTTTCATTAATTGTAATTAAAATAGGTTTTTTTTTTCAATGTGTGCTTTGATGGCATAATATATGAGGAACTGTCTGTCAGTAAAATTGATACCTAAGCTTTGTGGTTCTTTTATAGCTTAAAGTTACATTAAATAAATATGTAAAAATATTTTGCCGTCGGCCTAAAAATCAAACATTCTACAGTTTCATTAACCTGTTTAATAGTTTTGTTGTAAATCTCATCAAATATTGTTTATAAATCAGGATTAGGAAACCCCACAGTAACACTTAAGTTCGTATACGAATTTTAACATGCAAATGAAGACAATAATGAGCTCGTGTAATTGCGCTACGTCACAGTTTTATAGTTGCTATCCGGAACACAGCAAATGTGATATTTTCTTGTGCAAACACACTTTAACCGTTTAAGCTTCACGGTGCACTAAACCTGGGGTTCAGTAAAAGTAATCATCTCGTAAAAAGATTAAAATTGTATGAAAACATCCGTTACAATGCGGAAATATACCGTTAAATAACGACTGCTACTTATAGTCATGTTTGTTGATTTAATATCGATGTACGGATGATCCGAAGGCGGAGTGTCTCATGCAAACAAAAATTGTACTTCCCATTTCGCCACAATGAGGTTACCTATTTTAATGCTAATAAAACTCATTCTGGTTGCTTGGACACCAAAATAAGACCTGGGTCGATATAAAACCCAATTTATTAATGTTATGTCGCTATTTAGTTTTTTATGAAAATTATTAAATGTAACTTTAAATAGTAGCACACGTAATGACTGCCTGAAATTATGCACCTATATCTTTAAATATTTCTGGTGTTTCTTTACCATTAAGTTAGAAAGTTGCTATAATACGAATTCAAACTTGAGAAAGCAACAAAAAGCAAAGAAAACCCAGACTGTTTTACTGCAGTAACTGAAAAAAGAATTCAAGCACTTAACTGATTGTATTTAGATTATTCGGAGAAATTGGTGTAATGATCTTAGTGAAATATTGAGATGAAACAGTCTGTACCTTATATATGATATGGTGCATTAACACATGTTTTTGGGGTGTTTATATTTAACAGGTCTTTTGTTCAGGAAATGGTCAAACCTGTGTTCAAGACAACCTTTGAATAAAGATAACCCTGTAAATAAAGGGCCATTTTATGATAATCTTTCCTAGACAAAACCTCTAAACAAAGACCACCTGTCTTTAAAGACCATGTTTTGTCTCTCCATTGGGTGACCTTTGGATCTAGGAATTACTTGAATTTCATGGTATAATTGTCAGTTAACAATTTTACTGATACAATATAAAAGGTATGTTAGATCCTTATTGAATAATTTCTATGTATACAATAAGCATGGTCTTCTGAAATTGACCGTAGGAGATTCGGAGGTCCCATGTAACTTGTGCTTTATGCTTAAGGCATCATGTAACAGAACCAGAGAGCTGTCTTTTGGACATCTGCTATATTCCTGCACTACCTATGTTAGATAAAAACAACTTTTCCAGGTTACTGAAATGCAACAGTAGATAAACTGAAAGAAAGGGAAAAACGGCAAAAAAAGGCAACACAGAAATATATGATGCATATAAATCAATACAGTCGTCATAATAACTATTATTATAAAGAAAAGAAAATATACCTCTTTTTACAAAACATGACTTAATTTAATTTAAACTAATCACTACCTTAAGGGCATAAATTTAGACATAATCTGCTTATATATAGTCAATAGAACTTAAAAAGGCATGATTATTAAATGAAAATTGAATAAAATAAAAATTAAATGTATACCTGAGTCCTTAAATATGACTTTATATTTTCAATGATAGGCATTTCCTATCTAAATAGAAAATGACTTTATTATATTAAATTAAGTCTGTGATTTAAGACATTTTGCAATAACTTTGGATAATAAATTTGCAGGATTTATATGCAACAGGGCATTTGAAAATGGCCATATCAATATTTTATGATGAAAAAATTAGACAATTTAGAAATATATTATTATGACATTATCTGCAAAAGTGTAATGAAACCCCTTTTAAATGATGCATTTTGTTTTGAGAAATGAATTAAACTATGGAAATTAAACATGAATTCAGATTTTAATGGAATATAGTGTATGAATTTAGGATTATAGTGTTTAACTTAAAATGGAATAATTAAAGTGCTGCATCGATACAAGAATATAATGTATGTTCAGTATTTATTATGCTGCTGCCGATAACAGACTTTTTGCTAAATGAACAAAATTTTAATTGAAGGCAAAGTTACAATTTACTGCTGAATGAATTTGAAAAAAAACTTCACATAGCTATTTTTAGAATAATTTTAGCTTATTATAGAACATCAGCTATTTATAGAACAATATTAGCTATTGATAGAACAATATTAGCTATTTATAGGACAACTTGAGCTAATTATAGAAAAACTTTATTAAGATTGTATATAATGGAAAGTCAGAGTCAAGGAGTTCTTATTCTGGAGAAAGTTGCTTGGACATCAGAAAAATGCTTGACCTGCTCAAGGTCAAGTATTGACCATTGTTCTAGGTCAAATATTGACAATTTTTCAAGGTCAAACATTGAACATTGTGCTGCTCTACAAAAATCATGTGACACCAGGAACATTCTGTGCCAGGAACGAAACTCTTATAAGTTTGGGCATCGCTCAAGAAAACAGTCAATATTTGACATATTTTGGGAGAAGTTTAATGCACCTTTGCACCCATGTGAAGCAGGCGGCCATCTTGGCAGACATCTTGTGACAGGGAATTCACATCACTATGACAACCATTTTGAAAATATGAAAAAACCTTGGGGCATACCAATTGGGTGCTATAACGTTTATATGTAAGTGTCTAATTAGCTTAGAAATATTATATACTTTTGCTATACTTGGATCCTTTTGCAAATTGCTGCAAATCTAAGGCTCTCCATTGATAATTTTTCAATGGTGCCTTAAGTTTGCCAGAAATTATTATCTAGAGATTGTTGGCCAGATTATAACTACTTTTCTTACCCACAACTGGCTTTAATATCAACCTTTTTGCTACTTTATTGAATTCTTATAATAAAGCATTGAATTTGAATTAAACCTTCAAACTTTGGTAATTGAGTTCAAAAGTTGATTTTATAGACTTACATTTTCTATGAATAGTTATTTTGCTACTTTATCGAATTTTTATAGTAATGTGTTGGCTTTGAACCTACAACCTTTGGAAATTGAGTCCAAAAATTCAATTTTCTATGAATGCTCACTGTATATTTTGTCAGAAGTAGATTTTTAATCTCTTATACTTCTTATGAGTCAGTTTTAAAATGAAGAATCTTCTGAGAAAAATACCATTCTCTGATTTCTAACAACAGTGTTTTAAGCATATATAAATGCTATCTTTTCCACTGTCCCAGACATAATATTACAACTATTATCATTAATGAATAACATGAACCCCTAAATGTAAACAAATCTTACTCTTGTATTGGAACAGCATGTCATAGTGGTAGACAATATCATTTAACTGTCCTACGGATGTCTTTGAAGTTTATTGATGTTTATTTATCTCCAGACTCCAGGGGGGAGGGGTGATGTGGGGTCTTCTATTGTAAACTGGATAGCTTTCTTTTTGTTGTAATCACAGGACTCACTCAGAGGTCTTCTATTGTAAAGAATAGCTTTGTTGTTATTGTGTATTATTGTAGCCTTAGAATATCGAAGTTAAGTCACTACATCATGTATGTTTTAATGTGTCTCTGTGTTATAGTGTACTAACATAGGATACTATTATACTGATGAAAGATTTCAGCCCAGTGGGCATTTTTTCAAAACTGATCGTTTTTGTCCTGATTTTCAAAGAATTAGAATAATCAGATGCTTTGATAGTGTAAATTGTAAGCAATTAATCATCCCCAACTAAAAACAACAACAACAACAGCAGCAACTCTTTAAGTGCAATTGCATGATGGGAAATGTTTTTTGTTTTACCTGATCAATATTATAGTCATTGGATGATTAATTACTTATTAATGAGAGTGTTTTAAGAGGAGACCTGATTTTTTTTTCTTTCAAAGGGGTATCATTATTGAGATAATCTGGATATCGGCAAGTTTAATACATATCTTAAATGGATGAGGAAACATTATAATACTGTAAATTCTTTTAATTTTGTGGGCATGAAATTTCGTGATTTTATCACATTATATAAGGACATTTTCGTGGGTTCTTTAAATTGGTGGATTTTCATTTATTGCACACAAAAAAACGTACAATGCAAATAATGCTAAATTATATGCAAAACTAATTTACAGTTTATTTTTGCACAAATTTTTTTTATGTACAATGAAAAAATGATGTTAATGCAAAATAGTTTTACAATTAAATTTTGTTAGTTCTTTAATTTGTGGATTGACAGATGCATGAAAAGCAAAAGAAATTATGGTTCTGTGGATAATTATGATGATTTAAAAGTGAAAAGGAAGCACAAGTTGGTGATAAAACAAAAATAATCACCCATTACACAATGATGTCATACTCAGCTTATGCCTCAGTTGATGTCACTAATTAGACCACAGCTGTTTTCTCTCGGCCAATCAGAGAGGCTAAAAAGTGTTTGATATATCCCACACATCACAGTAAAGTGTTTGATATAACTTATAATCATGTTTGTATTCAACTGAAAGGAAAAACCCGTAATGTGCACGTTTTATGGGAGGAAAATTTCTATGTATATTGTAAAGTAAATACATGTAGTGTAATTCCCTTCTTAAAAAACAAACAGATAGCATTTAACCCCTGCGAGAATTCCATGAATAATTCATGAACTGTTCATGAACATATTCATGGACAAGTTCATGAATGTGCATGAACAACAAATGAGACTTTTTTTCGTTCACGGACAATTCATGAATCAAGATATTCATGAACATGTTCATGAATATATGTTTGTTAACATTCATGAATATATCGATTCATGAATTGTCCATGAAAGAAAAAAAGTCTCATTTGTTGTTCATGCACATTCATGAACTTGTTCAAATGCACATTCATGAAATTGTTCATGAATATGTTCACGAACAATTCAAAAACTTCTCCCAGGGGTCATAATAATGTGACATCACAATCAATTTTCATTTAATTCTAAGACTGCTGATTTGTACCAGCCATAAAATGCACAATAGACAGTGTTTTAGTACAAATACAAAACACAAAAGCCCATTACACAGGTAATGAAACTTGTTAAACACTGTGCTCATTGATTCCCTATGTACAAATTGAATTGTCATTAGAATTCACGACTTGCCAGTTTGCTCTTCAATTTATTTCTTTGACACAATTTTACATAAGATTTTATATAGTCCATTATGTAAATACATCACTTTTTCTTCATTTTGCTAAGTCATTGTTATTTATTCCATTTTTAAGTAAGTTTGCACCGAAAGTTTGTTAAAACACATGTAGAGCTTTGTTTCTGGCGGCCATGTTGACTTTTGCATTATGGGTGTTACCAAGGTCAGCCAACTCTTGTTGATGATCAGTGAGTTCATGAACTCACGAGAGTTCATGAACTGAAATTTTTCAGTTCATGAGTTCATGAACTGAAATTTTTTCTAACACTAAAAAGTATTCACCTGGGTTAAAATTGTAAAGACAAATTTGTTTTTAAAGTTCATGATTATTGTCAGCTTGTTCATGAACATACCAAAATGTTCATGAACAGAGCAAGAATGATGCCAAAATGTTCATGAACACATCAACATGATCGTGAACAGACATACATATTCATGAACTTGAATGTTCATGAATATTTGTTCATGAACATTTCTGCCAAGATGATGAACAATTGAAAGATGTTCATGAATATTCATGAACTGTTCATGAACATTCATGAATTGATGAACATGCTTTCGCAGGGGAATAGTCATTTGACCAATTTTTTTCGACATTTCATCATTTTACAAGAATAGTTACTGTATTTGTAAATAACAAAAAACTAGCAATAATGATGTGAAATGCGTTTATATATCTATTTAAAACTATATATGTATCTTAATTTTACGACGGCTTTTGTGCTTATATTTGCATCCTGAATTATGCCCGGCTCACTCTTAATAGCAGACACTGTAGATGTACATTAATTTACTGGTTTGGGAAGAGGGGATTCCACTGGAGGGGGTGGAGTTTCCGAACGGTGACTGGGCTGCGGTTGCAACGCTAAGGAAATTCTATGCTTAAAGGCTTCAGAGGGACGTTTGTAATATTTTTTCAGTTCATGAATGAAGTAAAAAAGTAAATGCAGGATGTATATAAAGCATACAATAAATAAACGAATCTATACGTCAAGTAAAATATTTTCAACTTCAGCCGAACAACCAATAAATATCCTGAACCCTAGTGTTGTTTAAGCATTAAGGAAAACGTTTAATGACAGTTACCTGCCCGTTTCTCCAACGAGCCCACTCTTGAAAGTAGCCATCACCCATGATTTCTGTCTAAGGGTATATTCCGGTAAGCAGTCTAGCTTCCAAGCGCTGTGTACGGTGTTATGTCATTAAATCATTTAAATGAGGAATCAACAGGAATAACAACAAACATCTCCCAAGTTTCGAAATTATAATGTTATCACATTCAGAAATGTTAAATTCTTCCCAATTTTCATCTGACTGCACCTTTGCGATAGAATGTGAAATCTATCTATCATTCAATAGATTGTGTATTCAGTAACTTATGAAAGAACATGAATTATGCCATTTTCTCGTGCATTTTTGCCTACAATAAGGCCATATAGATTGCATAAGAAATATTTGGATATCCCTATGTAACTGTCGGAGAAAAAAACCGTTTACGCATGTTTAATCTTCACCTTAAACAGAGAAAACTACCTGTGGTCTAAGTCAGATAGATCGCTCGTACCAGTTGGATGTGAGATTTATCAACTCGCTTCGCTCGTTGATAAATCTCACATCCAACTGGTACTCATGATCTATCCTATACATATGTCACTAATGAATATTTCTTTCTATAACCTTCAGTTATATAATTATAGTGTATAATGATATTTTAAGGTCAAGATTGAATTGTTTCAAATTAAAAGAACATTTAAGTTCTTCATGCAAACTCATTAATTATGCTAAGTATGATAATTAATAAATATCTGTTTTGGTTATTATTATAACCATCCCATTTCTCTACCATATTCCATTTGTAACTTTCAGGACTTCAATTGCGATCTAATAAATATGTTCTCATTTCCTCCTCTGTAACAACTTATTAAAACATGATCTTAAATCATTACAAAGGAAAACAATGTTTTGCGTGTACCAGTTTATTTATGGCACATTTATTATTCATATCATTATATATCTTATGTATGTTTTACTCGAACAATGTGGTGTGTTTAATTGGATTTGAGCATGCGATTTAAGAATAACAAGTGTTTTCCGAACACCTTGTACACCCCGTCATTTGCATTGTAAATACGATTAAGGGACGGATACTAAGAAGTGTGCTTGCTTTCTGTTGTGTAATTTGATGGATGATACGTTAACGGTAGAAAATTATCTCGGCTGATAATTCATATTTTGTAACAATATGGAAGGGAAAAGGCGAGGCAGGAATCTAAGGAGAAAGATTGCCTGGCACGCGGAACCGTTCTCCAGGGGCTTGTACTATATATACTAAGATGATAAATATAACTCTAATGTTTATAATTCTTATGTTTATGTAGATGAAAGTAAATGGCATTCCCTTAACGCAGGAATTTTATTAGAAAAATTATTAGATTAAAAAAATGAGAGAATTAGTATGTAAAATGTGCATTATATACTACTGGAACGACATAAATATTGACACATATGACATCATGTGAAAAATTGAACAAAGTTCAAGAAAATTCTAATAATATTTAAACATGTATAAGTGCTACAAAATCATGATTAAATTATTTGATGACACCCGATTGGCCGAGCTAATAGTGTGGTTACGATGTATTACTTTGCAATATTCAGACAAAATAAAGCGGAAATTTGATTGTTTTGCATATAAGATCAAATTAATATATTTCTCTCAGGTGAACGCCATCTGTTATATTTTCAGTCAGTCTCACAATGCCCTCAAAAATAAATCATTTCAATGTTAAAGCTTGCTAATCAAACAAGTACTTAAACAAATACAAATTTCTCAGTATTTTCTGGCTATATTATGTCATGTGATAAAGTAGAATTTTATATTCTTGTTTCCACTGAGGCATAATATTATAAATGACTTGTAAGACTTATATATCTGAAAAAAGTACGCTGACTTGTCTAAATTATAAGGGAGAGCATCGGATTAGTAGTATAAGGGCCGCTGGTTCAACCTTCGAGCATGGCGAAATTTCTCTTAGAGGAATGATGTTGGACATTAAATTTTATGGTGACCTTTGTCTTACATTTGATTAAAAAAATTTGGGACTGGTAGGCAGTCACTTGCTTAGAAATTGGTAATTACGGTAGCTATTTCTAAGGAAAGCCAGCTAAGGTGGATTGACCGCTGAGATTTGACCAAAAACGTGACAATTAAAATCTGCATAAAAACCATAGAAACAAACAATTATCTGAAGTGGATTGTTTATGTTCTGCTAATTTCATTGATTGTAAATTAAATTGAAATTAAATGAGAGGCAGGGTAAAGTACTAGACTAATTGTCTATATTTCTGGTAATTAAAAGCATTATCCTAGCTGTTTTAGTGTAAACAACAAAAGTCTTTCCAGTTCTGGTGGTAATATTAAATTTTTGAAACATGTCAAAATGTCAATTTCTTTACATTGAATATGTATGCATATTTCTTAAAGAAAAAAATGTGTTAATACAATTTAGCATGAAAATATTCTAATTTATACTAAATTGCTTTTCTTTGCTTCATTTATTCTTTTATCGTTTTAAGAAAAGACGTTCTATTGGTAAATATGGTTTTAAATTCATTATCAAAATCTGAAAAAGGGGACCTGAGTTCTTTCACCTTAAAAGTGATTAAATCTTGGCGACCCCTTGTCTTGAAAACGTGACAGTTAAAAGTGATTAAATCTTGGCGACCCCTTGTCTTGAAAACGTGACAGTTATTTGAGCCGATGATGATTGTCAGTTTTAATTTGACACTAAGGAAACTTGGTACTGAAAAGTTTTCAGTGATAGGTGATAATCATGTAGAAATTCAGGAGAAATTTTTTCAAGCTTTAAATTCATTAACAGAATTTTCTATTACAAGATGTTGAGCCCTTGGGGACTTATCAGAACTAAACTGACAGTGAACGATACAAGTACGGCTTTAAATAATGTCCTGTTTCAGAACTTTAAGACTTTAAAAGAATTATATTTAGGAACAATACAATAACAATATATAATTGGGTTCAACATGTTGTCGTTTCATGTATTCATGGTTGCTTATAGAACCTCTTAAATTGTTTAATTTCTTAAATGGACTTGTCCACCTTCTATATTTGGAACTGTCCATTATCAAAATGTTGGGATGGCAGGATGAAATTTTGAATTTCATTGAGCTTTGTCTTAATGTGTTTTAAGCTAGCCAAGAAAAAGGAGAGAAGGTTTGGCAAGACAGTGAGGAAGAAATTTGTTTTGAATTGAATTGAATTGATATTATAAATTGTGGATCTATATGGAATTGTGCCCCTAATGGCTCAGCGGTTGTCTTTAATGGTTGAGGCATAAGGATCGCAGCCACTGTGTGATCATGACAGGTGACTGAATGCCAGGTTTGAATAACTGGAGTATATGTATCTTGTAGGTGGTTTTGATCTCTGCTGACTTGCTTTGAAGTTTGTACCACAGGAAGTTAGGCAAAATCATCTTCCCTGAGTGTTTCTCATCTTCCCTGAGTGTTCCCTGAGTGTTTCTCATCTTCCCTGAGTGTTTCTCATCTTCCCTGAGTGTTTCTCATCTTCCCTGAGTGTTTCTCATCTTCCCTGAGTGTTTCAGCGCCATGTGACCTATATATGTGTTGGTGCTTAACCAAACAAACAATATTTAACCGCATGTGAATAATTTGATGATATAGTGATATCATGATTTTCAATGACGGCCCTAATTAAAAATAAATTACGTCATGTGATAAACGTGTATCATAATTATAATACATAAGTACGTCACAGGCTTTTGAAAACTTTTTGGCAAAATTGCAAGGCTTAGTATAATATCCCTATATTACCAGAGATTTAACACTTTTAATATAAAGAAATATATATATTATATACTTTCAGAGCAAAAGAAACACATCAAATTGCTGAAGCAACTGCTGAGAAGAATGCAAGATTGAGAGATGCCTTTGGTCTCAGTGAACACTATGTTGATGGTAGCGCCTTCGATCCGAATAGGAAAGTTAAAGAAGAGGCTGCTAAAGCACTAGCAATGGCACAGAAAAAATACGCGTATGTATCTAGATTTAAGTATCGTGCTATGTAATTAATTAACATTTATGGAAGAGCTTAAAGGAGCTCCGCTTAGGTCTATATGTCTAAAAACGTAAAGTTTGAAATTTGTCATTTAAATGGAAAAATATGCAAAAGAATAATGAAAAATACCAGGGACTGCGTTCAGGGCGAAGTCAGGCGAAAACTTCGCCGTAAATATTTTCACTTCGCCCTATATGATCTGAAAAGCGAAATTCTAGTCGCCCTAAAATCTCTATGAAATGTCTGACATGTATATTTCTCCACTCGATAATACTGCCTGGAGGCAGATTTAATTGTGTAATCTGACGTAATTAGCACATGCGCTGAAGCGTGGCCATAGCGACATTTGGAATTCACACTTGGAAATCCACATCGCTAAAAATAGCGCATTGATTATACGGTAAATTAAAGCTGTAAAAGACCCTGAATTATGAATGCAGCAGATGATAAAAAGCAAGCTAATTGATAATTAAGTTACCTCAAACGTATATTTGTGTCTTATTTACAATATCCCCTGTACGTTTTGTTTGTTTCACAATATTCCCTAAACGTTCTGTTTGATTTACTAGTTCTCCAATATGTCCTGTTTGATTTACTATTTTCAATATATGTCCTGTTTGATTTACTATTTCCCCTATATGTCCTGTTTGATTTACAATATCCCATATACGTTTGTAATGACCATTACATTTATGATAGTAATATTCATCATTAAAACTGATGTAAATTGATAGAATTTGGATAATTATTATGAATTAAAGAACTTTTCTTCTTAATAAATTGCATTTAAAAGTTAGAGTCAGAAACTGTTGAACCTAAAAAAAAATTAAAAAATGTTGTGTTGATGGAAATCAAATTCAACTAGTACTTCATTAAATATCATCATAGCGATTTTCAAATACACATTTGTTTATTTTCCATGCCATATACATGTATATTTTATATGCATGTACATATAAAGGTGTACATGTATATTTTGTGAAATAAAATTAGAAAAAAAATCCAATGATATAACTCGATTTGATGATCACTTCTCCCTAAATTTCAAAACTTCTCCCTATTTTTCCTGAAGGGAGAAGTCACTTCTCCCTAAATTTTCAGTCCAAGGTAGTCCCTGAAAATACACTTAGAATTAAATTGAAATTGCAATTTTAACTGGGGGGTTGTGGGGGGGGTTGTTGGCTTTTGTCAGCCCTGCCGTGAGGGACATTTAAATTTTTTGTCAATGTCTCTAAATATCAGCAGTTTAACATTACAGCTATGTGGTCTGTTTTAGATATATACTTTTATTTCTAAATGAGAGGCTTTTATAATGTAAGCCCATTATAAACAACACTTGATTATTTTGATAGTTACAGACGGATGGACTTTTTCATGAACACAGGGCATGTCCATATTTTGTATAATGAATAAAAGGTGCTGGGTTTTTTCACAGGTAGGGTCCTTGCCCTTTTCTTATATTTGAGGAAAAGTAACGCATATTTTTTTTCAGATGGAAATAAAAGCTTGATTTAAATTGAATTTTAGGGGGAAACACTGCCCTTGTATGGCCCTTGCTAAAGAAGGGAGAAAAACGCTGAGGCATTATGCTCGCAAAGAATATTTTGAAAATCAAAGATCTTTTTTTGGTCTACTTGCTCTATATACTGCTGCGTTGTTTATGTCACATGTTTGTACGGAGACAGTGTATTTGGTAACAGATCAATGCTGTATTTCCTGAAATTTGCTTCAAGTATGTACTAATTGAATACTAAATTAAATAAAATACTCTCTCGAGTGTACAAGCAGTGTAATAGACTGACATCAATTACGGAGATGAATGTTGGTAAATAAGGAGGTGTTAAAAAAAAAATGTTTGCACTGGGACTTTAACTTTTTGTGCCCCCACTATAGGGGGGGGGGGGGTATTTAGATTTACCCTTGTCCATCTGTCCATTCGTCCACCTGTTTTCTTTTTGTGTCGCAAGTAACTCAAAAAGATACCTAGAGTCATGAACCTTACAGGAATGTAAATCAGCATGTGAAGTTGTGCACCTGGGTATTTTCATGTGGATATATTTAGTATTTATTATATAAGTTATTGCCCTTGACTTAGTAAAAATTTTAAATATTCAACTTGTGTTGCATAGTTCAATATTTTGGACACTGATAGATATAGGCTATACAACATACATGTATGTATAATGTTTTCTGGCCTTAAACCTGCTCCTGGTGACAAGAGATTCAAACCATGCAGCTAGTGCAGTCCAAGACCTGGTAGCCAGCACATCTGTGGTGCCGTCTGATCATGGTCTGCACTATTTGTACCACCAAACTAACCAAATGTATTTTTAACTGTCTGGCAATATTATTTTCTCATGATTGTGAATAAGCTGTCAGGCTAGCTTACAAAATGTTTGTGATTCTTTGGTGCCAGCAAAAAAAATACAAAAAAACCCCAAATGTTTTATAATATATTATGGTATATTATGTTTATAGGATAGTAAAAGACTCTGACAGTGAGGAGGATGCAGCACCTTTACCAACCAGAAAAAGAAAAAAGAAGTCCAGGTAAATATCTGTCAGCTTGTTTTTGTTGGACAATAATTTTTTCAGTCTTTATTCATATATGGATGCTGATCTTTTGTTTCCCTCCATGCCTGAATAGTTTAATGTTGCTGGCTTCAATAGATTTGCTGTTCTATATATAGTTCTGTCATGGTCATTGAAATCTTTCATGTGTGTGAGTTATCCCTCTAATGTTTGGAGGAGCTATTTATCTTTCATGTGTTTGGAAAGTTACCTATCTGTTTTGTGTAAGGGCTGTGTAGCTTTCATGTTTAGAAGCTACCAATCTTTCACATGTATGAGAGTTATCCTTCTTTCACATGTATGGGAGTTATCCATCTTTCATGTGTGGGAGTTATCCATCTTTCATGTGTGGGAGTAATCAATTTTTTCATATGTTGGAGTTATCCATCTTTCATGTACTGGAGTTATCTATCTTTCATGTGTGGGAGTTATCTAGCAAATTAACCAAAAGGGCAAAGTTTAAGCCTAGATGCATAAACATGCATAAAATTGTGCAGAAATAGGCATCCTGAGGGTGTCTCTCCCACCAGTTAAGCTAAAAATTTGCCATAATGTGTGATTTATGACACAAACAAATAAAATGCATTTCCTTAAAGTATATGAATTAACATTACAAGAAAATATGGGACAGAGTTTTATCTTAAATGTAACAATATCTTCTCAATTAACATTTCCTCTTCCTTGTCTTTAGACGTCAGTGTTTAATTCCAGTGTTCTGTGAATGGGTCTGGGTTGTTTGAATTGTGAAAAATAAGTGCTGTATGAAAAAATTTGTAAATATAGTCCAATGTAATAATAATATTCTTAAAACTTGCTATTGAATTGGGGTGGGGGTGGGGAAAATGATAATTATGCTTGAATTTGGAAAAGTTTTTAATTCTTGATAAGCACATTATCAAATAAAGTCTCATAGTTTAATGTCAGTTGCTCAAGTTTTTAAGTCATTGACAATTTTTTCAATGACCACAGATTAACTGTTTTGAATATTTATGAACAGTTTTTTTGCTAAAAAAGATAATATTTGGCTTTGTGAAAAAAATGTCTAAATTTAGTCTCCCCAAAACCGTTAGGAAAAAAAAATAGACACATCTAAGTAAAGGTCATTTAGTCATTTTTGTCTAGCTCTTTTTTATGTTGGAGGAAATTTTGGTTTTATATTTTATGCAGAGTAAAGTGGCAGATGACTTTCATATACTGCACATATGGGAGAAGTATAGTAGAAAATAGCAGACAAAATATGACATTGATATATAAATGTATATATATACTGTCATTACGGATATGTTTTATTGGCGTGGTATAGCTTAAAATGGATGACATGATATGGTTAAATGTAGGAAATGTTTGCCCTTTGATTTATTTTCTGGAATAGTATAATGCAAATCTAGTATTCTCTTATTATATGTGATAACGACAGACACTTTTGTCTGTATCATTTTCTTTTTATTTAAAGGCCCATTATGCCTCAGACTGATATGCTATCATTTTATTTTCTCATTTTTTGTTTGTTTTTGGTATCTTGTCACAGTTTTAAAAAAAATTGTCATTTGTCATAAAGATGAACTACCTTTTGCTTCTTTTGCTCTGTTGGTATTTAGTATAAATAAAGTGAATTTGTATTTTGTATGGAAGTCAAAATACTATTTTGTTTACATTTGGCTACATGTATGACACATTACTGCAATTTCAATGCTATTTTTCAATTGTTTATCATCTACCATGCTCTTCATTCGTTATTAAAACACTTAAAATATAATAAAATTATGTTCAACATCATTTCTAAAGAGTTCTGAAAAATGTCTATTTCTGAGGCATAATGTGCCATTAATACTTACCAGGTTTTGTATTTGAAATAAAAAAAAAGTTGTATATTTGGTTGAAATTTTTGGATTGTCATACAAGTTTTTATTTATTTAAAGCATTATTGAAATTTTATTCAAGCCTGGTTATGAATAGAAATTGTAGCTTTTTTTTTAAGCATCAACCAGTCTGTACAGTACTGATGTCATATGAGGTATCATGGTTATTGTCCACAGTAGTGTTATGATTGGGAATTGTTAAGTTCATCCAGATTAACCCAGTTCAAGACTGTGGATAAAAAAACCCACATTGGCATATCTACATTTAATGACAACTTAATGTCTAAGATTGTGAGAATAATCAGTATTAAAGAAAATACTATTGCCTTTTTAATCTACTTTTCAATTGTTTGATATGCGATGTGGTAGGAAATCAGCGATTCCATGAAATATTCATGATAGTTTATACTGTCTAGCCACGGTAAAACAAAATTATATTAGCATTTGCCACGTGGAACGAATAATGATCCACATGTCTTGTGTATATATATATATATATATATATACAATATTCAAATTTTTTCTCTGAAGCAGATTAGTAAAATAAGAATTAGAAAACATCTATTTAAAAAGCTTTACAGAATAATTTTTTAGTTATTTAAGAAAATTACTTCGAGTAATACTCGCCTTATTTTGATACTCTAGTTGGATTATGTAAATTTGATATTGTTTTAACACTGTTAATATCCAAGCTCCGTCGTTGAATTTAGATAAAATTCTGCTTATATTTAACCCCTTATACCTGAATTACCTGATTTTTAGCTCGACTTTTCTATGAAAAGGGGAGCTATCCTACTCGCCCCGGCGTCGGCGTCGGCGTCACACCTTGGTTAAGTTTTTCGTACCACCCCACTTTATTTCAGAAGTATTACAAGTATGGCTTTGAAACTTACCATACTTGTTCACCATCATAACCTCCATCTACAGACAAGAGTACATAACTCTGTCAAGGTTTTTGACAGAATTATGGCCCTTTTTTGACTTAGAAAGTGTATTGAGCTTGGTTAAGTTTTTTGTACCACCTCACTTTATTTCAAAACCATTGGAGGTATTGCTTTGAAACTGACCATACTTGTTTTACCATCACGACCTTCATCAACAGACAAGAGGACATAACTCTGTCAAGGTTTTTGACAGAATTATGCCCCTTTTTGACTTAGAAAATACATTGAATATGGGTAAAATCACTTATTGCCTTAACCCTTTGAGATATTGCTTTGAAACTTTTAATGCTATTTCACATCATTACCCCCATCTGTACGCAAGAGAAGGTAACTCTGTCAAGGATTTGTTTTAAAAATTAAGGCCTTTTATCGACTTAGAATCTTGGTTAAGTTTTTTAGTACAGTCCACTTTTTGACTGAACTGTTTGAGATATTAATTTGAAAGTTGGAATACTTGTTTACAATCATGATTCCCAAACATGTCCAGGAGAAGGTAATTCTGTCAAAGATTTTATTTGAATTATGGCCCTTAACTGTCAATGTTTTGTATTATAGGCAAGCACTAAAAAACTTAAAAAATCTAAAAAAATTCATTCCTATCCACTTGTTCACTTTACCATAAATTATGTCATATAAACATTGCTGTAATATTCAAGGGTATCAAACAACTAGTTCACTTTAAAAATACAGAGATTCTTGTATTGCCTTTTACTGCAAAAACTTTTTTTATTGGCAAGCACTAAAAAAGTCGAGCGCGCTGTCTTACGGACAGCTCTTGTATGTATTGGACTTGCCTTGCTTTGACTTTGGAACAGTCCATTCCAAATTTTAGGGATTTCAGTGACTCAAATTTCAAAAATTGAAGTATGTACAGTGTAGAACCTGGTCGGACCCCTCATCTCCACAAACACATTCTTAGTTTATTCAAATATAATTTATTCAAGTTTATTTGTGAAGAAGGCTTTAAGCTTGTATAAATCACACTACTGTGAGGCCACCTTACTCAGGAAATAAACAGAGCTTAAATGTCATGATAGGAAACAGGGTCTGGTCTCCGGTCCATGATTATCCTTGAATTGGGAGACTGTCATTACTGTAAACAGCCATCTTACCTCTTAGATATGTCAAGTTAGTTTAAATGATGTATGCATGCCGTCTGCTGGCGCCCAGTCCTGAATTCTTCAGTAGTTGTTTTCTCTTAAGCAGATTTTTATTCAAAACATTACAGAAAATTGAAATTTATGTTGTGAACCCATTATTATAAGTACCGGAAGTTACGTAATAAACCCTTGGTTATTTTACAGAATAGTTACCCAATAATTGCCCAAGAATTTATAGAAATTGAAATTTTATTTTGTAAACCTTAATTATTTGCAGAATGCTTTAGTATTGACAGGACTTTTGAAATATTTTGTTTCCTAATGTATCAACTAAAGTCATGCTCTCCTCCATTTTCAGGGATAAAAGTGACTCTCCGGAAAGAAGGAAGAAAAAGAAGAGTAAGAAACATAGACATGATCGGTAGGTCAGGTGACCAGGTCACATGGTTACTATATATAAAAACTGGACTAAATGTGATTGAAACTTTGTTTTTGATTTATTTCTAGTATCATTAGTTTTTATTTATTATTCACAAATTTCATGGTTAATATTTAATCATCAAATTTATTTCCCCAGCTTTACACACAAACAGCATGTTTTTCTATTATGAATTACTTAGTAGTTTGTTAATCATGTTAATTTAACTCTATTAATCTCAGAACCTGCAATCCAGACTTTTAACCAGTAACCTGCTGAATAACTGAAAAGGACTTGAGCAACTTCCTGTCTGGGATAGTCCATTATCAATTTTGGGGCTGTTAGGTTGAAATTTTGAAGTTAGTCAGTTAAAGGCCCATTATGCTTAAGAAATTCTATCACTTTTATTTCTCAAAAAAAATAAAAAAATATTTTTGGTACTTGTAACAGTCACACAAAAATATAATCATTTGCAATATAATTGAACCATCTTTGCTCATTTTGCTTTGTTGGCAATTGGTATGATTATAGTGAATAAGTATTTTGTATGGAAGTAAAAATACTACTTTGTTTACTTTTTGGTACTTTTACGACACATTATTGCACATTAAGCACTACTTTCCTCAGCTGTAAATTAATCTAACACGCTCTAAATCAATTATTAAAACATTATTAAACACACATTTGACATTTCTGAAAAGAATAATAAAATACGGGTTTCTGAGGCATAATGTGCCTTTAACAGTGTAGAGCCTGGTCAGACTGCATGGATGATGGTGGTCCGAGACTGCACATGTGTGTAGACTGGCCTGGCTCTATACAGGTGGCAAAGCCTTATCAGTTTCAGCAGGGTAATGGCTCCTAAACATAGAAGGTACATTCACACGTAAGAAAACAACAGAGCAATATTCTGAGTATTTTTGTAATTATGAAAATCAGTTAAATGAGTTTGTTTGTTTGAATGTGTTTTATGTACAAAAAAAGAACAACAACAAGAGAACAACAGATATTTATGAATATTAATTCTTTTATATGACAGAATGTTCAGAATGATATGTGAATTCTTTTAAAGAGATTTTACTTTTAAGTTTTAATTCCAAACCTCTCCACTTATACGATTTTCCTGTTTTTATGTATGAAGGGATGTCGATGGTCTTTTGCCACTTATAAAAGTTGCCATGTCACCCTGTGACCTTAACAGATTTTATGTGAAGCAGATTTTATTAATGCATAGTTTTAAAGGTCAGTGTTCAATGCCTTGAGTGGCAGTTGATTACTTTGTTATATTAACGTTTTCTGCCAAGAAACATGTCTAGGTCTTTACATTTACCTGAAGAATTGGTTCAGATTTATGCAGTAAATGTTGAACTGTTGTTTTCAACTGTGAATGTACCTTTTATGAAGTTTTCCTGACCAAGTGCCTTTAAATAGTAATAACTCTCACTTTGGTGAAAATATAAAAAAAATCTTGATAAGGTGCATAGAACATACATAGTTCCTATTAAAATAAACTTAAATACATGTACAAGAAAAACAGCAGGAATTCCTACAGCTTATAGTTTAATGAGCCATATTTTTCATACATTTCCTTATATTTGATGTTTTTACAATCATATACATTTGTTCTTAGTAATTGTAATAATTATGTAGTGAGTAATAAATTATGAAGAAATTTTAAATTGATGATTTTCAGTCATAAAAATCATGTAGAGCCTTATTTTCTTCTTAAAAGAAATTGTTGTAAAATTGTTCATAAAGAATAAGTTTTCAAAAGTGATAAACATGCATTTAAAAAATCAAAAAAATCCAGGTTTTTCGAATTATACACTATAGTAGCCTTGCTAATTCATTAGCCTTAAAAATCCTTTCAAATCCGAGTAAATTGTCTTACCTGTATTATTTTTACTCTTGAAGGGACTCCACTGAGGTTTTTAAATGTGGTGGGACTGGAAATATTTTTCTGAGATTTTTTTCGCACATTTTATTTAGGTCTCGTTCAATAGCTTGTGTAAAAATTTTCAGGTCATTCCTTCACCCCGTTTTTCCAGAACGACATTTTTTATTGTACAGAATGACCCAAAAATGAAAAGAAATGCAGCTAAGAGTCACCCAAAATATCAATTTTCAATTTAATTCTTAGTATTTTTCTTTATTTATCGTTTGCAGATTTGTCCAATTTAACTGCTGCGCAATTTTTTTTTGTAAAGTTTTCAACATTTATAGTTTTTGGCCTTAAGCCCCCCTGCGGAGTCCATTTTATGACTAGAAAACCTGTCTGATCCGAAACGTCAAAATTCTTGCACCACATGATGATTATTATAATTTGTATGTTACACAAGACAATCTTAGCAATTGTTTTGAAAAATTAATGTTTAATTTTGTCAAGATGTTGTTATGAGTAATGTTACCATGGCAAATTTGATGTTCGATTTTTTTATTTTCTTCCTTTGTATATTTTTGTCATTGCATTGATGAATTGAATTCATAAAGGTGTGTGTAATATGTTCGTTGGGAGTTGTTTAGAATTAAAGATGGTTATATAATAACATGTTGGGCTGGTTATTTGGAGTCGGTTATGAAATTATGTTTATATGAAATACATTTTATTACTTTCTCGTACATACTGTTATATGTTGTCTGTCATTTTAAGTTGATTTTCCTCAGTCTTGTAAAATCATTTAAGTTAAAGAGGTCAGCCCAACACGATCTCATTTCGGCTAACCTCAATATGTGTTGGGTTGAATCTGTCCAGTAAATGTTGTGAAAGAATCATCCTGCCATCTTGTTAAGTATAACATTTGTCATCTTAACGCAAAATTTTTGTAACTATATAATTTGTACAGGTACTGATCCAGCTTAGAAAGTCTTGACAGACTTGCCACTGCTCAGAAACTTTTAAACTGTTCATGGTTTTAAAATGGACTCCACTGAGGTTTTTTTTAATATGACAGGACTGGAGATCCGGGTAGCAATTGTTTTACATCTTATCCATTAGCTCGTGAGAAAATTTACTGCTCATTCCCTCATTATAATCATTTTGTTGTGAAAAATGGCCCAAAAATGAAAAGCAGTGTGACGGATTTCACTCAAATCTGGCTAATAATCACAAACTCAATTTTCAATTTAATTCTGATATATTTCTTTGTTATCCTTCGCAGATTTTCCATTTAAGTGCTTCTTTAAATATTTGTAAAATTTTCAAATTTTGTATTTTTATGTCTTTAAACCTCAGTGGAGTTCCTATAATAAAATATTAGAATGTTAAGCAGACAACAGGATTATAAAGTTTGCCGAAACTTCATGTGGTGTGCACTGACTGGCTGATCATCATGCAGTCTAGTCTCGGCTGAGTGGCTTCACACCATTTGCCTTGAACCACTGTAGGTTCAAACTGCACCAGTCTCTTTGGAATTTGTTTAATGTGAGAAAAATATCCATCTAGTATACTTAAACAGAACTCCGGTTGTTTTACTCAGGTGCCTGTTTTTGTGCCTGAAATAATGCACAGAGGGGCACTTGAGGTCTTCCTCTACTAGAAAAGCTGGAATTTTAGTCGCCATATGACTTTTGTTGTGCAATGTAAAGTCTGCACTGTACACTTTTCTGTCAGTAAATATTTCAAATTTTCACAACATGGTTTTGTCCAGATTGAAAGATGGACAAGTTCATTTAAGATAATTTGTTGAGGTTTAAGGATTAAGAATAACTTATATAATTATATACTATTTAATCATACATGGATAGTTCAATTTTATTTCATTATGAAACATGCTATTGAGATGTCAGGTAAGGTGTGCTTATATTGAGGAAGTTGTATTTACTCGTTTTAGTAATAAATAGAAATAAATCATTGTCATTCATCATAAAAAACATATTTGGTAAGACGTCAACTTAGCATCGTGAAAATTGTCAACTTGGCATCGGGTGAATGTATATTATGGAATATGAGTTAAGATCTTCGATAAATATTTAACAGAATCAAATTTACTATTCATAACTTAGTCTTTAATACATGGAATATTTTAGGTACAAAAATGTTATACCATATTTAGTGAAACCATTGCCATGGACACAGCACTAACAAATTTATTTTATGACTACATCATTATACAGTCGAACTTCGTTCGCTCGAACTCGGAGGGCCTGTGTAAATTTGTTCGAGAGATCGGTAGTTCGAGCCAACCGAGGTTGCACTATTATTACGTTGATCATATGCCTAAAGGTTTTTCTAGCTTACATCGGTCGAATGATAAATGCGTCAATATAATTGTTTGTTAGTACATCTGTTCGTCGAATACTTCATATTCAGAATTATTATCCCAGTGTTATAATTAAGTATTAACGGTACGCTGTGTTAATCTATATTCATACATATTGTAATTGGTTGAGTTCGATTGGGCAATCACACCAAACTTGTTGAACAATGTTCAAAATATATTTTTATGTTTATAATGAATTTAATTTTAAAAAATAAATTTATGAAATATTTATTAAAAAACATTTACAGTAGCATCTATTTGTAGTCATTTACTAAAAAAAACACACATACAAGTATCATTCTATAAATAGATAACTCTGTTACTATTCACTTTACAAGAACCACGGTTGTAATTAAAGCCGTCCGGGCGGGTAAACGTCATTCTTTATTGGCATGCATATTTCACTTATTTCAATAGTTATTTTCTTTTTATCGTTACCATAAACGGCAAATCAACAATATTATCATACAAATAAATCGGTTACAACACCTCTTATTTTGTATCAATTAACCTTAATTACCTTTGTCACGATCACGAGGTGTTAAAAACATGTGTCGCCCACTGTCATATATTTAGGACATACCGACTTGTCTTTTTGTGTTCGACCGAAAAGGTGTGATTTTTACTATATTTCTGCCGAAGGGACCAGAGATCAGGTTCGAGAGTTCGAGCGATCGGTGTTCGAGCGATCCGAGGTAGAACAATATATATTATATAGGAATTTTGCCGGGACTGGGCGATGAGTTCGAGCGAAGGGAGGTATTCGAGCGATCCGTGTTCGAGCGAACGAAGTTTAACTGTATAATATAAATATAATTATTTTATGAAGTCATTATGTGTGATACATGTATTTTATATAGTTGGAATAGCTTATAAGTTATGAAACATGTTTTGTTGTATTTTCACTTTTGAAAGACGATTTAAAAATGAAATTTGCTAATAAACTGTGACATTATCTTATTGTGAAAATAACTTTGATCTGAGATAATGAAAATATGAACTAAGACAGACGGCTTACACAGTGTATGATTACAGTGAAATAAACAGGCTGTGTTGTAACTTGATTGAACATGACATATTTACGAGCGTCTATAGTCTATATTCTATATTTGTACACATAAATGTTCATCAGTCAAAAATTTATGAATTCTTGTCCATTTTGTTGTTAAAACTCATTTGAAAAAAATTCCACTTTGCATTTTAATCATCTGTTGTTTTTGTTCTTTTCTGCAAATTTCAATTTGCTGGCATGAAAAAAAAAGGTAATAAATTCTTATTTTGTACAGTTATTATACTATGTTCTTCTTCGATATAAGAGATAATTATGGTTTGCAAGAAAAAAGATTAAATATTGAAATGCATAATTTAATAGGATTTTTAGATAAAATATCATGAACAGAAAGTCAACACATACATTTTAACTCACAGAGTTGATATTCATCTGATATGTTGCTTAAAATTTTACACCAGATATATTCCGTAAATTTTTTATGTTACTCTAGTGTTACTACAATAACTGTTGTAGAATCGGTAAAAAAAATTATTAAAAGTTATTTTCTTATATTAAGGACAACGGCCCAAAGACACGTCCCTCTTTTTAACGCCCCTGAGCTTTTGTCGCCATTATTTTTATTCACAGTAAAATTATGTAGTAATGAAATTATATCTTAATTACTTCTGGATTAAATGACCTACACACCACTCAAACGTTATGTTAATCAGCCATATGATTAATTATCCCCTCATAACCATTTTGTCAGACTGAAAATGTTTATGTATTATAACAGATATTTTGATCAATTTGTACACAACAGTTGATTTTGTTAATTACATGTGAATCAAGAGCATAATTTTAGAATAATCATTATTTATGAATTTGTGAGACATACAGAATGAAACAGAACTGTTGCAGATAGAACTATGAACTATTTTGCTTAATGTAACATTTTGATGTTGCCTGAAAATACTTTTTTTATGGAGCATACAAGTTACTGGTTGTCCTTCCTTCCTCCGGTCTTTCCGATTTCTCGTTGTGATCTGTGCAACTTCATTAAAAAAAAGTTTTATTGATTGATAGCTTTGATGAACAAAACATTGACCTTTACCACAGATTGTTGGCACCAAGGTCAAGGCCATGTCTTAAAATTTGTCAAAGCTAGGTCAGGGAGCGTACATGTGCATTACCGATATTTTTGTGTTCACTGTTGACCTCACAAGATTTGAGTTCAATTTAACCAAAAGTACTTCATTATAACCAAACGTACTTCAATTTAACCCAAAGTACTCCAATTCAACCACAAATACTGCAATTTAACCAAAAAAGTTATGTTAAAATTATATATATACTTACAGAACTGTTGTAGATTTATTTATGAACTATATATATGTAATTGTAACATTTTTTTTCACTGTTGACCTCACATTTAAACAATCATCCTATTTTTGTTGCTTGCTTTACGTTGCTGAAGTTAAACATTAGAACGAGTAAAGGTAAGAATATTTTCCAGGATGTATGTTAAACATTTCTGTTCGTCTGTCCGTCTTTACAGCATCAAATACTAATGGTGTATGATGACAAATTTTTATATATTATATTTTGTATTGGAACTTTTTCATTTCACATTGGAGAAAGGAAACATGTTACGTTACATTCATGCCTCATGTTCTGAATCATGCTGACTGTCAAATGAAACTTCAATTTGTTCAATTTTAGACCAATTTGCCTTATTTTTACATTCTGCCTTGTGAATTGTTTTGCCTATAAGTTTGTATTTGGAGGGTGCTAAATGTTACATAAAGTCTGGTGTGACGCTACAAACCTAGGGGAAGGCCTAATGTTTCTCAGATAGTGCCTTAATGTTTGATAAATGACTAATTCTGTCTACCCTGATTCTACAGTATGTAAAACAATGGGTCTTAAGTCTTCAGATTTGTGAATTTGAATCCTGGGAGCTGACACATAATGTTTCCCGAGTTATAATATTTTTAAATGCCATTTTTCCTACTCACTGTTGAAAATGATTTATGTGTCAGAGAAGTTGGCAGTAACTTGCAAAAAAAAAGTTCCAAATAACCCAACCAAGTAATGCTGTGATACTGGACATTAATAAGATTCGTTTCTTAACTACATACAGATATAATTTGATTGCTGAACTCAAAAGTTTACACAGGTGCTCTATCCAATAAAATCAACATATCAACATATTTTAAACCAAGTTTTAAGAAATGTGTGAAGTTTCATTTCTCCCTCCCACTAACACCTACTGGAAAAGGATGATCAAAGAAAAGCTTACCAAAAATTAAGACTGGCAGAAGCAATATGTAAAAGATCGTAGGTACGTGCATGCAATTCATTACGGAGGAAAATAAGCTGTTTCATAGAGGGTCGGAAATGATTTCTTTAACAAGTATGTACAGTATTGTAAATATACAAGTACGTACAATATATTAGATAAGTTATACAAAAAAAAATTTAAGTCTTACACGTAGCTCTTAGTTTCGGCTCGAGGCAAATATCATGTATAAGTCCTGTCACCGAATGTTCCAAGTTTCACCACGCACTGACGGGTCAACTTGAATTAAGGAAACGATCATTCTCTTTTATACCCGTGTGATTTTTAATTAAGCAATTTACGGATGTTTCCACATGCGGAAACTGTGGTTATTCGGCAGTGTTTTTTTCGTAACAAATGTTACAACATTGTTTTTATAGAGATAATTGATTTGGTCCTGTTGTTACGAAGTTTCATTTGACAGTCGGCACAATAATGAATATTTTACATCTTTTAAAAGAATCAAAATAAAAAAAAAAAAATTGTTGGGATATATTTTTTTTCTTATTTCAACTATTTTGAACAAGTCAGTTACTGTTTAAACTCAACATCACATTAATGGGAACGTTATACATGTACTGGTTTTTAATTACGCAGAAATTCCTAGAAAATGACTTTAAACAGTATTATTTAATAATTAAACTTACATTGGTAAGGGTATAGGTTTTCTCTCGACTTCTCACATATTTTACAAGGAATTGGTTTGTTGTCAATACATTGGTTTACTCTGCATGCTTTTATCATTATGTGGAAACTGATCATGATAAATATATATGAAATGCAAAGCCATGTCTTTGGGACAAAATTTTTACATGATTATTTATAAAAATACAAAAAAGATTTAAATCATAATTAAAGATTTATGAATTTTTGATATCCATTGAAGTTGTTCAAATTTGATTAAAAAGAATTATTTAGTTAGTTATTTTTAAATTATGGATGACTCTTAGTCACTAATTTAATACTATGTCAGATATTGTGCTACTTTAGTTATAAAAAGTTCAAAATTAAACAGGGCTTTTTTTTCACAGGTTGGGGAAGCAGTAACCCTTCCCTTAAATTATGGGGGTAAATTTGCTTTGTATATCTGTAAATTTAGCGAAAGAAAAAAACTTGATGAAATTCAAATTCAATATTTGGTTTTTAAATGGGGGGTGGTGGAGAGGCTGCAAGAATTTTTTCTTTGGGGAAGCTGCCCTGGAATCTCCCCTGCTATTGAAGGAGAAAGATCCCTGAATAGGGATCAGTTGCTAAAATAAACATGAAAAAAGTTAAATTCTGTAAAAGGTTGGATATGGCATGATTATAATTGCATATTTCATATTTATGATGCTCATGCCATGCATTTATTAAATATTCATAAAGGTTTCATTTACATGGGAAAAAGACTGGGAATGATTGGTATTCTTTTTTTCCCTGCTACATCAAATATTCAAAGCTGTTGTGAAATCATGACAATGTTATAAAAAAACAAAAAAAACAAACAAAAAACATCATGAAATATTAAATATGTTTGATTCATTTGTAAAAATTATCCCATATCAAAGTTGGATTGAAAAAATTACCCCCCCCCCCCACTCTTATAAAAAAGAAAATAAATAAATATAAGTGTTTTTAAAAAATATGGATAGAACATATTTTTTTTTCTGAACCATTGTAAATATTTGGTACAAATAACATTTAAAATCATTTACTAACTCAGATATCGAACAAGATCAAAATTGAATAAAGAAAATGTAAAAACCAATTGCAATTGCTTTCTTTTTGTCTGTATCAGACAAACTGGTTGTAAATTTTTTTTGTCCCAAAGACTGTTGCATTTAAATGTGTGACATGCCAGTTTCCAATCCCGTTTAAGTTCCATCAAGACGCCGCATATCATCGAAGATGACAACAATAAATCGGTTTCACTCGTTTTAATACTATCTTTTGAAGCTTATATATTTCTTCAAGGTGTCTCGGTTTTGATGGAATTTCAACGATATCTCATTTTCATCACTGACAGACTATGAAACATTTAATAGACCATTAGTTCTACTTTAAGACAATTTGTTTTAAAAGCCTATTTGACATGTTTTCAATGCACATTTAAATGTGAGATTGTCGCCAAGTTATTTCTGTCATGTAAGTTATTGAAATGTTTGTTTTCTTCTGCTTTAGGTCTGAAAGTAGAAAAAGTAAAAAAAGAAAGCATAAGCATAAGAAAAGGTAAGAACTTTTATAGTACATAGTAAATAATGAAAAGATATGCATAAGACAATGTAAGAACTTTTTTAGTGCACAGTAAATAATGGAAGCATAAGATAAGGTAAGAACTTTTTTAATACACATTAAATAAGAAAGCATAAGAAAAGGTAAGAACTGTTAAGTACACATTAAATAATGAAAGCGTAAGAAAAGTGAGGAATTTGTGAAGTATTTAATCAGTTAAAAATGAAAGCATAAAAAGGTAATAACTTTTTATAGAACACAGTAGATAATGAAAGCATAAGCATTATATATAAATAACTTCTAGTAGTAAGAGGTATATAATGAAAGCATAAGAAAAAATATGAACTTGTGTAGTATTTAAACAATTAATAATAATAGTTTAAAAAGGTAAGAACTTTGCAGTATTAAAAGAATAATAATATCTGTCATATGTTGCGGTTCGGACCGGAATATCCGTCCCGAGGGGACCCGCCCATTGGGCGGTAACGAGGCTTGCCGAGTTACCGCCCATGGGCGGGTTCCCGAGGGACGGATATTCCGATCCGAACCGCAAACATATGTCAGATATTTTTTCTTGCATATTCTGCCATATTATTTCATATTTAAAATGGTTCACCTCAATGCGATATATGTTCATGAAAATTAAAGTCATTTCATCCGTTACTATTTTCTTACAATAGCGTATGAACTTACAACTTAAATAACAACAGTGAAATGACGTCATCATAAGCACATATTTCCCTTCTAAAATGACGTCAATTTAACGCGGTTCATCCATAAAGTGCGGTAAAATGACGTTGTTGTTTGGCACGCGACTCATCTGGAACCCCCCATGCCAGATGAAATTTCCGGCATGGGTAAAACTCACGGAAACGCCAGTCTGCTATGCAAGAATAAATGAGCCGCTTCATGACAAAACCAACGTAATGCGTTTGCTACCAGCATGGATCCAGACCAGCCTGCGCATCCGCGCAGTCTGATCAGGATCCATGCTGTTTGCAATCAGTTTCTCTACTTGTTATTGGGTTTGTAAGCAAACAGCATGGATGCGCAGGCGTGTCTGGATCCATGCTGGTCGCAAACCCATTATGTTGGTTTTGTCATGGGGCAGCTCAAATAATGCAATCAAAAGAAACTGAGTAAGACAATAAAAACAACCGAAACTATAAAAGTACATCCAAAATAGAAAGCTTTTGAGAGGTGAAAATATTAAAGCATTTCTGATGCATAATGGGCCTTTAACATACTTTGATTTCAGTAAGCTCTTCGTCTGTAATAATTGGATTCTGTATGGATTTTGTTAAAAAAAAAATATTGGCATTTTCTCTTCAATTTAAGTTAAAAAACTTAATTTTCCATTACCCTCTAACTTTCAAAGATTCCAAGTTTTCCCTGTAAGGTATGCATGTACACAACACATATATGATAGAAATACTCTTTATTTGGATTCTTTTACGTGGGCTAAGTGTTACTTCCTCACCATAGCTCTGCATAAAGGAACAAACGGAGTTAAATTATTCAAGTGTATTTATACCTCTATTTCTGTAATGTATTGATACGTCTGAATTAAAATTTTGGTCACGATCCAGTTTTCAGGTCTCTTGTGAAGCAATTTTCTTTAAATTTTATATACAAATGACTAGCACTTTTTCAGACTGGTGGCTCTCTTCTGTTTTTAGATTATTTGATAGGTTAAAAGTTGTTTGCAGGCAGTCACAGTGATGCTGTTTGAAGACCTTTGATTAAAACTGCATGAAAAGTTTAAGGAGAGCGAAGAAGGTTTCAGAGAGTCATTCTTTTGAAAAATGTACATGTATATTGTATAAGATGTTTTAGATTATGCATTGTAATGCTTTACATGCTATGATATACTAAATATAACCAGATTTGATATTTCATCACCATATTTGTATCCGCTTTACTAATAAAATAAGGGTTATATTTTGCTTATATTCTGACAAATTTTGAAACTTCCCCCCTCCCTCCCACCTGCAGCCCCTCCTGTACACACACACCTTGCTTGGATGAATTGTGATCTTGATTTGTAGAGTCTATTAGTAACTTAGACTATGAAACAGGTCAGGTTACAGATTTAATGAGGAAGTTGTTTAATTTTAGTGACCTTAATTGTTTTGAGGTCAAAGGTCATTGTCACAGACTGACATCTGATCAATATAAAATAAAGAAATTTTTAGCCTCAAGTTCTCACAAATAGATGGAGAGGTTTGTCCGGATAATTTATAATATAGATGATGATATTGAGGTCATTAGTTAGCAGCCTTCAGTCCTGATATTTGATGGGGACGTTGGTCTTGACCTGTTAATGGTCTCTGCTGGTTTTTAGGGTCAGAAGGTCAAGGCCAGAGTGGTGACTGTTGTCTTGGATATGTGAATTTTGGTCTTGTTTTTGCAACAATATTATTAATGGCAATATTTCTAAGGCCATCCATCCTCCACTATAATTTATATCATTTATTTTGAGCAGTTTCTTGTGTAAAAACTAACACTGTTACAGAATCTGGGAACACTCATTGCATAATTGCCTGCTGGTATAGAACCAAAACCTGAAGCTAAAAACTGAAGCTTATTTATTATAATACTTGTAGCAAACAAGAAGATAATTTACTGTATTCACCAACAGTTGAAAGTTTTCCTTTTGCAGGTAATAATAATAATGTAGGTCTCCCAATGAATGTATATTGTTTGTGTACATGTTTATTTACCTGATATATAAATAAAATTTTGATCTTACATACTTGCCAGCCAATAAAATAAAAATCATAAAATTTCAGTGAGTCACAAGACAAAAAGAAGAAACAGCGTAGGCGACCTTCACCTAGTTCAAGTTCAGGGTCAAGTTCTGAAGAGGAATCTGGTCAGGGGAGGTAAGCTGCTGTACTAATTTACTCCTTACAGGGGAGGTAACCTACTGTATTAATTTACTCCTTACAGGGGAGGTAACCTGTATTAATTTACTCCTTACATGGGAGGTAACCTACAGTAACTGTATTAATTTACTCGTTACAGGGGAGGTAACCTACTGTATTAATTTACTCGTTACAGGGGAGGTAACCTACTGTATTTATTTACTCCTACCTACTGTATTAATTTACTCCTGAACCAGCTTTAAAAGAAAGTGATTAGCCTTTGCTGCCAGAGTAAATGCTTTAACTTGCTGAATTTCTTAGATGCACTTGTCAAGTTTCTGTTTTGGGACTGTCCTTAAACTTACATTATGGTCATTTTTTCGCTGTCAAGAGCTGGACAGCCAACAGTAGCACATGACGCAAAAAAATGATAGCTAGCTGCATGGGTTCAAACCCCCACAGGGGCAAGTAGTTGTTTCCTTGAGCAAGAAACTTTACACTCATTGCTCGGCACTTGTTGGTTCCAGGAACAGATGCCAAAGTGTGTCTATAAGCTTATAGCTTTTTACGCAATGGAACTAAAATAAATTTGGTATTAACCAATATATAGAGCTCAATACTAGCAAGAGGCCGGGTTACAGCAGGGGAAGTGTAATTTCTATTGATTAAGAATCTTGTTACTTATTACTTTTGTATAACTGATATGTTATGAGATTTTCCCTAAAATCTTACATTGAGTAACAGAACTATTTATGTGTACATCACTTGCATACACTTTATGTAGTTATTTACTTTGTTCACCAAAAATTCAATTCACAGATTGTGTATTTACTATAGTACATTTTAATTTGACCTAATTTCAGTTCATCAGGTGAATCAAGTCCAGAGAGAGGTCACAAAGAGTCAAGGCCATCTGAAAGGTCAAGGTTACAGCAAGATAGGTCACTGAACTCTGATTCGTCACCTGAAAAGTAAGGCATTATTTCAGTGATCCTAAAGGAGAATTCTTTTAAGTATATTCATATAGTTGCTGTTTTGTTCTGCTCTCATTCTTTCTTTCAATTTTACTACTTTCATTTTTGATGGAGAAATATCTTGAGATATTCAGTATACAAATACCAAGCATGGACCTCGAGGACCATGGCCAGGTTGTTTTAATAATAAAAAAATTAAAGATATTTACTTCAAAACTTCTTGATTAGCAGTAGAGGAAAGTGTTAGATATACAGTCCACTGTTTTGCAAGTTTTGAGCCACAGCAGGGGCATGTTTTCCATGACCAGTTGATTGACAACCAAATGTCAAAATAAAAAAGAGAAGAAATTTCAGTTATTTGTGGCAAAACAGATAAGTAAGTATAGACTGTAAAAAAACAGGTACACTTGTCACTGGACTGCATATATGTCTAGGGGGATTTTGCTTTTGAACTCAGCACTGTTGGTGGTTTTCGTGGTTAGGTCAATTCATGAATTTAAGATTGACAAAAAAATTATTTGGCCTGCTGTATGATTATTTATACAAACTGAAAATCCACGGATTTAAGAATCCACGAAAATGTCCTTGTTGACAAAACCATAAAATTGCATGCCCTCGAAATTATGTGAATCCACGGTATCTATACAATATAACACAAAGCTTTGCTATTGTTTCTTGATGATAAATCAAGGATTTGTTTTTCTTAAATTAACTAGATAATAATATTGACTGTCAAACAATTATGATTAATGGCAGTTTGTTTCTCATTTTATAATTTTGTAAATAATTCATATGCCTTCTTTGTTTTGTTATGTTATTGTTATGGTAATTGTTTTTGAATGTTGCATGAATTGAAAATTAGCATTAATAAAAAAACTGCTCTTAATGTATATTATGAATAACGAGCTTTTGTGCAAAATATTAAGTAAGTTTTCCATATCGTCATAACTTATCTGTATTGAGATACGAACTTTGAATTTAATGTTGCATTTCAGAAGATCACGACCAGCAGAACGACCCAGGGATCGTAGCGAATCTTTGTCATCATTAACACCCTCCCCGTCACCCTCCCCGCCCCGTAGAAAACGCAGTCACTCCCTCAGCTACTCTCCATCAGAGAGGAGGAAAAGATCAATCTCCCCGGTGAGCAAACAGACGAAAAAAGATTCTCCTCGAGGTGGCGGTAGCAGATATAGTAAGGAATCTAGGTCAAGGTCACGCTCACCCAAAAGGCACAGGTAAAAAAAAAAATTTTTTTTTTCAGAATATTGGATTTATTTATTACCTAACAGTCATAAATATATTAAGGTACTTTGCACATAACACAATATTATCTTTCATTCCATGGTGTGTTTTAAGTCAATGGGGTCCAGGTCACTGTGATTAAACACTGATTTTTCATTTCTTTCATAATTTGCAACCTTATTTTTGATTGAAATGTAAAATATTGGCATTTAAGAACAACAAATGATGTAGCTAAAGTTCTTGTTTGAATAGGTGCTTATTAAAATGTAATTATGATTAAATTTTGCATTAAAAGGCCTGTTATTATAATCATATAATTTGAGCCGCGTCATGACAAAATCAACATAATTGGTTTGCGACCAGCATGGATCCAGACCAGTCTGCGCTACCGTGCAGTCTGATCAGGATCCATGCTGTTCGCTATCAGTTTCTCTTTCTCACTTTCTATAGGGTTTGTAAGCTGGTCGCAAACCCATTATGTTGGTTTTGTTGTGACGTGGCTCATTTGGTTTTTAGTGCTTCACTTAATTTAAGTTGAGGAAAACAATTTTGTGTTATTATGATATAACTTACTTTTTAGAAGATGTATATTTTGATGTTTTAGTAGATCTCGCTCTGATTCTTATAGTAGACGGTCGACACGACACGACAAATCCTCGTCACACAGTCGGAGTCGGTCTCGAGATCGAGAGTCCCGCAGTCCTTCCATTCGGAGACGTAAAGGTTCACCCAGTCATCTCGATAGACGAAGAATCACTAGGTATTTCATGAAGTCTATCTGTTTATATTATGTTGTAGTAGCAATGTTGTTTTGTTTAAAAATTTTGATGAAAAGAAAATTATTTTATTCATATTTAAATAGATTAATTTTAAAGCTTTTGGAGTAAAATTAAACATGAAAAGTTACTTATAGTGTAATTACTTTGTTTAAGTAAGTCTTGTGTAATTTTTTGTATAAAAAATTCAATCACCACAAACAAATCAGTTGTAGATATTTTGCACTCTGTGGGTAGTTGTTGTCGATTGTGGTAAACATGCGCTTTTGTTTTTCAAATTTTATATAGTACTGTACCTTTATTTGCATTTATTTATTTCTATCTATCTGTCCCTTTTTGTTTTGTCACATTTATTTTAAGTTTTGTTTCTTCTTACCAATTTTGTGTTTAAAAGGTCAGGGTCACCAGATTCCCGCCCTTACAGGTCAAGGACATCACCTAGACGATCAAGGTCACCCCAGAGAACCAGGAATAGATATTGAGGAGTCATCATTTGAAATTGGTATAACAGGTTGAATTGAATTGCATTTTTGAAAGTTATACACTTACTAATTAGCAGTTCAACTTACTAACTCGTGAATAATTCAACTAACTGAATAATAAACAAGACAACTAACAAGCTTTCCATACATAGCACAAGTTGAGTGTACCTTTGTCCAAAAAAAGAAAAGAATGGAAACCACTCATTTTCCTATTATTAGTTTGAACCCACAATATTCATCATCATAATTCAATAGTACAGCAGTATCTGATAATTATAATTACCATTGTTGAATATGATCAGCTAGAATAAGATTTAAGTTTTGTATTTAGTCACAAAATAAGGAATAAATTTTATCATAAATATGGGTTATCAGGTTATTGAGTGAGTTATATTCAGATTAAAGTAATGAGGATTTTCTGATGATTGGTAAACTTACTTTCAACCCTTCAAGACCGTAAGGCTAGTCTTATGCTATAAAATGACGTCATTTTGACGCCTTTTCTGAATGAGGTGTGGGTGGGCTTAATAAAGGTGACATCATCCCACAGGTTATGAATGGTGAAGATTCTTATCATATATTTTATTGATCGAAAGAGATCAAAATAAAATCCAAAACTCATGGCATTAGTGTCGATAAATGTTATTTCTAAAATAATAGGACAGAAAATAACTATAAAAACACTTTATTAACACATTACGTTATATAAACGCCTTTAAACGCCTTTTACCCCCCCCCCCCCCCCCCCTTTTTGTTTTCTCAAATGGTGAAAAAATGCCTTATTTAGGCCCCCAACACTTGTTTTTGTTTGAGAAATGTTGTTAAAAAACGACCTCTTTTTCGGCGCGGCCCCCCAACCAAAAGATACATCAGGGGGTTGCCAGAAGGGGGATGTGCCCCCTTCTGTTTGGGGGGGATTGAAGGGGGACGGAGTCCCCCTCATCGCCAAGAAAATTTTGGACTTGTGAGAGGCTATAAATGACCCCAGATTGATCATAAGGTAACGTGTAAGCAACGCTGAAAAGCATTTGACTCTATTTCAATCCATTGAGAAGTTGCAGCACTTTGAAATCAATTTTGATGGAAAAAATCAACGCAAAATAGTGATTTTTGGCAATTTTGAGATGTCCCCTTGTTGCCATGGTAACAGAGAAAAGTTAAGCCTGAGCATGTTGTTGCAAGGGCAATGGTCCAGTCAACATTTGTGCCAAGTTTGATTAGTGTTGAAGCAGTTTTTATAGTATTATAGCAATTTGAACTTGTAACGGGAGACTTTTCAATGAACAGCCATTTTTCACAAAAAATGCTCATGAAGTAATGGGTTAATGTTGCCTCTGTTTATTTATTTTATTAGAAGAGCATAAAAAGAACAGACACATATTTACATGACTGTGGTCCCTAAAGCAGTATGTTTGCCAGATACACACTGGTTATTTTCTTTTTTGTGTATATTAAGAAAAATGGGACATGCTAAATTTCTGGACAAATACGTTATATTTGCCCATAAAAAAACTTAGATCCATCAATCCATATTACTCCTTCGTGATTTTAAGTATGACTTAACAAGAATTACCTTACTTTAATTTTGCCTGCTGTTTGCATGCTTTGATTTTGTACATTTAGTTTGTGCATGATTTTGATTTTCGTATTATGTTTGTTTTTAGGAGGTTTTTTTCTGTGTTATATTTTTATCTGTTTAAATTTCCTGTTGTGTGAGTTTTGGGAAAAAAGGTTTTAATTTTCCAGTTTAGTGAATTTATTATGATTAGATAATAGATTTAGCAGTATTGTTTTACATGCAGAGAACCCTCTTACCTTAGTAAAATACAGTAGCATTTGACACCTTAACAATTAACCTACTAATTATGTAATGTAATTTTACTTATATGTAATGTAAAATTACTTAGATGTAATTATGTTAAATTGGTAATATGTAATGTAGAATTACATATATATAATGTAAAATAACCAATACCTAAGTAATGTCAAACTACTTGTATGAAGTGTAAAATTACTAATATGTAATACAAAATTGCTTATAATATATTAAATATAAATTTACTAATATGTTATGTAAAATTACTTGTATGTAATGTAAAACTACTAATTCCCAGTTATGTAATGTAAAATTACTTACATAAAAAGTAGAATTACTAAGACACTTTGTAAAGTTAAATTACAAATATATAGTGTAAAATTACTAATATGTAATGCAAAATTACTAATATTTAACCATTTTTATAATATTATTTATAAACAATTTAAAAATTTTAAAGACCTTACGTAAATTTAGTTGAGTTACTTAATATTGTCTTACATGCGTATTTAAATTTAGTTTTTTTCTATAATTGACTTATCAGAATGCATTTTAGTGAAATATTTAAATTCTTCAATTTATAAAAACTTGTTATCTCACATAATGAAACCATTGATATAAAGAATTTAGGTTCTGTAGATTTGACTTCTGGACAGCAGAAGATTTTCTTTGACTTTAATATTTTGCCAGTTTAAGTATTGGTTGACTAGCTTTAATGTAAAAACTTAGACCATTGTATAATAATGTAAAAACTTATTGAGATACGGTAGAAAAATGTAAAATCTTACCTACAGTTTAAAATAAAAGGAAAAAATGAGTTTTGAATTTTATTTTATGCTGAGGAAACTGCTATAAAGGTTCATAAGGAAGACTTGGCTTGCCTAACTCACAGTGTTGCCTAAATAAACTATAAAGTCATTATAATTACTGCAGAAGTTAATTCCAGATTTCGTGATATCAATTCATGAAAGGAAAATAAATCATATACATGTATATATTTGAAACAAACAAATTTTCTTAATTTATATGTGTACCAGTATATTTTTAGTTCAATAATATAAATGTGATTACTGGTACATAGGCAATGCAATTACAGTTGTATAAAAACATGTTGATATTAAAGAAAGTCACCAAACTTGTGAAGGCAAAGAGTATGAAATTTTGATGTTGTTACTGAGCTTAAATTTTATTGCATACTAATTAGATATGAATAAGCACTCGAATAAGACACATCATGAAATGTTCCAAAACTAAGAATTGTGGGTATCTTGTTTGTATTACAACTGCCATTTTGCTGGGTGTTTTTGAGATACCAAAAAAAAAGACCCTATATATTTATAAATCTTCTCAGCTGTTTATATATCTTATTCTGTATTTTGGTATTGTTATAGTGCAAGAAAACGGCCCGTTCCGTACCACCGACCTACACCCCCGCCATCCAGTTCCGACTCTGAAGACGAGTACCACCACCATCATCATCATCATCGCAGTAAATCTCGCAGTAACTCTCGCAGAAATAATTCCCACCGTAGACGTCGTAGTCATAGCAACAGTAGCAACGATTCATATAGATAATATTGCACGAGTTTCCTGCGTATTAAACTAACTATTTAATGTAAATGTTTTTCAAAAAATACTTTGATAAAGTTTGAATTGAAAGGGTGTAAAGCTATATTAGAGTGACTCCGATATGCAGAATTTTTTATTGTATTGGGAATTGAATTATTCGAATGAACCGGAATTACTGTAACCTGCTAAATATGTATAATGGATTTGCCCTGCTTTGAATTTGGAACAGTCCATTCAATGTTTAAGGGTTTTCAGTATCAAAATACAAAAATTGAGCTTTCAACAGTATAGTGTCAGATCAGACTGCATGTATGTCCAGGCAGACTCTATGCTATAGTACTAGGTGCGGTAGGCATAGGCATAACTTTACTATCAGATATTCTACAGGTCAGTGTTGTTCGCTTATTATATATGTATTTAAAGTTAGTTAAAGTACCCATCAATTTTCAGTTTTCGAAGGATGAAAGAGTTCAGCATTCACCGGAATCAAAATCCACACTTCGTTAAGTGAACTTCTAAAACTAATAAAACTGTTTGGGAATCGGCATTATTCTATTTCTTACGATACGTGTACATGTTTAATAACCGAGACATTCTTTGTTAAACGATTTTTGTAAAAACCGAAATGCAATAAAAACGTTTATTTGTAAAGTTCTTGAAAATTATTAAGTGTATATTTTGCCAAAAAAGCTTTACACCCTTTGAATTATTATATATAGTTTAGGAAACGGGCTTCGTGTTCACAGAGGAAAGATCAGGATCGGGATCAAATAATTCTGATTTTGATTTTCATGTCTTTGTGAAATCTATATTTACTATTTTAGTCTAAAATGATATGGTCCATAAACAAAATTTAAAATATTTAGGATTTGCATACAATCAAACCTATTTTTGGATAAAATAGATGAATAACAATACAAAAATTTAGAATAATTGGATCAAAATATGGATCAATTTTCGGATCAAGATCAATATTTGGATCAACTATTAAACATAAAATTAATATCATGTAAAATAATGTTTTTCTAAAATTTATTAAACATGCTTTTTCAAGTCCATTTTCAAAATTATTATTATTATACAGTTATTGACTAGTGAGCCATTGAATATGATGTGATATTCACCAGCAGATGTCATATTGACCAAGGCAATAGCTAGAATCGACAATATTTTGATCCTGACCTTGATCCAGATTAATAAATCTTTGTGAACATGGGGCCGGGAGAAAAAAGTTTCTACAATCTGCGTTCTGGTCAATACTTTTGTAAATTGATAATTCTTATGAATATATTTATTCTATTTATTGCTTGAATTTTCAGAGATTTTAATACGGTTCTGTGATAGAAAAAGGGGGAACTTGTGCAATATTATTTATGAATATGTGACATGGGGAAAAAACTGTTAATGCTACGAGTTGTTGTGCTTGTGAAAAGATTCAAATGGGACACTTATGCAGAACTACATGAGCATTCATAACTGTTCTTATAGTTTATTTAATGCAACTTTTATGCAGAAAAAATGATCATTTTGTAAATTGTTGTACCTTTAATTTTCATCCACTTTTCAAGTTTGATACAAATGCAATAGCTATACTATTACTGGGGCATTTTTACTTACGTTTTCATGGTCATAGACTAAGAGCTAATTATAATTCCTCTATGCCAATAGTTCTGAACTAATACTAAAATTTGCGTAGAAGTCTGGCTCTAACTAGTGGCGCAAATCTTGTTTATTTCAACTAGTATGTCAACAGTTCCAAAGTTTATAGTTTTTGATGACGTAAAAAGGGTCATGTTTTGAATTTAAGTTTAAAAAGTACAATCATGTATGCAAACCAGTTAGAAGCCCTGTGCTTAACCCTGCAAACATTTTGGTACCAAGACAGATGCTTGCAGCTTAGCAATCAAGCTTTGAAAAAATGTTTTCAGAAAACCTCAAAATTGTGGTCACTGAGTCTTTTGCTATGTAAGCTAGAAACCAGCATTTTTCAACTTATATACCAAATTACTTTTACATATAAGTGACAATACTTGATAATGCATAAACATTTTTCATTCATTTTATCAACGATGTTATTCCACATGGGGGTCACCAGGTCAATTTCATATTTTTCGTCTTAAAATGATGCCAAATTTGTAATGAAACTAGCACTTTGCTTCAATTTTTATAAAGTATCAGATGTGGACTGTAAAATTACTTCGACTGTAACTAAAAAAGATGTTTTGCTCTTAAACTTAAATAGTGTTTGGCAGGGAGAAGGGTAAAAAATTGAATTCTGCTGACTAGAAATGTTTTTTTGTGTGCAATGTTTGTAATTTGATGTTTATTATGTGGTAATAATGATTATATAACTTTTAGAATATTAAAGGCACATTATGCCTCAAAAATGAATAATACCTTTAATAGAAAAGGCAAACATTATATTTTTTAACATAAAAAATTATGGTTTTAGAGCATGAAAACACACATTCCAACCTGAAGAAAGAAGTCTTGAATGCGAAAGTATTTGTCATAAAAGGGTTAAACAAAGTAGTATTTTGACTTTCATACAAAATACCTTATCTCTACAATTATACAGATTACAAAAATGCAACAGAAACAAAAGATGGTTTAGGTAATTTCTAATTTGCTAATGAGTAACTGTCTGGAAACTAAACTCGGATACCAAAAATAAAAAAAACTTTTGAGAAGTAAAAACAAAGGCATTTCTGGGGCATAATGGGCCTTTAATACTTAACCTTTGTCAAGGTTACGGCCACAGAATCTACCCTTGCAACCAGTGCAAACCAAGATCATCCAGCATGTCTGTACTGCCTGATTATGGTCTGCCCTGTTGGCTATTCAGTTTGTTTGAAATTCTCTCTGAAAATGATGAAGGTTGCGTCTTGAATGAAACATTGACAAGTATATCTTAACATTATATTAAATGCAGTAAAGCTTAATGAACTCAGTAAGAAAATTTTCACATTAGAAATTTCAAACTTCTTCTTTTTAGTAACAATATGTTTTTTTGACAATTTAGCGCCAAAAAACTTGTTTCCATCTATTTCTGTTCCAGTCTATTTCCTATAGAGAATGTTAGCATTTATACAATTTCTTAGGTAAACATAACAAGAAGATTGTGTCAATTTCAGACAGTCTTTTTCTTCATTTAAAAGGTCAAGGTTTTAAGTAATCGATGCAGAAAAGCACTGTTTGAAAGATTGCTTCATGCAAAAATTAATACAATTCTTTAAACTCTTCCTGTAATTTTGGTATAATTTGATTTACAAAAAAATACCATATTAGAACCTGTTGGTTCGAGGATCAGATTTTTAAAGGGGTGGGTGTATTTGATTTTTTTTTTTGTATTTTACAGGTATTACTTAAGCTTTAATTTTTACTTTATTTAGAGTAATGATAAATGTACAAAATTACTAAAACCATTACATTTTTCATTAATTCAACATAGTTCAATGTACATGTCATTTATTCTCCATTTTACATACATAATGTTAACAGAAATGTTTTTATATTATTTAATAGTTAAAAGATTTAGTGAATTTCACAAATTTGAGTTGAAAAAAAAGAAAGGTATAGAAATTTAAATAAATTTTTTTTACAGATTAGGAGTAAAGATAATAATGGATGATTTACTGAAAATTTACAGTATATTTTAAAAGAATGTTAAAATATGGAGATAATTTAATATAAAAGAAAATGATTTTACTGTAAAAATACTATAGATTTTATGACTAAAATATATTGTTTTTAAATTAATAAAGAAAGAAATATGATCAATATTTAATTCACATATTCATGTGAGTTAATTTTATGTTCTCTCTTGTAATAAATACATGTTATAAATACTAAGAAGTTGTTGATATACACAAATGTGGTGATTTTGTAAATACAAGTATAAAACAATGTTTTGAACTGTTTGTAATGTCCAGTTTTATTTAAATGTCTCTGACAAGTTGATCTCCATACTGTATACTGCAATGTTACTATGTGACCTCGCTGAAGGTCATTCACATCAACTGATCTGTTTGAATCATGTCTTAGATATTTAATTTTTGTTAGGAGCAAGGCTAAGCTATCAAGCTAGATTATGCGATAATCTTTGATTCTATGCATGTTCTTTGATTCCACAAATAAACACTCGGTTATTCTACTTAAAGGGAGCTGGGGCCTAGTGGTTAAAATGTCTGTCTCTCAACCAAGGGATCATGGGTTCGAGCCATAATCGGGTCATGACCATGTTTCTTCATATGACAGCAGTACTGGTTGGTGCCAAGAAGTGAATCAAAAGTGATTAATATAATTTGCAAGAACTTATTTTGCAACTGAGCTTAAATGAATATGTTTAAACCAATTCTACTTAATCCAGTGCCAGCTTTAGTCTGACAAGTTGCCCTAGCGAATTTCAAAGCACTTCTCTCTACAAAAAGCTAGAAAATAGTTTTACAACTCTAGCAACATTAGTGCGCTATCAAAGTAAATCTGTATTTTACCATACAAACATAAATTTGTTCAGATATCAAAATTCGCAAACCTATTCAATAGCCCACATTGACGACTAAATAAAACTGGACCACACTATAGCATTATGTGAGATTTGGTTTTTGTTGTTTTTTTAGCACCATGCTTCATGCCATGTCATTGTTTATTATATCATTTCCCATTATTGTACATAACCATTTATATAATGATACAAAAAAACGTCACACCCCATGTAGATAATGATTTGTCAAGTTGTAACTGTCTTTTGAAAATAAAGACTTATTGAACAAAATTTTAGTGTTTATGCTTTTACTAGTTTGTGTATCCACTTGTCGATGACTTCTAATCCAGTTACCTCTCTGGCGTGGGTTTGATCCCCGGGAGATGCTTTGGTAGTTTAGCGCGGAGGAAGGTAGTCTAGTACTGGTGTAACTCTCCAGGAACGATGGTTAGGAAACTACCCGCCTATATGACTGAAATACTGTTGGGGAAAAGTCTTAAAATTAAACAAACAAACTTTGGATAGAATTTTTTTTAGGTAAATTTATATATATGCCTATTTGATTAGGTTAATATAGAAAGCTGTAGAGGTCTGGAAACCTTACATATGGTTTTACATAATTTATTTTTGGTGTGATAGTGTAAGAAGCTTAACCCTTTCACTGCCATAGGGACGGCTTAAGCCGTCCTTGTTATTTTCGGCGTATTTGCCATATGAACGGCTTTAGCCGTTTCAATAAAAATAATAGTTATAATAATAAATTAATAATAATAATTATAAAAATAATAATAAATATAAAGAAAATTATACCATCGACAATAATTATTATTATACTAACAGATTTGGAAACATATATAATTATTATGATACTAATAACAAATAATAATAATTATATTAATTAATAATATAGTAATTTCTTAGAAAATCCTCTGGCAAATAGGTGAACAATAAAACAATAACCCTCTGGCAGCGAAAGGGTTAATGCTTATAGACACGCTCTCAAATCCATTCCTGGTGCCAAGCAGTACTGAGCAATGGATGTTTCTTGCTCAAGGAAACAACAGCTTGCCCCTGGTAGGATTTTAACCCATGTGGAAAGCGATCCATAGATTAATAATTCGGTGTCTTTAACCACTCAGCCCTGCCCCACTAACCTCAGATTTGTATGTATATAGAGAAGTTTTTAATGCCATTCATCCACAACAGCTGCTGCAATTGACTGACTCTCACAAAAGAAATTGACAGGCACAAGGAAAACAGCTCACATACAGAATTATGGAACAAACATTCTTGCATAGCAGACTGGCGTTTCCGTGAGTTTTACCCATGCCGGAAATTTCATCTGGCATGGGGGGTGCCAGATGAGTCGCGTGCCAAACAACAACGTCATTTTAGCGCTCTTTATGAATGAACCGCGGTAAAATGACGTTGTTTTAGAAGGGAAATATGTGCTTAGGATGACGTCATTTCGCCTTTGTTATTAAAGTTGTAAGTTCATACGCTATTTTAAGAAAATAGTTAAGGATGAAATGACTTTAATTTCCATGAACATATATCATATTGAGGTAAACCATTTTAAATACGAAATAATATGGCAGAATATGCAAGAAAAAATATCTGACATATGTTTGCGGTTCGGACCTGAATATCCGTCCCTCGGGAACCCGCCCATGGGCGGTAACTCGGCAAGCCTCGTTACCGCCCAATGGGCGGGTCCCCTCGGGACGGATATTCCGGTCCGAACCGCAACATATGACAGATATTATTATTCTTATAACAGAAATTATTTCTAACTAAATGGATAGGCTTCAATCACGATCGCTGATTCAGGTTATGAGTTAATAGTATTAGTCCAGAAATCTTCTAAAGTATTGGAGTCATTGGCTCTGAGGAATCAAAAATTAAGTAACACCGAGATTAAGTAAAGGGCAACTTTTTACAGCTGCCACACATAACTTAACGTCTGCTGTTGTAAGTACAGAAATTCTGGAAAATGGGAGATCATTCAACCATGATTAAAGGATTGAGTCAATGATCTGATTTTTTTTATACAAATAATTGGTCCAGACTTGCATAAAAAAATGCATAAATCTAAAATAAAATATTGGGAAAAGACCCCTGACAAATTGGGAAATATACAACATTTTTGGAAATTTTAGAGATTTTTTGAAAGTTGAAAATCCACCATAAACGTAACATGTCTCTTCTTTTAAGAAACAAGTAAATATGGTTTAATGTCTCTCAGAAGATTAAAAAAGTTCAATTTTTTTTTGCTACTGTTGGGACCTTTTGAGAGAGAAAAAGGCTATTTTAGATTGGGAATGGGACCTCATTTCAGCCCCTGGTAAAAATGCCATGACCCGGCTTTTGAATTTGAAAAAGTGACGCCATAAACATACACTTGGAAGTACAGGTTTAGGAATTAATGAGTTCAAATATAACAAGACCATTCTTTTGTAGAATAAATATAATATGAAGTAATAAAATATGTAATAATTATGTTTAAAAAAAATCACTAGAAACATTTTCAATAATAATTTATATATAGCAGTCAATATTGCAATTACATGTGTATAACACTCTTTCACTTGATACCCTTATTTTACAGACTGAGCAATGAAGTGCATTATTACACCATAATGCACTGAATTAGAAAAGAAAGCTATGATGTCAGATGACGTTCATTAGCCAAATGCCTTCATGAGAATTACTCTCGTCTCAAACATGGCCTCATAGAGCTAGCAACAGAAATAATGCCCCATCACCATTACCCATCTTGTATGGCAACTTTACAGCTAAGATAAGCTTTGTTTCAAGATAAGAACCTTGGACAGTCCTGTCCCTGTCCTATGCATTATCTCATGCAAAGGACTCCCAAGCTGCACACCTTGGTCGAAATAAAAAAAATATTAAGCGAAGCTTGTGAGCTTTTTAAGATACCATGATTTCAGTGTGCTATGGTGTCATTTAAATCTCGATACTAAATCTATATCTTGATTATACGAAGTAGGAAAATACAGAAAATAAAACAATATTTTAGGCTATGCAGATGCTTTAGATTTTCCTTTCTTTGCAAACCACTCATCACTCTTGTCTGCTGCCATGGCCTGAAAATAGAAATTGTTCAGTAATATTTGTTAAATCTAGGTTTATATGATAGTTAACCAAATACATTTAACTCTATAGGCTAAAATATACTTATAACTCGTGACATGTTGGAACCAAAAATGAGGCGCGTCACAACAAAACCAACGTAATGCGTTTGCGACCAGCATGGATCCAGACCAGCCTGCGCAGTCTGATCAGGATCCATGCTGTTCGCTATCAGTTTCTCTACTTGTTATAGGGTTTGTAAGTGAACAGCATGGATCCTGATCAGACTGCGGATGCGCAGGCTGGTCTGGATCCATGCTGGTTGCAAACGCATTATATTGGTTTTGTCAAGGCGCGGCTCATTTCATCTAGCCTGTATTGGCACCAGAATAGTTTCGCCCCAGTCTAAACATCTGTGCAGTCAGACCAGGCTCTTTACTGTTGGTAGCTCTACTTTAAATATTAAATATTGATATCCCTTTGAAACTAGAATAGACTGTTCCAAAAAAATTGGTAATAAACCAATTTCTCTGTAAGTGAAAAATTACTCACATGCTTTCCTAATCTGTGGTGAGAGACAAAATGACTGCAAAACTGGCTGCCTGAGATCAATTGACACTGAGAAATTTCACCTTGCCCAGGGATCACACTAGTGACAACTAGATTACTAATCTGATGCTCTCCTTATTTGAATAAGTGGGCAAACCAAAGGTGAAAGCATTTAAGGTTATATAAATATAACCATAACTTATCAAGTCATTTTTAAGCCATTCAGTTAACTCAACAGGTTGCTGTTAAACGGACTACCCGGGTTCTATTCCCAGACTGCACAGGTCACTTTTATTTTGATTGATCATGAAATCCTTTCTACAGTCATTCACACTGTACCTCTGCTTTGGCATGTACAGAAGTTATTAGTTCCTTGCGAAAGTGAAGGCAACCAAGTCTGGTAACTAGTAGCGGCTTGACAGCTTACCAAGGAATGATGCTGTGACTGAATTGTGCTCTGGTAAATTCAATGTGTAATCTGAAAGGTAAACGACCAACACAGGCTTTCTACTGCCTCTACCAAAAAAACTAGGGAAAAAGTAGGGCATTTTTTTACCAAAAAGTAGGGCAAAGTAGGGATTTCTGATGTTAAAAACTAGGGATAAAGTAGGAATTTCTTACTGTTTTAGTTAAGAATTAGCAAAACATACCATTACCAAGACCACATCAGGCTGTGTGTATCTTCAGTTCAGTCCATGCTTGAAAGACATGCCCCTCATAGGCAGAATGTTGCTGAATGTTTTGCCAAGGCACCATGAGCAGAGCTGCATCAGTACTAAGGGTGTAGTACTAAAGTACCAGTACCAGTACTTGCCAAGATTTGCAGTACCATTTCCAGTACTAGTACTTGATTTTAGCTTGGTGCTGCAGTATCAGTACTTTTTGGGGGGAAGTAATTAAGTACCAGTACTAATACTTTTATATATTCATCAAAGTTTGAATAAATACACAGTGTCATTCAAAATAATTGCAAACATTATTCAACAAAGAAATAAAATCATTTACTTTAAAGTTGATATTACATTTTTACAACTTAAATGAACAAACATACTTTTTACAAACAATAATCATCATATATTCATGTCATATGTTATTGTTTTGTAACCAGTCAACTGTAATACAATGCAATAATCTTACATTTTAAACCCACCAGTCTTTGTGTTGCCTTTTACACCTTCACACCTCTGTTCAATTTATACCAAAGTAAAAAACTTTTTTATGGTGCTAACAATATCACTTGAAATATGATTATTTAGAATAGAAGTAATTAATTAGTGTTTATTTTGCTCTTTTTTACTAGTAAATACAAAGTAATAAGATTGCAATAAGGATATTTTACCAGTAAAGAGTTATTGACTCTGTTTATCTCAATTTAATTTTACTTTAAGTCTTTGGTGCTTTTTTATGATGAATACTATGTTAACATTTGAAGGAATATTGCAGCAAATTATTTAAAGATTTGATAACTTACTTTTTCACAAAAATAAAATAATACATGGGAATTTACAGCTTTACTTTATGAGTAAAAATAATGACATTTTTATCAAAACCAAATATACTGCCTAGTAATGCAGTAGCAGTACCACTTAAGACAGTAATGCAGTACCAGTACCTGAGTAGTAGCAAAATTTTGTAAGAGTAATTCAGTATCAGTACCAGTACCAGTACTGGAGCAAAATTGCTCCAGTATATACTGCAGTACCAGTACCAGTAATGCAGCTCTGACGATGAGTCTTTCAAGGATGGACATCACAAGGAGACACTAACACACCTTAACTACTCATCAATTTCTACTGAAAATACAACTGAAATACCATTTTAAATATCTTCTTTTTTTTCATTTCATTTCAAAATGAAAAAGTAGGGATAATAGGGCTATTTCAGAAAAAAGTAGGGCAAAGTAGGGATCAAAAGAAAAAAGTAGGGAAAAGTAGGAAAAGTAGGAAAAGTAGGGACCAGTAGAAAGCCTGCCAACACCACCACTACAATCAAGTCATTGATCATGGTCTATTATAAACCTGCTTGTAACTAACTGCAACGTTTATGGATTTGTTACTATATACACAAGAAGACAAAACCAACATAGTGCGTTTGCGACCAGCATGGATCCAGACCAGCCTGCGCATCTGCGCAGTCTGATCAGGATCCATGCTGTTCGCTATCAGTTTCCCTACTTGTAATAGGGTTTGTAAGCGAACAGCATGGATCCTGATCAGACTGCGCAGATGCGCAGGCTGGTCTGGATCCATGCTGGTCGCAAACCCATTATGTTGGTTTTGTCATGACGCAGCTCATTTACACAAGAAGACAAACCTCATCTAGGAGTGAATCAGCCTTGGAATCTGTCTGTGAAAGTTCACGGAAAGCCTCGTCCCCAACAAAACATATCTCGTGTCCATCCTAAAATTACAGGTTTCTAATTTATTATCATTATCCAGCTAAATTTTTGTTGCTGTTCAGTTTTAAAATCACTCTGACACTGCAAAGGTCATGTGATTACTATAAAGCTTTACTTGTGGATTATTTTAGGCACCAAGGGTAACCGGAGTAGAACCACCAACATTTCGTAGGCTAGCTGAATGGCTTCCCCAGATGAAAGAATCCATATCCGGACTATTGGGATTCAAACTTAAGGTGGTAAGGGATAAGTGCTTTGAAGTCAACAACCTTAACCACTCAGCCGGTACGTTAGGAAGTCTTATAAGGAATGTTGGTAGTTTAACAAAGGTGCTCACTCCAACCTCGAGTAAAACCGGATAGCTGCCAAAAATCATGTTAAACACATATGACCCCAGGGTCAAAAGGTTATAGAATATTTTTTATCTCAAAGGTACATAATCTGTCAGAAACCAGTACAGAATATATATTAACTGAAAATCTTGTGATTCATGACAGAACTCAGAAAAAAAGTTTTATAACTTGAGGTTACAAAGAAATTTTCCTAGCTTAAACTCGGGCCTCAGATGTTTGATTGGTCAGAAACTGGCATAGACCATATGACCATTGAAAATCCTGAATTTGAAGCCCGAGCTCAGATAAAAATTCTATTACCTTGAATCATGTATTTATGTTTAAAGTACTTGTTTTGGAATCAAAATTATTCAATGAAGATATAAACTTATAGCTTTACCTTCGCCCAATACAAGCAAAACAAGATAAATAAATAATCAACCTTCCTTTTGCTACAATATATTCAAAGAATCATTAAATTCTCAATGAAATTTAAATAACCGTGATCAGAAATAGTCTTCAAATATATAGCTAGCACAGGCAGTGTGAATATGACCAAATTATGAAAAGTGACCTACAGGGTCAGCCGGTATAACAACTTCTACAGTGGCCTTGCCAGGTGTGTCCAAGCTGACCAGTGGAGTAAGAATCTTCTGTCCGGCAGAATTTAGTTTGTCCTGTATCCCTGGTAACTGAAATTTTAGTATCAAGAAAGTCAACAGTTATTAAATCAGGGTCAATAAATTCAGTGTATATATTTGAAACATAGAGACTGACAATTAAACAGAGATTAATATTACTTAAAGGGACAAGCAGGTCTTAAAATTGGAATTTATCTTTTGATTTCAACATAACCAGCTGTGATCTAATTAAATTTCGCAGGCATAAAATTTTGTAGTTTTGTCACAAAGGATACTTTTGTGGGTTCTTAAATTAGTGGATAGTTTATTTGTGCAAAAAATATATATATATAAAATGCAAATAATGTAATGTTACTTCAAGAATAATGTATACACATTTCTGTTACCTCTTCTCTTGGACAAGAAAATGCTACCCTTCCAAAGGCTGTGGCATGATCTATGTCCTTTCCTATATCACACAGTTCCAATTTACACTGAAAATTACATATACATGATACAATACCAAAATAAAGTGCTTTGTATTTAGAAACATAAAAGTAGGAAATCGGTACTAAATTGTAAGTCTGCTAGTGACTGATTCTATGCGACAAAAATAAGCTGGCACATTCATCTCATAAAATAATAAGAAAAATGAAAATGAAATTTACTCACTAATTAATTTAAAATCATCTTTCGTGCTATTCTTATCCAAATTTGAGTGAAAAGTGTTGCATCACTTTCCAATTTTAGGTCTGTCTTTTTTTGCAACTAGAATAATTAATTTGGAAAATTGGAAAGAGCAAATGATCTGAAATTTTGCACACAAATTTTTGGTCTAAACCTACATCAAATAGAACATCAATCTCGAAAAAATATTTTAAAGTCCTGTCATGTCAAAAAACCTCTGTGGAGTCCCTTTAATTGTTGAGTGAAGTGCATGTCAGTTAATATGAAAATTTTCAAAAACTTTTCAAACACAGTGTGTTTACTTTATAAAAATAACATTACCTGATCATCAGCATAGCCCAGTACAGCTGTCTTGTCAGCTTTAGAATATACTTTCATACCACACAACTCTGACCAGAAATCTAAAACATATACATGTATTATAACAACTAAAACTAGAAAAGTGTTCATAGGATACGGATGCCCCCATATTCTACTGTTTTGTCAATCTACACCCATAAGAAGTGGGAGCATAAAATATGCAATTCTGTTAAATAATCTATTATTTGAAATATGTAAATCTATCAAAAATAAATTTAAAAAATTTACTTGCACATGTACCTGCTATAATTATGTTACTGAGCTATAGGCATATCAAATTGCAACATTTAGTAAGAATCACACATAACTTAGTTTATGCTGAATTTAATTCAATTCAATTGTATAGGAAGTAATAAGCTTAAAAACACACTCTGAATTCATCCCTGGACCCTTCTAGAACTGTACCATGAGTGTGAAGTTTCATGGTCAAGGAAACATGGGACAATCCAGTACTGAGCTATGAGTGTAAAATTTCTTACACATGTAAATGACAGCTTGCCCCTGATGGGATTTGAACCCATGTCCCTAGTGATTCTGTGATTACTAGTCAACAGCCAACTAATTTAACCTGTGACTTTAAAAATTGTCATTATTTAGCTATAATGGTAATGGCTTGAAAATTAAATTCAACATTAAAGGGACTCCACTGAGGTTTTTCGACATGATGGGACTGAAAATATTTTTTCCAGATAAATGTACCATTTTATGTAGATTTAGACCACTAATCTTTGTGTAAAATTTCAGATCATTCGTGCAGTTTGTTTTTCCAGAACAATTATTCAAATTGTAAAAAAATGACCCAAATTAAAAGCGTTGAAACACTTTTAACTTAAATGGGGCTAAGAAAAACATAAAAATATGATTTTCAATTTATTGCAAAGTATATTTCTAAACTATCTTTGCATATATTTCTGTTTAAAGTGCCCCAGCTCATTTATGAAAGAAATTCAAATGTTATATTTTTAGGCTTTTAAACCTCAGTGGAGTCCCTTTAATTATGCTAAACAGTTTGTGAACATACCTACTGATTTCTGTAAATTTGAAGATGCTAAAGTGACTTTCTTGACTGGATCTGAAGATACATAATTAAGAAAAGTCTATAAATTTTTTAACTTGCCAAGAGTTTCTGCCTTTCAACCTAAAAATGAACTTTATAATAATAATATCAATAAAATATCTGGATGGAATAGTTTTGGTTAATCATTAACAATATAAAACAGGGCTTTTCATTGGTTTAATTTGTTTTCATTCTATCATTTGTCATTAAATATTAGGTTCATTGATGTTGTTGATTTTCTCTGATTTGTTATAATTATATTCAGCTGATTTCCCATGTTGTTTTTTTTGTTGTTTTTTTTTATTTATCAATATTGTAAGTTTCAAAAAGCACTTTTTATAAAGATATTTCTAAATTTAATATTTCATTTAAATAAAGGGAGGTCATTAGAAATTTGTTTTCTGTAAATTCTAAGTCAAATTTTCCAATAAGAAATGAATGCATATAATTTAATGATTACATTTAATATGTACAAATATTTGCAGTACATTTATTACATATTCTTCGATGTTTGAAAATTGTTGTATTAGCATAATTATATGCATATATAATTTCACGCAAGAGTGGTATACAACCACAATTACAAAACATACAGGATCTTTAAGACACATTTACATAGATAAAAATCTTTTTCCCATTTAAGACTTCTGTAATATATAAACATTCATGTGTGTCTAAGCTCTGATTAAATCTCCATAATTATAATTTTACAATTATTTCTGTGTCTATAGATAATGGGAAATCACGAATACTTTATTACATCAATCAATACTGATACCCATTTTACAGTAGGTTTGATATAAATATATGACTTTAACATGTTTTCATATTTAACTATGTTGTCTTACATACAAAAGTAGATTCAATTCAAATATTTAAATACAGACTGTAACTTTTTATCTGATCAAAGGTAAAGTGTGTTTGTAGTTAACCCTCTGGATCACTGCAGCCAGACACATCAAATTCATCTGGGCAAAGTTCAGTCTCCTGGGCAAGCTGCATAGCAGTTCACCAGTACTAGTTGCCTTCACTTTAACAAGGACATTCTGGTTATTTCTGTATATGCAAAAACAATAGTACAGTGGGAATGAGTGTAGAAAGGACATCATGTCCATCAAAAAGTGAACTGCACTATAAATGAATTGAACCCAGGCTGCCCGGTTCACAGTCCAACCTCTACCAACCAACAGAGCTAACCTGATGATGCATCCAATCAAAGGTCATTCATACCATAAAAGTTTTATTAAACGCCCCCGGGGGCTAAACGTTTTCCAAAAGGGGGGCTATTATTACAACACCTTTTTTCCTAAATCCAAAAATCATTGTAAATACATTTAGTGTTGGTAATAACATTAAAAAGTGTTAAGGTTTTAAAGTTCATATAATACATTTTTGTGTTTACTATAAGATGCACTGGATTCTGAAAGATTCCAGTTCATCACTGATAAGTAATTTTTTTCCATATCAAAAAGCCAGGAGGCCTTTTTTAGGGGAGAGGCATTTATTAGGAATTTTACGGTATATTTGTTTATATATAACATTTCCTATATATCACCTCAGCAGGCAATCTTACCCCCATCATTTTGTTTATTCTCAATATGGAACATATAACCATCAGGTGACTTTACTGTGACTATACCATCTGTTTCTGTACTTGGGTAGTTATATTTCTTTATGTTGTCCAGGACTGACTTTGAATACACTGTGATACCCTGAAAATACATGTACATGACTTTCTGTATAGAAATGTTATTGTATCACTGTTTGTAATTCAAGACAAAACAAAAAATAGTTGTATATCACTGAGTTAACTAGAGGTGTCCATAAGACAGTGCGCTCAACTATTCTCAGAGCTTGACAGTACAAGGGGCATAACTTTGTATAAAAGTACATGTACCTCTGTGATCTGTGCCAATCATGTCAGATAATCACAGAGAACATGTGTGTGAAAATTCCACCCATTCCCTTTAGTAGTTTTGCAGATACCAACTAGTACAAACTTGTAACACCAATACCGGGGGGACCAAAATAGCTCTCCCTTAAAATCTTTGAATAGTAGAGCTAAAAATGTACTGGATCAAGAAGACAATAAGGCTGACAAAATTTAAAATAGGACCTTTATAAAGACTTTAATCTCAAATAAACAGATATTCATAAATATTAGAATGACATTTCTGTAAGGTCCCAAATAAACAGATACCAATTAATTCTAATAAATTAGAATGAAGTTTTTTGTAAGAAAGTATCTTGTCAAATGTTGCTGAAAAAATAAAGAAAATACAGACACTTAAAACCAATTTCTAATACTTAAAATACATGTAAATGTTCAAACAGAAGGTTTTCTATGGTAACCTACCATGAAATCATTTCCAAGTTTGTATGAGCCTAAACCGTAATTGTATGTTAGTTCTATAACAAAATGATTATCCTCAGAACCATAGCCCACCATAGATTTACTCCATTTCCCATCATATGGTCTGAAATAAAACAATATAAAAACAAAATTTCATGACTTTGCATATTATGAAATTGTCTTTGAAATTTGGTGTGCCATGTTTATTAAGTTTAGAAGTACATTATTAGTATAGTCATTATGACTACTTTATTCAGATAAGATTTTAATTTCAGTTTTATATTATTATCATTGTATTATTATTATTATTATTATTATTATAATATAATTATTTTCATTATTATCATTATATTATTATTATTATAATTATTATTATTATTATCATTATTATTATAATCATTATTGTTGTTATATAATTTTATTATTATTTTTAATTATTATTATTCTATATTATTATTATTTTATTATTATTATCATTATTATTATCATTAATTATTATTATTATTATTTTTATTATTATTATCATCATACTCTTGTTGTTATTATTATTATTATTACATTGTTATTATCATTATTATTATTATTATTATTATTATATTACACAAAGACAGAGTATCTAATTTTATAATTAATTGAATATTCTTACAGTGACACATTTATTCATTATCAAAATTTGATTATAACTTCTGGATTGAGTTTTCCATTTAGTAAGGAATATAATTAAATGCATTACCAAACCACTGGCTGATTAAGGGCAGGCATCAAAAGTAGAAAAACATGTTAGAACACTAAGATTCCATAAATTTCAAAGCTGATTTGTTTTCTCTTTCTTTTTGTTTTCACTTATAGAGCTTATCTATGTATTAGATGGCACAATTTATATGTATAATATTAAATAATTGAAGTTATATGCATTAGATGACTAAAATTATATGTATTAGATGACTGATATATGTATTGTGACTGAAGTTATATATAAAAGATGACTGAATTTATACATACTTGAAGTTAAATGTATTGGATGACCTCAATTATATCTATTAGATGACTATATTATATGAATTAGATGGCTGAACTTATATGTATTAGATGACTGAAGTTACATATACTTGATGACTGAAATTATGTGTATTAGATGACCTCAATTATATCTATTAGATGACTGAAATTATATGAATTAGATATCTGAAGTTATATGTAGTAGATGATTAAAGTTTTATGTATTAGATGAATGAAGTTATATGTAAAAGATAACTGAGATGACTGAAGATGTATTAGATTACTAAAGCTATATGTATTAGATGACTGAAGTTAGAAGTTGATTAGATGACAGAAGTTAAAAGTTTTCTCTCACCCATTACACGATGCTTTGCAACCTTCCTCAAACTCTTCATGGCGGAGAAACTGCAAAATAAGAACTTTAAAAATTGTAAAATGCAACCTTGATTTTCCCTCATCAAATATTTTCTTAAATTTTGCTTCAATTAAATATACATGTATTCTGGCAGCAATCAAAATATCATTTTACATCATACTTACAGTAAAATGTTATCAGCAGTTTAATCTTAATCCATCCCTATACGTATGGTATGCATTTCAAATGTCAGTGAAACAGTCTCAGTTGTCAAGCCAAATGTTATAAATCATGAATCTATATACTTTTAGGGATTTTTTAGTTTATTTTATAGCCAATATTCTGTCAATTTCCAAATTGAAAATAGTATATTATTTTCCCAATTCACAGGAAAAAATCCCAAACAAAAGTTACAAAATAAAAATAATGAACAAAAATATTGATTTTATTCTAAAATCTTTAAAAAAAAGGCTTCTTCACTGTTATACATGTACTGTGCTTGATTAAATGTTTGAATATGCCATCCTAGACATGTTTGAATATGCCATCCTAGACAGTGGTTGTTTGCATTCAATTTCATTTAATCACTGCAAAATTTCTGTCATGCATTTTTTCCCAATTTTTAACATGGCATCGGTAAAAATTCCAATTCCATGGGTATGGGCATGGGTCATGTTTGCAAAATCCTGGAAAAAAGTCCTATACTCTAATACTGTTGTTGTATTCCTCATGTTAATTTATTCATATTATAGTAAAATAAACGAAACATGACACATAAGTGTATATAAACAATTAAAGAAATCAGTACGAAATTGTATATACAACTAATAATATTCAGTACATGTGTCATAATATAGGACACTTCAAAATAATACTCATTAGTCTAAATTCATCTTCTAAAAATTAATATCAAACAGTCAAAAGATATACATATAATACCAGAGACATATTCTAAAATACATTCAGTGTTTTTAATTTGTCCTCATCTTATATTCATACACTGTTTTAGCAATTTTAACTTGTTTAAGAAAAACTGTCCGAAAAACGTAATTATCCGAATACGTTCAAGAAAGCTACTTACTTTCATGCCTAGGATTTCTCTAAAGAATTTTGCAGTCTCTGTTCTGTTGCCGACTTTAAATACAAAATGTAATGCCCTTCTTGTAGACATCATTAAAATCAAATGACAATTCCCTTGAATTCCAGAAATATGAATAAAATTTTATATGTTCAGTCGCGTTTGTTGTTGTCCTATAGCAGGTCACATGACACTAAATCTTGGGTAATCTTAATTGTCAGCTTGGAAGACGTCGCATAAATTATCGATTTAATTGTTGAAATAGGCAATAAATATTAAAAACACTCAATAAATATTAAAAACACTCGACCAAATGTTTATATAGGCTAAAAAGTGAATTAAGAATAAAAACATCTACATATAGATCTACTAGTCTCAGTGATGTAGTATACGTTCTTGTAATAAAACCACATAAATAAATAAATACAGACAAGAATGATCGTTTTAGATAGCTGTTAATATTCAGTGTGCAAATGCAACATAAGAACTAACAATACTATGACTGTACAGGTACAATGTAGTATTGTCAGACGCCATAGGAATTATGCTAAGGGGGCGGGTCCATCATAATTGACAGCGTATTTAACATGTAGCTATATGTATATAACATTCCTGATGTAACTACTGCTCCAAGACTGTACATATTTTGTTGATTTTGTTGCTGTTGATTTTTTGTTGCTTTTTGTTCGTTTTTTTAATGATAATTTTCTAAACCACATTTAACCATTATAACTACATGTAGCAGGCGCGTTATCAGGGAACTGTTAATAAATAAAAGAAAGGAGCTTGGTATACATGTAGAGCTCTGCACATGTGTGTGCAAAATTACATAAAAAATAGACTAAAATAAATAAGAAAGAGTGAAGTACAGATTTTTAAACTGATGCTATCCTGTACGATTATTTAAAGAGAGTTTGATCCACGGTCGGTAATATTAATTTCTAGAGGAAAAACGAGTTTTATATGGTACTGTGCTCTCGAGAAATGTACATATATAAGAGTTTTTGTATGCATTATTGTAATGACTGTGTTGATTGTATAAGTAAAAACAAAAATGTTTTATATTTTGTACATGTGTGACGGTTATATTTTCTGATCATGTTTCGACGCCGGTCCGTGGATCTTTTTGGCATGCTCTACGTACATTATAAATCAAATATGTTTACCAAGGATGCCAAGCGATTGAATAATGCTCGGAATGTGTTCTTGCACATATATATGAATAGATCTATTCAGTTTTATTTAACATTAAATAATTTCTCTTAAAATAAATAGAAAGGGGTTATTTGCTTTAGCACATGATTAGTAAACCTCTATGTGTTTATCTTCTTGTTTTTTAGTGAATATTATGGAGAATATAGAGATTTAGCGTTTATTTGATTTCTTTTTCATAAAATTCTGATGACGTCTCATTTATTTGGGTAAAATTCCATGGACCAATCATTTTCAGTGCAATGTTTCAAGGTTATCTTGAAGACTTTTGGTATCTTGTATGGATTTGATTGTGGACAACACTCTGAAAATAGTCTCAACATCACCTTTTTAACACTTTGAGGGTGGAGGCATGTGAAAAGGACAGAAAAAAGCAGTCCTGACTCTGAACCTTGTGAGACCCCCGAAAGGACTGGAAAATATGACTGAATTCCACCTTTCAGTTTGTTTAGAGTGGGACCTAAGGAAGAAGTGGACAAAGTTTGTGATGTCATTGCTAATGTCTAGTCTATGTAGTTTACTCATAACGTGTTGATGATCCATCCCATCAAATGGCTTGTTGTAACCCATGGCTATGTAATACTAGTACGTCAGAAAGGTATCTTAAATCTTGCATATTGATTGTTTATAGGTAAAATTTAAAGATTTGGTCAATATCGCATGCCTTATTCTGTTTTGTCGATGTAGGAAGAACAAATACAGAAACGTAACTGTGATTATATAGTTACGTATATGCTCTTTACCCCCAGAAACTTAATATTCGTAAAATTCACTGTCACATTGTTTGCGCGAAAGTTTATCTCCGCGAAAACGCAAATCTTACGAAAAACGCGAAATATTTTTGTCGCGAATTCAAAGTTTCTAGGAATACAATATCAGTTGGTTGGCCTTTTCAAGACTGTCATGTATTTTTAGGGAAAAGCTTACAATTTGACACTCACACAACTAGGTTTTAACACGAAGCCATGTTAACATAGGCTTAGAATGTTGTGTCGATTATAAAAGTATATAATATTTGACACTAAAATGTAATAAATCAGTTCGGATGCTACGCATATCAGGGAGAAGGGCTTTATTTCTTGAGTTTCAACTTCTGACCCTTCTTGTACACTGGGCAATTAAGGCACGCTTCAAATAATTTGGTACAAAAGCTTCCTGTTGTAAAGAAGATCTAGAAGAAGATGTGGGTAAGTATTAGAGAAACTTCTTTAAATAGCATTGTGGATATTTGATCGGGACCAGAAACTTTTATAAAACATTTTTAAGTTAATTTACACCATTTTCAGATATGAATTAATTTGGCATGGCTGAATGGTCATGTGGGGTGAGCATATGTTTACAGGACTATGAAAAACTAATCTGGAGACTGAAGAAGACATACCTGAATTAGGGGATTAACAAGTTTGCTCTTGCAGTTGGATCAGTAAATGTTTGAACTTCTTGACTTCAGGTCAGCATGAAAATTATAGACTTTCCTCGTTCTATTTGATTTTAGCTTTTAAGTACACTACACTTTTGGATTTAACTTTTTTTTTAATTTTGAGTAAGTTCTATTACATTTCCTTATTTTGGGCATGAAGTCTGCGAAAACGCAAAAAGAAAGAGGACACATTTCCAAAAATAAAGATATATTTATTGCGATATTCAGTTGGATTTCATATAGGAATGACAAACTAAAAGTAAAGAAAAACAACAACACGATTGACAAGTTTGTGACTTGAAGATTTTGTACATGAAAATATCATCTAAATACATGAATTCACAGACGACTTTCTGATATTCTAAAAAATAATTCAGTATGAATCTAGATATAATAAAATTATATTATTTTTTTTCTACTTAGGTATAATCTTAGCACTGGTAAGTTAAATACGCTTTGTTAACGAAGAGCAGTTTTATCACATGTAGTAATACTCTTATAAATGCAAAATATAGTATTACATTTAGTTATCAGACCACATATACTACCAGAAATAAACCAGTAAAGATGTAACTAACAATGTTACGGTTGAAGACAAATGAATTCCGTGAGCACCATCTATTTCCGGTCTATTCCATCCGTCATTTCCGTTTCCGTTACACTTTTCTCTTTCCAGTTCAGCAGCGCATGAATCCAGTTTGTTATAGTGCTCAAGTAAGGTAACTTTCATTGACTGGTCTTCGGTACTGTCAAGAGACATACCTCGGAACATTTTGTAAAGACCAGGGGCATAGCACGGATGCTGAAAAATTTCCCGCAATATTGGCTTGCATTCTTCCAAACAAAGTCCGACCTTGCAATTCTGTTCCAAGAGCGAATACCGCTCTATATTTTCCGGATCTCTGTGCATGAATTTATATAATGATTAAGATAAAGACATACATGATATAGAAAATGAAAGGCACCATATAACTGACACGCATAATAATTATATGCTAGCTATGCACATTTACATGCGTGAGGAAGCTTACGTCATCTACAGCGACATATAAAGCGAGCACGTGCAAAAATAGCATAAACACGATCACATGACATATATTAGATAACTCTTTTATTTAAACTATTATTTTCGAGTCAAAGTCAGCTGAAAGTACTTTAAAAAAAGAAATAATTTTTTTTTGCCCCTTCTGGGGTTTGAACCCGCACCCCGCCGTTTCAATGCAGTTGGCAGTAGTCCCAGCATATTCTCAAAGCGGAGGTAGTGCATTTTGGGGAATCATAACTTAAAGGAAGATGTTATTCACTCATAAGCTATAAGAATATATATATTTAAGATTTTAGTCATTTTTTTTTTAAATTTACTTACGCTGGGTTTCCAAACTTATTCAGGTCACAGCCGTCCGCATAACCATCTTCCCATTCGCAGGAGTCGATTGTGCCGTGCGAAACGCATTCTATTATAATAAATATAAGTTTCATATACATTTCATTTTGTATAGAAATAATATCAACCTTATTATTGTGCTGTATAGGGTCCTTGGAATGAACCAAACATTTGACTGAACGTTTTTGCGAACATTTTTGTTTTCTACAGAATTTACTTTAGTTCGATTGTATAGGAAGTTTAAAGGTTATAGACACACTGTCGAATCCGTTCCTGGAACCAACCAGTACTGAGAAATGAGTTTAATGTTTCTCGCCCCAGGAAACAACGACTTGTCCCTGACTGGATTTGAACCCATGCGGCTAGCGATCATTAGACTGGTCAGGCACGTTAACCACTCGGGCATGCCGCCACAAGTTCTCAAACGGTTTTGTTACATTAAACAAAATAGAAGTTTTACAAATACTAGTTGTCGTTACATGACCCATCCATTCTTGTTTCATAGCATACTCACGTCAAATGGCCACAGCTACACCGAAAGGAACGTTATGTAATTATCTTACAGGTCCATTATGTCCCAGAAATGCTTTTATTTTTTATCCTTAAAGTTACTCATTGGCCAATTCCCTGAATTTTTTTCATCGGTTGCTTTCTTGACTATAAGTACAGTTACAGTGAACTATGGTATCTTGTATGGAAGTCAAAAAAGTACTTTGCTTACATTTTGCTACTTTAGTGCCAAATATTTCACATTTATCGCTTTTGTCATCAGGTAACAAGCACCTAACATTCTCTAAAGCCATAATTGAAACATTATAGAAATCATTTTTACGGTTTTTAAGAATTGAAATTGAATTTGTTTATGAGGCATAATGTGCCTTTAACTGCCGATGTACGCACCTTGTCCCATCCAGTTTTCTTTCGGGTAGTACATTAGGAATGCAAAGCACATTTCGTCGTTGGTAGCCTCCCCCATAAACGTCGTCTTTGTGCGAGAAGTTGACTTGAAATCACACCGTAACTTAAGTTCCATACCAGGTTCCATTTCGACTGGCTCGTCAAATCTTTATTTTGAAAAAAAGAAAGAAAAAGAAATCACGTCATTAGTAATATGAAATTAGACAAAAGTCGATTAAAATAAAATAAGGCAAACCTATGAATTGGGAATTCGATTAAAATAATCGTTCATTTTTATTTTACATGTTCTGTTTTGAAGGTTTCATGCGTTATTTCATTACCCTCCTCCGTTTTCACTCGTAACACCTCAAAGATTAAATTGCGATCGTTCAGTTATCGGAATACTCAGCCTATTATTATAGAGTTACATTGAAAATGACAGCGCCCTATCAGATATGGCACTTGAAATTTCACTGATTGGTATAGAAGTCAATATATATTTTAATTGTTTTCTTTATTTGATTTCCTTTTAAATATATACTTGTTGTCTAAAGCCGGACAAGCCAAAGCCCGGGCCTCGGTCTTTGACTTCCTGCGTAAAAATGAGAAAAATCATCTCACTTTTTAGATATAGATTAATAGTTATATTATTTTGTACTTTCGATCAACCTCTTATAAAATTTGGAAATACTTCGAATCTAGCCTTTAAATATAGAAACATATTGGTTGAACTTACATGTAGAACTCTGGACTATCATAACTGTAGTTTGGATCATCAGCTAGAACGTGTATTTTGTTGTCCCTTGTAACCAGGCTGGATAACGCTGATTTACCTGGTAAAGAATATAAAATAATATAAAAATTGGGAGTAACACGTGCTCTTTACTGTCTTAAGTAACCGGGTTGGATACCGAAGATTTACCTAGTTAAGATTATTAACAAGAGAGCCAAGATGGCCCTGGATCGCTCACCTGACCAATCGAACTCATCAGAGAAATTACTTAGGCAAACATCCTGACCAAGTTTGATGACAATTCAGTCAAAATTGTGACCACTAGTGTGTTAACAAGGTTTTTCCATATTTGGGCAGTGTGACCTAGTTTTTGACCCCAGGTGACACATATTCGAATCATCAAAACAAACTTTCAGACCAATTTTCAGAATATTTGGATAACAACTTACAGTATCCACTACAGCGTTAACAAGATTTTTCTATTTTTAGCTCCTGTGACCTAGTTTTTCATCAGAGATGACCCATGTTTGAACTCATTCGATCAATTTACTAGGCAATCATCCTGAGACAGATTGATGACAATTGAGTCAAAAATGTGACCACTAGTGTGTTAACAAGGTTTTTCCATATTTGGGCAGTGTGACCTAGTTTTTGATCCCATGTACATGTAACCAATATTCGGACTTGACCAAGAAATCATCAAAACATACGTGCAGACCAATTTTCAGGATATTTGGATAACAACAGTATCCACTAGAGAGTTAACAAGAATTTTCTATTTTTTAGCTCCTGTGACCTACATGTAGTTTTTCATCCGAGCTAACCAATGTTTGAACTCATTCGAGCAATTTACTAGGCAAGCATCATTTTATTTATTTTGGGGGAAGATCAGAAAAAATGACTTTCCGGTGCAATGGAAAGAATGTTTTGGGTTTTAAGGAAAAACATATACCTAGATAATGCATATGGTTGAAAGCCCCCGCAATAAAAATATTTCCGTTCATTTTCTTTCTCGTGCATTCAGAGCTGCACGTGGAGTTGGCGGTGTATAGTTCACGTCCGGGTGGAATTACTAATGACGTTTGACCAATCATCATCATGCCGGCCTCGTATTTGCGAAGATTAGGCGTCATGTGAAGGGTAATACCCGATGAATCCCTGTAATTGTCGACCAACATAGGGTTGTTCCAGTGCATCTGTTGTATTAAAAGATACATAAGAGAAACTGAACTTAGTGAATTGACGAGTTGAATAAAATTTGCAATAATAGTATATGAAAGTTATATTCGGAACAAAAAATTCAAACCTTAGATGTAGTTTGGGAAAATTAAACCCCACAAAAAAGACAAAAATTAAAAGTTTTCAATCAAAGGGTACTGAATTTTTTAACGAGTATGTTGAATAAAATCATAAAGATTCGTCCCCCTTTTCGCTTCAAACCCCTTTTTAAAATTTTACCAAAAGATTAATTATCAATTTGAAAAGAAACTCTATAATTATTTTTTTTTCTACATTAAATTTTATTTCGGAGTCGACAAACCTCGAGCAGAACTGTTTTAAATCCTGTCTTTCCCAACTTGACCCCGGCATCTTCATGGTAACACAAGCCATTACTCCCTACAGCCCAGATAGCCAGTATCTCTTCGCAGCCAGACAATCGGTTCATGAAGCATTTATTAGGGCTACGCATTTCAGGGGTAATTGGTGCTGAAATTAATGTCATGTTATAATTAACGAAGGTGATGTAAACTCCGATAATATTTTTCTTAGTCGTTGGTATGTCTTAAAGGAACTCCACTGAGGGTCAAAAGCCTAAAAAATAAAATTTGAATTTCTTACCTATATCACCTTCAGGGGCACTTAACAGAAACACATACACAAAATAATTAAGAAATTCATTTTGAAAATCGTATTTAATAGACTTAGCACGATTTAAGTAGTGAAAAGCGTTGCAACGTTGTTCAATTTTTGGTCATTTTCCAGAATTAAAGTATTTTCTGGAAAAGCAGAGTTAGCAATTGTTCTGAAATTTTGCACACCAGTTATTGGCTTAGACCTTTATCAAATGGAACATTAATCCAGAAATATTATTTCCAGTCCCGTCATGTCAGTGGAGTCCCTTTGATGCATTGCCCAAATAATCGTTGAAAAGTGGTGAGCCTACATTGCTGCCGCATTATCCTGCTATATGAGCTGTTACACTGAACAAATATTTTAGCCGCTTTTCGGTATTGTACGAAGCCACTAAGGTGACATTTTCAAAAAAGTGTGGAAAATGTCACCTTAGGGGCTCCGTTGTATTGCTATCTATATGCAAACATGATTATATAATCTATTTAACCTACCACTGTCGGTACAGCCGTACAATAAGATGTGGTGCATAACGTCGATGTTTTGAATGTAAGGCTGTGACGCGACAAGATGGTAATCTTTATCGCTAGGGATGTCCATTATCTGGCAAATGTAGGTTGTCTCTTCTGCTGGGACAGCCGTGTCGTCAAGTCGGACTGTGTAACTTTCAATGTCTGTAAATATATAACAATAAGCAATCTAATTAAAATCCGCTCAAAATAATGCTCCGCAATTAGATCTAACCGTAACCAAATACGAACTAGTTTCTGGTGATCTTCAACACAGCCAATCATCAGCGAGCTTTCATAATGTGGTTTCTAAATTTAACCTTGGGAAAAGCAGAACTGAGCAGATAATGATTTTGAGTACAAATATGGCGTTGCCCATAAAGCTGACAGGTAAACTGGCAAAACAATCTGGCCAATTAAAAATATACTCTATTATTTAAAGTTGATTTGTTAAAAATACTTCAAACATTTTTCTTCTCAAAAAAGAAAAAAAGAATCAGCAATTTGTTTAACTTCCACTGATAACGGTATTTAAATACTAGTTTCTTCTAATGCCTATGTAAAACATGGTTTGATTGCATGACTTAAAATAGCTTTCTCGGGAAATCCGAATTATAAAGAAGGTGAAACAGAAACGGTTTCGATCAGATCTACTGAAAAGAGATAAGTAGATCTGAGCTTTAGTCAGATTGTAACAATGAATTATTGTTCAGATAGACAACATCCAAATAGTCGTTCAAGATAACGATCTCTATGCAGCTTGGATAACGATAAAGTACATACATGTATTATATAAAACATGTATATGCTTAACTAACCACCAGTTTAAAAAGATTTTCAATCAAACATTAAAGCAGCATGCCTCCTGATTCATGCCAGTTTTCATGAAAATTTTGAAAATGTATTTAAAATTAAAGAAGTGTGCAGTGAACAAAGTAAGTAATTTACACATTGCTAAAGACTTTTACAATACACATAAATTACCAAAGTGGCCAGAAATATGCAAAATATCCCGTCCTGCATTAGTCACGCTGTAGAAATAAAGTGATAAATTGAGAAATACTGCAAAATTATTACTTGAAACTTTTCTCAAAATCTTAGGTTTGATCTGCATGAAATATTTTGGATCATCTGGAGCCACTCAGCTATAAAGGGAAAGCAAGATGCATGCTCCCTCCGTGTGAATAATTCGAAACCGCGGCTATCTATGGTTGCAAATATGCCAATCAAAGAGAGTCAAACTAACCTTATAAAAGAGCCACCACGGTTTTGTTCCGGCTCGGGTTGCTCCGTTTGCTCGGGCGTAAAAATTTGAAGTTTTGAACACCCATACATTTTAATTTGGCCAAAAACTATGGTGGAAAGGGCTTAACAAAATACATTGGTATGATAAAACAGAACCGTTACATCTCCAATTTTATCTTGTTAGCTTACAATACACATTATATAAGTAAATTATTTGGTAAAAAAGGAAAATTACTGACCTGGGTCGGACAGCGCATCGCATGAGAACTCCGTAGTTGAACAGTCCAAATTCTGGTTTTTATCCCTGCATTCAGCCGAATCGGCTGGCTCACAGAAACCTGGAATATAAGATATATATTTATATATTGTCACTAGTTATTATCATTTATAATACCGTAAGTATACAACGTGGATTTTCATTAGTTAACAATGACGCTGATAACATCGATAAACAAAGGTGTTGCATGTTTTTGTTTTTTTTTTGTTGGTTGTTTTTTTTAATTTTAAATCAAAGACATGATTTATTATGAAGTATAAATTCCTACGTATTTTTTGACATAATTGACAAGTTACTTGTATGAGTAAAACTTGTGTGTAAACCTTTTACACTTGGTAATGTAACCTTTCTAGAATTATAAAAGTGACATCAAATTTGTTGATCTAAATCAGTTTTTGTCATTGTAATTCTCTTATATTTCTTCTCTCTAAAGGTTCCATCGGGAGTTCATAAAACTTATCCCAAAATTTAAAAAGAATGTAAATTGCAGTTCGATAGATTGAGCCTTTAAAATATGAAGCAATAATTAATAATGTAATTTTTGACACAAACAACATTATCAACAACAATAAGAATAACAACAACAGATACTCATTTATAGCCATATGAAAATTTTACACACCAGGATGGGACAATCCTAAGCTTGTTTCAGGGGTCTCCCCTTGTTTCCAGTTGCAATTTGGATCCCCAAGTTCTTCTCCGTTAGTTTTTCCATCCCCATCAGAGTCCATCCTGCAGAGGGACGCTGTCCATGACTGTTATGTTAAAATATGTTTGATTTATTAAACCCTTAAAGGGACTGCACTGAGGTTTTTTGACATGACGGGACTGGAAATAATTTTTTGAGATTATTACTCCATTTGATGTCGATCTATACTAATAACTTATGTGCAAAATTTCAGATCATTAGCTTGCTCCGTTTTTTTTTCTAAAATAATTATTATAATAGTGAAAAATGACCAAAATTGAAAAGCATTTAAACGCTTTTCACTCAAATCGGACTGAGAATAGCACAAACATATGATGTTTAATGTATTTCTTCTATATTTCTTGGTTATTTTCAATTAATATTCTGCTTCTGCTGACAAGTGCTCATGTTTATCTATGTGGAAAATTAAAATTTTATGATTTTAGGCTTATAAACCTCAGTGGAGTTCCTTTAACCTGACGCACAGTGAGCAAAGAAAGTAATTTACACATTACAAACGACCCTTTCAGCAGTCCACGTAAACTACCAAGTAAATCTTTAAGTAGGAAAAGAAAACAGCATCATCATCATCATCATCATCATCATCATCATCATCATCATCATCATCAACAACAACAACAACAACAACAAGAAAAGACACCCCCCAAATACCCCCCAAGCCAAAAACCAAAAGCCAAAAAAAGCCCAAACAACAAAAAACAAAGAAACAAAAAAAAAACTCCTAAAAAGCAAACAACAGAATTACTGGTCAAGAGGACGATTTTCTTTCTTTTAAAGTAGAAAGCGATCTTTGTTTACAAAAGGCTGGTATATTCGGAACATTTTGAGATTAAACGTCAATATTCACCGGGTCACCGGGATCAATTATTATCATTATTTTCAAATTTTTGTTCAATACAGGCGTACAGCTATTTACGGAAAGCTTTTTGTGTAACTGTTTAAATATTTAAATTGTGAAATTAAACACAATGTCAACACCATATGACCTGACTTATATAACTGCTGAATTCTAGAACAGCAAGCACTTTCTATTATACATGTATTACCATATTTATGAAGGTAACTTTTATAGCTTTATTTTAAAATGTTCTCCGGAATTGAAGAGTGGGGTCAAAACATTAAAACTCTTGAAGAAAAAAAGCTATGGAAAAAACAACAATTTAAAAAGGGTTAAAAATGTAAAATGCATGAAATTGTTAAAAAACATATATACATGTAATAATAAAAAAATAAACTAATTAATGAAAATAAAATTAAGATAAATATAATAAAATATATATTATCATTATACTGATAAAATCTATGTTACCCATTATCTCATATACACGCCTTTTAACGCTTTTTTTCACCCCCTCTTTTTGAAGCCTCAAATTGTGAAAAAAATGCCTCATTTAGTTTTTGTTTGAGAAATGTTGTTGAAAAGTGATCACTTTTTTTCGGCGCCACCCCTTAACAAAAAGAAAAATCAGGGGGGTGCCAAAGAACGTTTTGGATTTGTTAGAGGTTAAATATGACCAGGTAATGTATGGTGGCTTATTTGTGCCATTTTCGTGTTTTCGCCCCGAGACCCCGCCAAAAAAATATGATTTCTGGCAATTTTGAGATGTCCCCTCGTTGCCATTGTAAAAGGAAATTTAAGACTGAGCATGCCGTTACAAAGGCAATGGTCCAGTTAACATGTTCGCTAAATTTGATCAGTATTGAAACATTTCTTGATAGTTTTATGGCAATTTAAACTTGTGACGGGAGGCTTTTCAATGAAAACAGCCATTTTTCGCAAAATGCTCTTGCGGTTATAGGTTAAATTAAAAATAAATTTATTAAATAAAGGTTTAAAAGGTCAAACAGTTTTATGTAATTCCCATTGCATTTTTCCGTTGTTTTTATCAATACATGTATGACCTTAAATATTGAAAGAAACCACTAGCAACAGAAACATATTCGAAGGCATTGGTTAAGGTGACCTAAGGAATTTAGTTTAATTATATTTCATTGCTCTTTGAATACAATATAAAAATATTATTTTTACATAACAACAATTTAAACAAAGGGCAAAAGGGTTGAACCTCAGGATTCATACCCATACAAGCGACAACGAAAATGAAAATAAATTCTACGGAACATATTTGAATGTGAATATGATAAGTTACAACACGTGCTTTAATAAATATGTTGTATCATAGTTTGGGGACCTTTCTGTTGAAAAAGTGTCGGAGTTAAATCGTATACATATACATGCACAGTGCGGTAACTGGAGTGCAGGTATCAGTTACCCGCACTCCAAATAATGCCCGTTTATGGTTCATTTTTGCTGGGGTTTACTTATTGTGACGGTAGAGAAAGGGAAAGGGGCAGAAATATCATATTCAAATGCTCGTTCATTGGTTAATTTTTTTCTGGGGTTTCATATTATGACAACAGGGAACGTGCTGTCATGTTTGACTATGATACAAAAGAGAAAGAACACCAAAACACTCGGCAATCTGATTTATACTCGGGGGCTACACCCCCTCGTACAAATCAGATAGCCTCGTGTTTCGGTGCTCTTTCTATTACTTAAAGTCCTATGTATGTGAACTTACATATCCATTTGCTTTAAAGTCCAAGCCAAACGAGTTTCTTTCACCACCGCCGAGTTTGGCAAAATGCCCGACTCCCTGCCATAGGTGATTTGGATTGCACGGACTTGGTACGTTCTCGCCGTTTGGAATGTTTGACTGAAAAGTTTTGTAACATGATCCCATATGGAGCAAGCCGAGGACCAGCAGTAACTGGAAGCTAAAAATAGAAATTTACAAATTATCTGTAAAAATAGGGCAACAAAAAGCGCTGGTTACAGTATCAAAGGAACTTTCGGATGTATTCATCTGACTTACTCGAAACATGCAGGATGTTTATAACTGTGAAAAAAAGAAAGTAAATGAAATTCTGCCAATCTTACAATCATACCAATTATGGTTTTATCTCGCTAGACAGAGTTACCGTTCCTTATCACTGCATATCTGACTATGATCTCAACTCTAGGCAGAGTAACCGTTCTTTATCTGGGTGTTTCACAATCACACTAATGGTCTTTTTTTCTCTACACAGAGTTACCGTTCGTTATCACTGCGGTCTATCTGGATGTTTCACAATCACACCAATGGTCTTAGTTCTACGCAGAGTTACCGTTCCTTATCTACATGTTTCATAATCACACTAATCTAATTATCTCTACGCAGAGTTACCGTTCGTTATTATTGCAGATATGTCTGGATGTTTCACAATCACACCAATTTCATATGTTAAGATGTGATTATCTAATTAATCGCAACTTTTCGATCATTTTCATAAAATTTTTGACTAAGAGAACAAGGAGGTTATCCGAAATAATTTGATAACTAACAAAGACCGATAATTCAGGGTAGGGATGATTAAATTCATTTTATTGATTTTTAAGGACACTTCGCTCATCTTGAATTGTTTAATTAATTCAAATTAAGTCCATGTCGGGTGTGTCATTTGTTAAAGGGATATCACTGAGGTTTCTTGACACGAAGGGACTGTATTTCGTTTTAGATTTATATAACATTTGATGTAGGTATGGACCAATGAATTTCAGATCATTCGCTAATTCGCGCTTTTTTCAGAATAACTATTTAAATATTTAAAGATGAACAATGCTCATCCTTAGAAATTTATTGAAATCTATGATATTCTGATTGAATATATTTAATTCGGATAAAAGAATGAATAAACTATGAATGGGAATCTGCGTTCCCTATTTCAGGTCAAGTAAAGTTGGTCTTTTTTAAACAAAATGCCAGTTTTTTGGGTAATTTTTAATTCACTATATTCTTATTATGATCACCTAAGTGTGTAAAGTTTAAAACATAACTTATCTACTTTGTTTGAATTCAAAACATGTTTATTTTATATTTATAACGAGACTGTGTATCCATTGTCAATATTTTCTAATATCAATTTTGAGCATAGTACATCTTTAAGAAAATTACCCAAAGATTGATAAACGGTTCTACTCAAATCTGATTAAGATTTACACAAAATATGATTAAACAATTGAACTTTAGTACATTTCTTTATTTCTCTGTTGAATATCCTTTCGTTTACACCGCCTCAGCTGATCTATGCAACAGATTTAAATGCTCTGTTTTGAAACAAATTAAAAATGAACCCCGTCATTACAAAACCAACATAATGGGTTTGCTACCAGCATGGATCCAGACCAGCCTGCGCCTCCGCGCAGTCTGATCAGGATCCATGCTGTTCACTATCAGTTTCTCTACTTGTAATAGGGTTTGTAAGCGAACAACATGGATCCTGATCAGACTGCGCGGAGGCGCAGGCTGGTCTGGATCCATGCTGTTCGCAAACCCATTGTGTTGGTTTTGTCATGACGCGGCTCAAATGTTTTGTTTTGAGGTTTTTGGACGTCAGCGTAGTTTCTTGATATTAATTTTTTTAAGTTACGGTTTTTGAGTTGTAGAGTTTTTAATATAAAATAAAATTAAGTACAAATCATTAAAAGACAGTAAGTTTTCACATTTTTAATCAATTAAAGGCATATTATGCCTAAGAAATAATTTTTTTTATTTTACTTTAGAAATGTCAAACTTGTGTTTAATTATGTTTTAACAATCGATTAAGAACGTGTTTAACAGTTGAAGAAAGTAGCACTGAACGCACAGTTATTCGTCGTAAATGTAGCAGAGTATAAACAAAGAAGTATTTTTAATTCCATACCAAATACTACTGCATGTATTAATATACCAATGGCCGCCGAACAGTGCAATAGAATGAAATGAGTAAGTTTTTGGAAACTGCAACAAGATGCAAGAAATTAAAAGTTTTTGAAAAAGATACTGTTTTGAAAATGTTAGATGCTTGTTACCTGAAGCACGTAGTGATCAAAGTAACATTATTTGTCATAAATGTATCAAAATGTAAACAAATAAAATTGTAGTATTTTGGCTTCCATTCAAAATACTAGTTTCACTAACGGTCATAAAGCAACCGACGAACAATATGGTTCAAGTGACTGTCTAATGATAAAATGTTTGTATACTATAAATGTACGACAAAATTAAATAGCTTTTGAGAAATAAAGAAAAAGCATTTCTGATGCATAATTGGCCTTTAATGTCGCGTATATGATTTGTTATATTATGAAAAATGGAGTTCGAAAAATATATATTCTTCTTATATAACACACTGAAGTGTGCCTAATGTTTTTGCAAGTAATCGATAAAAAATCGATGTTATTGTTAATTAAAGGCCCATTATGCCTCAGAAATGCGTTTATCTTTATTTCTCAAAAGCTATTTAATTTTGTCTCATTATAGTACAGTTACCTGGACCATATTGTTCGTCGGTTACTTTTTGGACGTTAGTAAAATTATTATTTTGAATGGAAGCCAAAATACTAAATTTTTATTTGTACTTTGTTTACATTTTGATACATTTATGACAAATAATTTCACATTGATCACTACTTTCTTCAGGTAACAAGCATCTAACATTTTCTAAAAGCATCTAACATTTTCTAAACATTATAAAACTCATGATTGCCCTTTCTTAAGAATAAAAAAAATCATACTTTCTAAACACTATAAATTTCTTGTTTTCCCTTTCTTAAGAAGATTAAAAAAAAATTTTTTAGGCATAATGTGCCTTTAAGAATTGAATTATTTAAGAAATGATATCATTGTTACATAAAATAAGATGTAAAGTGCTAGGAAGTTCTAAGATTAAAGTAAGTTTAGCAGTATAGCAAACCGTGGAGAAAATAATTTAAAATAACGTCATCAATAATTTCTAAATGACATAGAATTAAAACAGTTTGAACAAATACAAACAGTTCTAAGATCAGCCTTACTTAAAAAAATAGCATTAAAACCAGTTTAATCAAATGTACGAACAAATAAGTTACATAAGTTATTTACGTACATAACACTTATTACATTGAAAAACTATTTTCCCACTAACCTTTTGTAAGCCATTTTCCTGACCAAATTATTTATAGGTGGTTGAATAGATTTGAAACTGTCGGCAGAATGCCTTAATACCTACCGTCACGCTCTATGGAGCGCAACTATTTCTGCACAGTGTGCGCTATATTTTGACCTTCTCTTTTTTAAGACTGCTGTTTTGTATGCTACTTTTTGCACTTATCGAGTTTTGAAATTTTGAATCATATGACTCTTAATATATGGAGTTTTTTGTTGATTGTAAATGTATTTGTGTTAATAGGGCATTTGTTTAGCCTTACCTCAAACGCACATGATCATGTGTTTACCTTAGTCATTGAACTTTCCCTAAAGTATTTATTTATGTTCCTGTATAATCCATACATCTTTTCCGCAAACACAAATTTAAGAAGTTCAAAAATAAACTTCAAATCTTGTTTTATCTAAACGTTTAATACTGCAGATTGCATTTAGAGTGATGCCAGTTTGTTGTTGTTGTTTTGATTTTTTGTTGTTTTTTTCTTTGTGTAAATTAGATACTATTTAAAAAAAGTATTAAAAGATTGTTTTGTGAGTGAAGAGAGAAAAATAAAGTTATTTTAGCTAGCACATGGCAATAACAGTCTATATAACAGGTCGAAAATGTGTCACATTATACTAAAATAGTTCCTTTTTCCGTTTGTAACGGGTTAGAAATATTGTGATTCAGGCCACAGACACTTTGATGTGGAGCCAAAAACGCCTGAAAGTTCAAATCAACGTGTTCGGAAAAGTAAACCCACAAAATAATCTTTATTTTGATTCAACTCTATGCACATATTTTATAACTTTTTCGGAAATATTTAAGCACGATTTCTGTGTAATAAGTAAGTATTATAATTGTAATTTTGTATAATGACAGGTATCAAAACTTAGAATATTTAAAGCTTTTTCGTTTTGCTTTTGCATTAATGTCCATCGACTTTATTTGAGCCGTGTCACGACAAATCCAACATAGTGGGTTTGCGACCAGCATGGATCATGATCAAGACCAGCCTGCGCATCCGCGTAGTCTGATCAGGATCCATGCTATTCGTTATCAGTTTCTCTACTTGTAATAGGGTTTGTAAGCGAACAGCATGGATCCTGATCAGACTGCGCGGATGCAAACCCACTATATTAATTTTGTCATGACACAGCTCATTTAAATTTCTTTTCCCTTTCAAATAATGATTTTTTCCAGTGCTTGTTCTCTGTCAACAATACTGTTGATCATTAAACCGAATTAATTTCAGTTTGCATGAAAGCTGGGTTTGTCAACTTCGGATTTATAAACGCGAGGTTGTAAAATAGCTCGAAAATTTATTATTACACATAGGTGGTGTCAAAATTTCAGTACAATCGTATTATAATTGAGTTTTTGTACCCGTTTAAACGGCTTTTATTCGGTTAAGGAAATAAGCTTTGTCACGAAAGTGTGAAACTGTCCTTTAGGGTAAATCAATTCGACTATAGTTAGAAAATGAAAGAAAATTACCCCCACATTTTGCCTTTGTTATTGGTTTTACTCATCGGACATGTAAAAATACCAAGGTCGGGCTCTAAAACCGGACAACACTTCTGTTGTATGTCTGAACCCCGAAAATATCAATTTGCCCTTCACGTGGCAAATATGGGCATTTTAAGAAACGAATGAATAACTTTATAGTGCTATATAGATCTTTTGTGGTATATAAGGAAGCATTTGTTTCTCTGTACAGTAATTTCTGAATCAGTTACCAAACAAACCAACAAATAAACATATATATCATAAATGACATTGACATATACCGTGATGTAGTTTATTGAGATATATCGTGATATCATGATGTGATGCATCGTGATGTCATAATGTGATATCGTGATGTCTGATATATCGTGATATCGTGAGATTTATTTTATTCTTTATTTTAGTCTCATTAATGTTATACAGTATATACAACATATCATACATAAAATGCATAATTAAAAATACGACACATTGTCACTCTCTACAGAGTTATAAGTGACTTTGTATATGTTAATATCATAATTACAAGTAAAATCGTTATAATTACACCATTGAAATGAAGAATTAAAATTTACATATTATAGTAAATATAATATTTACACCTGTATGGGACATTCATGATTGTATATTGTATGCCCTAGTCATGTTCTGGATAAGTTTAAGTAAGAACATGGATGTAATTTATGAATGTATCGTGATATCACGGTGTCCTGATGTGGCGAACTTCGTGATATCGTGATCTGATGTGATATGTAGATGTGATGTAAGGAATAAAATAAACAAAACAAAACAAAGAGCTATAAAATACTCAGATGATGTTATTATGTAAATAACAAAGAATGACACTTTTACAAATTATATCTTTCTTTCCCTAAAAAAACTACGATGGTCTGTTAAGTCATTATCTATATAATGCAGTATATATGCGTATATGATTAAATATTGACATTTAAAAATGGATATGTCTAAATAACATTCCCGTTAAACCTTATACATTTTTAGAACCTCCTTAATGTTAAAACTTTAGAAAAGGCGTATTTTAACTTTTTTAAACGCAGAAGGTCAAAAACAATATCAGGACAGAAGTACAGAAGTACATTATGTTGGAGTAATGAAAGGCTTACCGCTAAATTTTAGGAAAATGCCCATTCAGCTATAATTGTGAAATAGAAAATTGTCATTGCACACAGAGATTTAAAACAACAACAACCTTAACACACAACGACCACCCCCTCCAAAAAAAACAAACAAAAAACACGACAAACAACAACAAGAACATAACAAAAACAACAACAATGACCCCCCACCCGCAAAAAAAAAAAAAAACAAAAAAAACAAAAAACAAAAAAAACAACAACAAAACAAAGAAAACAAAAACAAAACAAAACAAAAAAAAAAACAACAACAAAAAAAAACACAAAAAAAACACAAAAAATAGACAATAATATAACGTAATAATTCACATTTTGAAAGTGTGTGCTTGTTAACCATACAGGATTTAGACAAACAAACAACAACATTTAAAAAAATGATGTTATAAGAACCACACCCTCTACTTGTTACACAGATGGGACTCCAGAGATGTGTATTGTCTTGTGTCGCATGTGGTCCGCAAGTGGTCGCATATACGTCAAATAATAACTAGCTAGACGAGCAGGATTCCGTACTTACATACTACGCCATTTCATTAATTCAAGCGATACATTAAAAGTAGATCTATATTTCATTTTAGCCTTTCCCATACTTGAAAATTCACATGAATAACAAAATGTTTACACAACCGTGTGCTTGTTTGTGGCCTCTACCCGATGCATTTCAATAGATATATAATAATTATTTTATATACATGTATATCCATTGGTTACGTTCAGACATACAAAACGTATATGAAAGTTAGCGAAAGAAAGACAACTAATGCAGTATTGGGTTGATACAATTTCTATAACGATTATCTCCCCTGTCGCTGACGACATGATTATTGCTGATCTTTTACAAGTTTGCTTCTTTAAAAAGAAGCATGCGAGAGGTCTTTTTGCTGCTGTGGAAAATTTGTTTCATTCGAAAATATTTTGGGATATTTTTGCATAACAAACACAATGAATGCTTATAAATTACAATTATTAAACAAAATAGAATTTATTATATATATTGCAATGAAAGTTTGTTTTACATTTCATCTTTTTTAATGTTTTAAAAGATTATATGCCGGAGAAATGGACTTTTTTCTTGGCGCATTAGGGATACTTTTTCTACAAAAAAAAAATTGTAAAATTACTTTATGTAAATTAAATGATATATATCATTTACATTTGTATTTTAAACTAGAAAAAATATATCTATATTAAAAGTATTTTCAAAATAAAAGTTTCTTGTAAAGTTCAATAAGCAAATTTTCGGTCACTGTTTTGTTAAATATAAGGAAGCATTTCCTCTACATTTTCCAAAACGAGTATAAAGTATGTTAATCAAACAAGTTTACATAAAAAATGTTGATATTTGATTGGAATAAACAGTAAATACTGTTATATACTGTTATATACTGTTTATTGGAATAAACAGTATATAAAGCTGCATGCCTCCAACCACAATATTAAAAGAAAATCAAACTTGAGATAAAATTTGTGCCATTTGCGCCAAAAAATCTCCCTTTGCGTTATTTAGATATACCGGTTCAATACACGGTTCACTCGGTCATATAATATGTTTGTTTGTTTCATTGTACGCCTTTTCCAAACAGTATTTTAGTCATATAGGCGGGTAGTTTCCTAACCATCGTTCCTGGAGAGTTACACCAGTACTAGACAACCTTCCTCCGCGCTAAACTAACAAAAAAAGCATCTCCAGGGGATCGAACCCACGCCAGAAAGTTTACTAGATTAAAAGTCATCGACTCTAACCCCTCGACCATTGAGGCGGTATATATAGTGCATGGTGATATTGTAGCTATAATGTTCACTGTTACTATTTATCAGAACATGAAATAGTAAAACGTTATTCAGAAAACAATACGGTAATCGATTTATACAGTTACGGAATGAAACATCCATGCACTTAGTGTTAAGTAACGTAAATGATATTTTCCGATTTTTCTATGTACCGATTTGTTCATTTCGATGTTAATTTTTCGTTTAAGTTAAGCCGTGTTTTGAAACGGGGCATGCGCAAAACAATTTTTGTAGACTGCTCCTAATGCTTTTACGCTTAAAATGATATTCATTCACTGCAAATCAGATACGCAAAAATGGATGCCGCCAGCAATCAGTCTGAACACTATGGAGAGGTCTGATGACCTCTCCAATAAAAGGCCCATTATGCCCCAGAAATGCTTTAATCTTATTTTTATAGTTTCCAACAAGTTACTCAATTGCAAATTACCTAAACTGTCTTCTTCTTCTTTTGCTTTTTGGCAATTAGAACATTAAATTTTATAGTAATTTAGTATTTTGTATGAAAGTCAAAATACCGTTTTATTTACATTTTAACTGCTTTTATGACATATTATTTTACATTAAGCGCTATTTTATTCAGTTAACATGTAACGTGCTCTCAAAGTAGTATTAGCGTTATAAAACTAATGTTTGACCTTTCTCAAGAATTAAATATTTATTTATTTCTGAGGCATAACGTTTTTTTGTTTTTGTTTTTTTTTAATGCGTTTATTTAAGGTCGCCGCCGGAAAGCCCATATGGGCGACCGTACACTCAAGTCGGGCCATCCTAGAGCGTCCCGCCGAGATTTTTTCGTCGATTTTTTTCCAGCTTTTATTGGTGGAGGAAGACCCCATGTGCCCCTCCGGGCATTATTTCAGGCACGAGCGGGCACCCGGGTAGAACCACCGACTTTCGGTAAGCCAGCTGGATGGCTTCCTCACATGAACGATTTCGACCCAAGTGAGGATCGAACCTACAGCGGTGAGGGACCAGTGATCTCAAGTCAGCGACCTAAACCACTCGGCCACAGAGGACCCAAGGAGGCATAACGTGTGTGTGTGTATTTGCGTTTATTTATACTCGCCACCAGTTGCCCATATGGGCGAGTCCTCCAGAAGAGTATTAGTCATTTAGATTTTTGGAGGATAGTGCAATTACAGATACAGAAAGGTGCCCCACTTTCAGAAGCTTCTCCTGGTTCTTTAGCATGCCAAGTGTTTAAGCACCCATACACGGGACCTCGATTTAAAGTCTCATCCGAAAGACTGATTAGTAATTTTAGTTGGCCAGCCCGGGAATCGAACCCACAATGTCGAGATAACAAGTCTCGCGCTCTAACCGATTGAGCTATGCGGGCTGGCTAGGCATAACGTACCTTCACAGTTCAGATATATATAAGCCAATCGGAACATCTCGGCTATCATTCTTATCCAAAGTTTGACGGAAAAAGCCGAGAAGATGCGATAGCGTAAATCATGGTCATGGGGATGGGTTGCATTTTCTTGGTATCCCTCGCACTGCCCTTGGAGTGGGGACGTGTTATATTTCCCACATAGGTCTTGCAATGTCCTTGCATGGAATGGAGCGGGTTACATTTGACTAATACATAAAACAGACACAAGAAACACACAAGTTCAATTTGATAAGTTGGTGTTAGGAAATGGAAGTTTGAAATAAGCCATTTATATCATATTCTTTTTTTCTTCCTTTTTTTATTGCTCTACGTAATGAATGCCGGAAACTGCAACAGAACGGATTACCATAATTATGAGATTCAATGTATTGCGTCAAATTTAGTATAATGAACTTTAAATCAATGAATTCCGTCCGTCCCGCACTCATGCACGCTTATTCTATGTTAAAAAGAAATAAAACACCCAAAATCTGTCATGTTTTCAAATTGAATTAACTTGTCTTGTTTTCAACACGCTAGTTATAAAGTGTAATTACTTATGTGATATATAGCAAACTATGTAGATACTCCGTGAAAATTTTCAGGTCAAAGTCTTGACAAACAAAAAAATATTGAAAAATAAATATTTTTTATTACAAAAATACAAACAGTTTGAAAACATCTTTCACAAATGCATTTCACATACATTGTATGTTTAAACTGATAAAAAAAAGAATCATCAATCAATAGATGTAAGTTATAAAAAAAGCAATTATTTTCCTCTGCGAGCTACTGTTCCAGCGACTGCGCCGACTAATAAAGCACCAAGAAGTCCCTTTGCCAAATCCCCACCGGTTCCTCCAAAAAATCCCCTGTCGTACTGGTTGCCGTAATACGGATATTGTACAGCTTGGTACGGGTAGTGACCGTTATACATCATTTGGTGACCTCTGTAGTACATCGGTTTGTGGTAAACCGGAACCGGATGCATGTAAACCGGAGGATGCATATACATTTGCGCCGCGTGGGCTGGATAATACTGGTTTCCTGTCCAGTACTGGGCATCGAAGTAAGGATACTGTCCATAATAGCTATTATACCCTGCCATTTGATGGGCGGATCCATATTGCTGTGGGTAATATTGGTTATATCCCGGATAATTCCAAAACCCTTGATTTTGATACTGAGGATATTGCTGGTAGTTGGCGTAATGGTATGGCTGACCTGTCCAGTACTGACCATTAACTGGATAAGAACTGTACGAATTTAAGGCGGAAACTGGTAAATAGCCTTTGGCTGCCGGGTGTGGGTAAATATTTGCTCCTGTTGCTGGATAATAAAAGTTCGAGTGTGTTTGTTTAAATGAAGATGCTGAAAAATAAAACAGAGTTTGTCATTAAAAACCAACTAATCTGCAATTTTACATAGAGCTGTTTCCAAGAATAAAATCAAAGCCAAATGAAGCAAATCATTTATCAATTATAAAAATTAATTGATAAAGATTATATATATGAATGTTCAATATAAAAACACACAGACTTTCATCAGTAATGTTAAATATGATTGTAAAAAGGAATTACCACTGTGTCCGGCTACCCCATTAGTAAATCCATTCTGACCATATGTCTGTGACAGTACAGAAGAAATCAGTAGTAGGTATATGATAAATGACTTCTTTTCTTTCGCAGCCATCTTTCAAATATACTCTTGACCTTAAACCTGAAATAAACGATTTAAAAATTGCTATAGGACATATAATATTTTATACAGTCATCCTGAAAAAATATTTTTTTATTATATTAATCACCCTAATGCAAGGTGAAGACACTACTCAAGAAAAAAAAAAAGTTTTATAACCACAAAGACTGGATTAGCGGACAAATCTTTATTCCAGAGATGATAAGTTTCTGACAAAACAACATTAAATATTTTTTAATTCTATTTATATTCATTAAATATTGGATTTTTAAAATTTTAAGCAAATTGACTCAAATTGTGCTAGTTATTCAGTCGAAATCGTGTCTCGGATCTTAGGATTTTCATTGGTCAGTGATCACTTTGTGACGGTTTCTGACCTATCGAATACCCGAGATCTGAGTTTGATCGTAAATAATGTCTTTATATCCTCGGACTTTTGAGGTCGTTGGTTCGATCCGCGGGCAAGGGGAATATTTATACGTGTCAGTTGATCCCGGACATTTAGTCTGGTGGTCATATGACATAAGCGAAACAGACATACTACTATAATCTAGTCAAGACTGTAGTCTAAAACAGGTTTTATTAATTATCTATCATATTATAATTGATTATACTGGGAAACGTACAGTTACAGGAACATAACATTGACACCCCCAACTCCCCCCCCCCCAAAAAAACAAAAAAAAAAAACAACAACAACAACAAAAAAACAACAACAACAACAACAGAAAATAAAGCCCTAAACAACAAAAAAAAATCTAAGGATTGCTGACCGAGTGGGTTCAAACCCTGTCAGGGGCAAGCCGTTGTTTCCTTGAGCAAGAAACTTTACTTTCACTGCTTTGTACTGGTTGGTTCCAGGAACGGATTCGAGAGTGATTAAATAAGCTAATAGCTTCCAACACAATCAAACTAAAATAAATTTGTATAAACCAAAAAAAAAAACAAAAACAAAAACAAAAAAACAACAACCCCCCCCCACAAAAAAAAAAAAACATACAAAAATGATTTGTCAAAATAGAAAACAATTTTAAAATGATTCCAAAGCCATAACAAATACTGCACTTACTTAAGAATTTAAGATAGAACTATGAAGAAGGTTAAAGAATATTTATTTACCTTGATATACTGGCTGCAGACGAATCCTTCTAAACAAACCTTTGTTGGAAAGACTAACTCGACCGAACTCGGGAGTTCCTTTAAATACGATTTTGTCTGACCCAAAACTCTTATCTCATGGAAATCACACAAAATAAATAGTCATAAGAATCGGCCATAATTTCATTCAAAATAATGTGGTTTTAAATGAGTCAGTTTGTATTTATTAGTTTTAATGAATTTTGTATGGTTAATTAAAAATTTATTATTTTACGCGTTTCCTTGCCTATGTGAGTGTTTATCTTTATGAATGTTTCATATTGCCCGAGGTATACCTACTATGACTTTGTCATATCGATCACGTACAAAATTTGATTTTTAAACCGTCTTGAACGTTAAAATTTAGATATATGTGAATAAGCAAATTTCATAGTTACATTAAAATGAATGTTACTCGGTTTGAACGTCAGTATTCACCGTTTAATATGAATATATGTATATACACTAGATTTTCCAGTTTTTTTTTATGATTAATGCTTTCCGATTCAGGTGGAAGTGTTGATATTTTTCAGTCCGGATCACGACAGGCAGTCCGGATCACGACAGGGAGCCACATTGAATTTACCAGAGCACAGTTCAGCCACCGTACTGTTTCTGGGCAGGGTTTTAAGCAGTTTACCAGTGCGCCTTCACTTTCACAAAAAACTAAAACTTCTGTACATGCCAAAGCAGAGGTACAGTGCGAATGACCATAGAAAAGATCTCATGATCAATCACAACGAAAGTGACCTGCACCGTCTGGGAATCGAGCTCTGGTCGCCTGATTCACAGTCCAACTCTCTACCAATGAGCAAACAGGACGGCTGCTTTCTGATTCATTTATTCCCACATCCCACACATGTGTTGTTACCGTTTGAATTTCATCCAAGAGTATCTTAATACGATCAATATCTTCTTCAACCATTATTACTTTAAGTATTTTGAATAAACTGTCATCCAAAGAATGTGCTGTAAAACTGCCCTTAGGACCAAGGTTTGATGCTGTTTGAACGAGATGTCTGTTTTTTTCAACAGCCTCGTCGAAACATGTTATAATTTACGTAGAAGGTTTTTTTTTGTTGATGCAAATATCTTCAGTTCAACAGTATTTCAACGAATTACTGCCGTTCTCGTAATGCACCAGTACAATTATTTTTTTATAAAAACACACTAACAAAAAAAAAACAAAAAAACAAACAAACATAAAAACTGATATAACTCACATATCAGTTAAGCATATAACTATCAGTCTTTTTTATCTCGAAAAAATATGAGCCTCGCTTAAACAACAACAACAACAAACATTAAAAAGAAATTAAATGCACTACTGACTATGCTTAGCTAGTGTGCTTCACAAATGTAAAACGCTTCAAGAAATGAAACATTAATTTGAAAATGCTATGCCGTTTATAATGCATGTCCAATGCCTTAATGGATAAGGTCCTAGTTATCAAATCATTCGCTCCTCACTGTTGTGGAGTCAAATCAAGAAACAATCGTTCATTCGTTCATGACAATGGGCTTATGATTCAGGAAGGTCACAGAAGTTTAGTGGTTTTCCTCAGGTTCAATCAAAGCCGTCGCAACTTCCAACAGTATACATTAAGAATTGCAACACGAGGCTGTATTTCACCTTATTTATTACTTCAAGAGACACATTTAACTTGTTCTTCTTGCAGTTAAATGGTATATTGATAAACTTATTTCTTTTGTAGTATGTTATATTACATAAAATGAGAAACAATGATTGTCTGCTTTCTTGTTTGTAAATTAATAAATGATTAACCACGACCTGTTTTACAATATTGTAGTGTGGATTTGAATCCCTGTCAGGAACTTTAGGTTCTTTTGTGTGAGGAAGCTATCCAACAAGCTCACGGCAGGTTGGTGTTCTACTCGGGTGCCCGCTCGTGCGTAAAATAATGCTCAAATGGGTACTTGGGGTCTTCCTCTACCAATAAAGCTGAGAACTCTCTTCAAAGCTTTTTAATGCCGACCTGACTTAAAATGATGATGATGATGATAGATAGATAGATAGTATCAGATTTCAATAATGATAACCTCTCTTTTTGTTTATTAGTTTGAAAAGGCATTATTAGAAAACGACTATTCTTACTTCCTCATACAAATCTATTGAAAATAATTGTTTATTAAATACACTCATATATCCGTAATATCCGTCACCACTTTACGCACCGGAACCGGAAGTTTTCAAAAAAAAAAAAATATATATTTGTAATTTCCGTCGTAAAACTATCACCTGGAAGATACGGTTGTAGAGCATGTATCGTTGCACACATTATGGCCTCCAAATTCTAGAGCAATATTTTTAAACGTTTTCTGTTCCACTATGTTGTATTGAAAAGGGAGAAAACTCCTCTTAGACACTGTAATTGTTGCTTCGGCATCATAACTCTCAACGCATGCGCGAACGAAGCCACGTGTTTCCGGTCCTAACAGACATGAACTGAGCGTTGAGACTGGCGCTGCCAAGTTGATCTCCATTTTATACATTAAACTGTTGACAGACATGTTCACATATCCCAAACATCCGTTAATTCGTGCGTTGATTATACTGTTGTCTGGTCTGAAGTCTAGGGACAAGTTTTGCGCCTGGTTGCGGTAACCAATCAAATAAGCGTTTACGGAAATAAATGAGAAGTCAACTAATCCACCAGACAAGGCAAATGTTGCGTTGTCTTTGTCAAATGAAATGCCCTCTGACCAAATCCATTCTGAAGGAAATGATTTCCCCCAATTTTTCTCCAAATGAACGGCGCCTGTGTTTCCTTTAGTCACGGTGCCACTGGTTATATTCTGAATCTCATAGGAAGTAAGCTCTGATCTCAAACTATACACGAACCAATGTAGCGGAAGTGGAAAGTTTATCAGCCATCCTTCCGGACCAGTTCCCGCTGCATTCCAGTAACACGGATCTTTTGCCTCACCTCTTAATGTTAAATCTCCTAGTCTGAAATTAAAAGTTGTTTTCCCGCCATTTTGTTCGAAAAATCCGCCATGCGTTCCGTTGTTAACCTGCCATTTAAAGTTAGGTGGCGACCCTTTGTCGGGATCAGTCGTAACGTCTTGTCCATTTACTGTAATATCTAAATCATTTGTTGTAAACTTTCCATCTATTGATATTAACTTACATGTATCACTCGTTACGTCACAACGTCGAAGCAAGATAGAAGCGACCACCAAAGGACCGGAAACATTCCTCGAAGAAGATGGCAAAACACTTCCGAATAGCAATCCAAAACTGTCACGTGAGAACTGATCGGTTACCCGCATGTACCACCCTTCGAAAAAAGGTCCTTTATCATGACCTGGAAACAAATGTGGGTCGTACAAGCTCGCAGAAACAATTTCAAAGGTAACGGCAGTGACAATATAACAAGCAACTGCTTTAATATCCATATTTCTCTCCTTTTAAATAAGAAATGTTTTTTCTCGAGTGCAGACGCACTTAAGTGGTCACTGTTTATGAGGTGAGAGATTACATTTTGTTATTTGTTTAACGATAAAACAAAGCAAGATGTTACAACCCGAATAGGAATTTGTCCTAGTTTATACACTTAGTTTCATATCTCAATAAACAAGAGGCCGGATACATATAAGAGGGTTAATAATACATATTTAAATGTAGTTATACATATAATATAAACAACGCTTGAAACATAGCTCAAGTGAAAAAAAATAATAAAAGTAAACAAAAATAAATAAAAAAATGTAAGAAATAAATAAAATAAAATAAAATAAAATAAAATAAAATAAATAAATAAATAAATAAATAAATAAATAAATAAATAAATAAATAAATACATTATAAATCATTAAATAAGAAAAAAACAAAGAATAAAATAATGGACTTTCTTTTAATATTTTCCATTGGTTATAATAGGAATATGAACAGAGGACTTAAAAGTTTTCAGATAAGTACAGTTAAATCTGTGCAGAAGTACCTTTTGGAGACAAAAACAGTTTGTGAGCGTTGTTGTTCAAAGAGAGGTTAATATTTGTGTATTTACTTTGGGATGAATTAAGACTAAACAGAAGGTTGTTGCTCTGAAGGAGGCCGGGCGGAGCGAGAGGGCGGGGGTAGGGGCACTGTAGACTTCTATCATTGATAATATACACGACTCGCTTAACACATATATTTCTTTAAATATGTGGTGTTTGTAAGAAGAATACTATTAAAATTATACAATTAAGCAATAAATAGTTAAAGTTGTTATTTAATGTTACGGAAAAATATTTTCTATCAAATCTCCCTATCTTTGTCTTGACAAATACACAAGTACATGTGCACTGGCGGAGTATAGACACAGATGTGTTGAAAGGGCATACAAGGAATAAAGTCATAAAATTAAAGAACACACACTTTTCTATGCATTTGTCAAGTGAGTCACTTGAAATACTTATTTCCTAAACTGTCCTTAGAAATGTTAAAGCTAAAATCAAGGTTTGACTATGACCTTTAGTACAGTATGCAATTAAGTAATGTTTTTTTGTGTTAAATTCTGTCTTTCAGGCATATATGTGATGAAAAAATACATCAAAAGTCATCATTATTATCTCATCGGTTGCTGCATCTGCCGAAAAATTATTTCCTCGGTTTTGCACCATACTAGCGAAACCACACTGTACAACTGTTGTCATAGACATCAGAATTCGTTTTTCGACTGTAGACACTGGTGATTGATAATTGTACCTTTAGAATGAATGGTCGGATTCTTCACAATGCGGTCTCTTTCTTAAATGGTGCAGCAAAAGCATTCGGTACCTTAACGTGAAGACCGACTTTCTTTCCGGAAATAGATGAGTACGGCCTCACAGAGGAAACGGGACGAATCTGTGGTTCGGCGTAGAGACGCTCCCAAGCGAAAACGTACCTATTTGATCTCTCTTGGTGTGTCAGTGGAGAAAAATTGAGAGGTCTTGGTATAGGTGGAAGTGTACACTGACAAGATCGATGACGGTTTGGATTTACTGATATTTTTGCTGCAAGAAAGAAAAAACGAATGAAACAGAATAAAAAAGTCTTGGTATGAGTTTATATACACATGTACGTTGCAACGACGCTCATAGTCGCACCATTGCCGCTAAATGTCGCAACCGCCGCTCAAAATATGTTTCTGTTAAATATCGCTATGATCGCTATGCCAATGTCACTCCACTACCGTTAAATGTCGCAATATCTAAATTCATGATAATGGTATAATGGCAATATAAACGTTATGTGCTGGATATTTGTCACTCACTGACCTAGGGTTATTCTTAATATTAAAAATGACACTGAATTGATAAATTTCGTTTAATTTTAAAATTAAAATGAGCCGCGTCACGACAAAACCAACTTAATGGGTTTGCGACCAGCATGGATCCAGACCAGGCTGCGCATCCGTGCAGTCTGATTAGGACCCATGCTGTTTTCTTACAAACCCTATAACAAGAAGAGAAACTGATAGCGAACAGCATGTATCCTGATCAGACTGCGAGGATGCAAACCCACTATGTTGGTTTTGTCGTGACGCGGCTCAAATTATTTCTTCGATGCACCTATTTTCCATCTTGAAAAAATATAACAAATGAAAGTTTTAAAGATGTTTGCAACAGTTACATAGACATAGATGCAGATTGAAAATTGTATGGCAGAATTTGCTTTTTTTTATAAGAATGTGTTTATAATTCAAATGAGCTTAGTTTAGCACGAAGGAAGGTAGTTGCTTTCCAGGAACGATGGTTAGGAAACTACTCGCCTATATGACTGAAATACTGTTGACTGAAAAGGCGTAAAGTGAAACAAACAAACACACAAACAAACAAACAAACAAACAAACCAGTCAAAAGCAATTGTTTGAATATGACAACTACTAAAACACTGTGCACTTTACACTGGGTGAACCGAAATGAATTTATCAGTATAAGTAATACATCGGCTTTGTACTTATAGCTGACTAACTCTTGATATGACAGTTCTAAAAAATTACAGCTTGAAAAGTGCATTTTACAAATTCAGCAGGTTAAGTGTGATCAATTGTCGGCTGCACAAATTTTATATATTTTTTTCTTGCAGCCCATCATATTACCTTTTCTTGACATGTCGAATATAGAAAATAAACGTACTTCGGTAAAAATGCCCCAGGTTAATATTTACAAATGTGTGAAAATTTATCTCCCTTATTTTATGCATTTATGAAACCTGCATGTTCTGCAAAAATGCAATTTTTCTCTTGTACACACAAAATGAAAAGTAGAATCAACTCTAAACATAAAATTTTCCAAGAAATTATATATTCTCTTTTTTAAATTTCAAAGCGAACATAAAAGGACGAAAACTGAATTCCCGCTTATTTTGCATTAATGATGTTGTACATAAACCAGTTAAGACATTACCGTGAAAATTAGCCCCCTTATCAATAAGGAAATGGCATATTTTTAAATTCTGGCTTTAATTAAAGGCCGGATATCTGTTTGCCCCTTTCTCGTATGAGAAGGGGAATCCTGTGATGCGTGTATATGGTCGCACGGTCACTTCCATACAATATATCCTCGATGCATGTATATGGTCGCATGGTCGAAATCTTTAACAATAAATACAACGTTTTCAGTAAATTTTTAAGTCTGGTACAAATCTATTCATTTTTATTTACTAAACAACAACACCACACACACAACACCACCACACACACCACTACCACACAACAACAACACCACATACACCAATTCCACAACACCACACCACCAACACCTCAACATAACCACCACCACACACAATAACAAAAACACCATCCCACACCATCCCAACAACAACACCACAAACCACAACAACAACACCACCACAACAACAACAAAAATAATACCACATCACCACCACAACAACACACATCAGAATAACAACACCACACATCAACAACACCAAACTCAACAACAACAACACCCACAACAACAACAACACAACAACGCACATCACCACAACAACAACTCCACACATCATAACAACACCACACATCATAACAACAACAACAACACACTCTACAGTAACAACACCACCACAACATCAACAACAACAACACACAAAACAACAACTACAACAACGCCACCACATACCACCACAAAACCACATACCACCACAATAACAACACACGCATCACAACATCAACACTACAACAACAAAACACATGCATATCAACAACAACAAAACACACAACAACAAGAGCAACAGTTAGCGGCAATGGTACGACATATAACGGTGCCACAATGTGATATATCCGCGATAATTTTAGATAAAACGTATATAGTAGGACTTCAATGATAATTTAAGTTTAACTTCTGATCAAATTTTAAATAATGACCTTTGACATACATGTACGCTGATAAAGGTTACAAAAATGCTACATGTGTATCATTGAAAAAATATATTTTCTAAACAAAAAACTTTACCTTCATACAGTCTGTCACCTGAAAAAATAAAACAAATGTCAAAAAAATAAGTAATGTAATAAATTGTAGATAATTAATAATAACATAATAATTCATAATAATTATATTCTCTTAAATATGAATATTATAATAAAAGATAAAACTTCACTCAATAACACAATGCAATAATTCAATAAACCACTGTTGTACAGCGTTCACCGGAAATAGCACCTCAAAACTTCGAAAACAAAATTAAAAAGGTGTACATCGAGTTCACTCGAGGTAATGTTTCAACTTATTTCCCTGTGATAATCGATTTTTCTAAATTAAGCAAATTTTTCGAAGCTGAATGCATCTGGTGTAAGAGAAGCATTTTCTTTTTCTGCAAATTGAATAATTTTTGTTAAATTGGCGATTAATTGTAGCGTATTTGTTGACATTTTCGAACGATGTTGATTATTTTACCACTAAATCAAGGGGCGGAGCTATTTCCGGTGAACGCTTGACAACAGTGTAAACAGTCGAACCTGTCTAAAACAGACAGCCAAAGGATGCAGTCATTGTGGCTGCTAAATAGATTCAAATATATTCTTTTTTTCTTTAGGTAAAGCTATGCGATGATGTGCTTGTGTGTAGTCTGATACATATAAACAGCTAATTTTTAGCTCGACTATTCGATAAGAATAAGTAGAGCTATTGCAGTCACCCGAGCGTCGGCGTCGGCGTCCGCGTCGTCGTCGGCGTAACCACTTATGTTAAAGTTTTTGTAATAGTTCAAATATTTTCAAAGTCCATTGACATATGGCTTTGAAACTTTGCACACTTGTTCACCATCATGACCCCAACCTGTAGACAGGAGGAGGTAACTCTATCAAGCATTTTGACAGAATTATGCCCCTTTTTCGACTTAGAATTTACGTTAAAGTTTTTGTAATAGTTCAAATATTTTCAAAGTCCATTGACATATGGCTTTGAAACTTTGCACACTTGTTCACCATCATGACCCCAACCTGTAGACAGGAGGAGGTAACTCTATCAAGCATTTTGACAGAATTATGCCCCTTTTTCGACTTAGAATTTACGTTAAAGTTTTTGTAATAGTTCAAATATTTTCAAAGTCCATTGACATATGGCTTTGAAACTTTGCACACTTGTTCACCATCATGACCCCAACCTGTAGACAGGAGGAGGTAACTCTATCAAGCATTTTGACAGAATTATGCCCCTTTTTCGACTTAGAATTTACGTTAAAGTTTTTGTAATAGTTCAAATATTTTCAAAGTCCATTGACATATGGCTTTGAAACTTTGCACACTTGTTCACCATCATGACCCCAACCTGTAGACAGGAGGAGGTAACTCTATCAAGCATTTTGACAGAATTATGCCCCTTTTTCGACTTAGAATTTACGTTAAAGTTTTTGTAATAGTTCAAATATTTTCAAAGTCCATTGACATATGGCTTTGAAACTTTGCACACTTGTTCAACATCATGACCCCAATCTGTAAACAGTAGGAGGTAACTCCATCAAGCATTTTGACAGAATTAAGCCCCTTTTTCGACTTAGAATTTACGTTAAAGTTTTTGTAATAGTTCAAATATTTTCAAAGTCCATTGACATATGGTTTTGAAACTTTGCACACTTGTTCACCATCATTACCCCAACCTGTAAACAGGAGGAGGTAACTGTATCAAGCATTTTTTTACTATCAAGCACTAAGAATAGTCGAGCGTTGCTGTCCTACCGACAGCTCTTGTTATATTCGTTTTGGGTTGTTTTTATATATCGTGTTTATAGAAATACAATTTCACTCGATAAATTCAGAACAAATTATCATTAAAATGATGACGTCATTTAGAGTTATGCACAATGCAGTGGACTTCAATACTTTCTTCTTAAAATGAAACTATAGAAGTCTACAGAATTGTGTAATTACTTACTAAGACAAAATAACATATTAACAAAGGCTTACCAATTTTATCAGATTGAGGTCTGTTACTAAAGTCAAACTTTGTCAATCCTGTAGTGAAACATGGACGGATAGTTTCCTCGGAGGTTGAACACCGGGAATGAAAATTCCCGCTCAAATAAAATGAAGGCTCTGTGAATGAAATATTTGAAAATAATGTCAATATTTACTTGTATACTGGCAATATATGAAATAAAATAGTAGATATAAATGTATAATAAGAAACATTGACACTTCAGATCAGTATATTTAAAAATATTTCAATTAATTAAAAATCACTTTATCTTAATTAAGTAATAAAGATTTTTACAGGGTATATGGTCTTACACAAACCGCTGTTTGGATGGAAATATAATCCACTAGACGAGGGTTTTATTGCAAATAACCGTTTATATACTGCCATATAACCCGAACAGCAAGGCAATTATATAAAACTTGTCAGGAATATTTACATCGATATTATAATACTACAAACTTCATTTTATTAAAGAAAAAAGTGAGATTTCTTTATAAATTGACAACAGCCATGTATATTATTAGTTATAAAGATTTTTGACAGGTTATATGACCCTGTATTTAAGCGGTTGTTTGTAAATATAACCAGAGCCGTTAGGCGAGGGTTATAGTGCAAACAACCGTTTATATACGGCCATATAACCTGTCAGAAATATTTAAAACGAATTTGTAATACTACAAGCATCATTTTTAGGTGAATAAAGCGAGATTTCTTTATAAATCTACAGCAGCAGTGTATATAAAACTATATAAACGCCACGATTATCCAATGAAAAACGACGTTACAAACGTGCAGTATTATACAATGAAGAGACGTTACAAACGTGCAATAATATAGAGTTATATAAAACAATAACAAATGTACACATATAAACATAATTATTTAAAGCGACCATCTAGCACATTTGACAACATTTGTAGATCATTGTATGATACCATACATTGAACTTAAGCCAGAAAACACCGAGATTAAGCACGTTTTTTAAGGCCGTATGTTTGTATACGGCCATATACGGCATATACACAATCTATTGGTCTAGACCTTCACCAAATGGTATAAAAATCTCGATTTTGTTCAGTCCAGTCATCTCAAAAAACTTCAATTGAGTTCCTTTAAGCGAAAATAGCGTATAGGATAGATTTCAGCCAGGGAAACATACACATGATACGTATGAAGTAAACTTACCTTTCTGGTGCCTAAGTGGATTTATAAGTTTACCCCTGAAATAAACATAGTGATACTATGTAATATACAAATTGAAACCATAAAATATACATATAAAAAAGAAATCATGCGCTTAAACACCTGCCATAATCTAATTAAAGACAAGTAGATTCAAAAGTTTTTTTCATTTTTTGTTCAAGGTCAGGTAATTGCATTGTACCATCAACGCAGAAAACGCCACAAAACATACAAAGAGTATAATCCGCCAAATTATAATTATATATAATTATAGATAAACTAGACGTTTTAAAACAGATCACATATCTTATATTCACTAATTTAAAAAAATGTTATTGCCGTATCGTATAGAGAACCACACTTTTTTGAGTGTTTTAAGATCGAGTTAACAAAAAATACCTGTTAAGGTGGCAATCTTCACCCGTCCACAATCTAGAATTCTTGAAAGAAAAAAGAACAGGTTGTAAAAGATTAGAAGATTTTTAATAGGTAATATGGTCCAATATGAACAGTTGTAAGTTTATATAACAAGAGTTAGTAGCAAACAACCGTTTATAAAAATCAGCACAAATTTATAATATCTGTTAACAATTTAATGAAGCATTGTAAAATACCTCGTTTTTAAATTGAAATTATTCAAAATTTCGGATCGACAGTGCCTATATAAATATTTCACGTAAACATTATGATTATGTCATAAAAAATGACATTACATAGTTGCATCGAAAACAAATATTGTATCAGTAAACATAAGTTGAATTAGGAAAATACAAATTGAAAGGAATATAGTGTCATGAATACATTATGAAAATTAACCAAATACTTTTTGACGGGTTTAAAGCGAATAGATATACAATGGGCACATTTTTCATTAGTATTTCAAATATTGATGAAAACAATTTAATAGATGTATAATTTGAATTTTCTTAAAAAAAATCATGATACATGTCTAAGTGATGACCATATTTATGATGAATGATATGAGCCGCGTCACGACAAAACCAACATAATGGGTTTGAGACCAGCATGGATCCAGACAAGCCTGCGCATCCGCACATTCTGATCAGGATCCATGCTGTTTGCTATCAGTTTCTCCACTTGTCATAGGGTTTGTAAGCGAACAGCATGGATCCTGATCAGACTGCGCGGATGCGCAGGCTGGTCTGGATCCATGCTGGTCGCAAACCTATTATGTTGGTTTTGTCATGACGCGGCTAATACTATCAACGTTATTATCATTCATTGCATAAGTGGTCTGCTATTATAGACCAACTTACTTTAATCTAGCGGTAAAATCATATCAAACTCTTACTTAATTTCTGAGTATTTTCTAATCGCGATTAATATGACCTTAAAACTTAAAAAAAAAATTCATACCTTCCCGTATTTGTTATTTAGTAATATCATTCTCGTGCTAGTATTATTGGCATCATACACGGGTAATTTTCTTTGGAACTTATGTTGTTTCTCTCGTTTTAACAATCGTTTATGGCCAAGTTCAACTCCTTGTTTAACCCCAATTCCTTTCCACTGATCTACAAGCTGTCCGTTAACACTGCCGTCCTCGCGACTGATTGACGAGCGTTCGTTATTATCCTTGTTTTGTGAAGTATTACCCTCGTCAAAGCCATTCTTTATCAAAGAATATTCATTGTTGCCGCTCGAACCTTGACTAGTTGAAGTTTCATTACATAATGCTGACTTTTTCGTTTTGTTTCGGCGCTTTCTTTTGACATTTGCTTTTTCATCCTGATTTATCAATGTTTCAACATTTTCAAGATCGTTATGCTTCTTTTTCTTTTTATGTTTTTTGTTAGAATGTCGGGATCCCTTACTTTCAGCTTGACGATGAAGTTGCGAAGATTCCGTTGGAGAAACTTTAATGGCTTCATCTGTGTTATGATTTACATCATTCACAAACTTGTAAACAGTCTCCTTATCGTCAATGGTTTGTTTCTTGGATATTGTGCTGCTCAATGAATCCTTTGAGATTTTCTCATCTACATTATCTTCAGCACTATCAGGTTGGATCGATGCACTTTTAGATACAACTGTTGCATCTGAAGTATAGCCTTTAATGTCTGTATAGCCGTTACTGTTTTCAGCATGATCGGGAAATACCGAAGCATCACTTTCAGGTAAAGCTGAAGTATCCGAAGCAAAACCTTTTCGGTTGTTCTCATCTGTAAAGTTTTTAGGAGTACTGGGTGGCACAGATGCATCACCTTTGTGTAAAACTGTGACGTCTGAAATAGAACCTGCAACGGTTATGGCACCTCTATTATTCTCAGCATTGTCAGGTAAAACGGTTGTATCACTTTTAGGTAAAAGTGTTCCATCTGAAAAAGAACTTGTTATGGTTGTGTCCCCAGCATTGTTTTTAGCTTTGTCGGGTAAGATAGTTGAATCACTTTTAGGCAAAATTGTTGCGTCAGAAATAGTACACGTAATGGTTGTGTCCCCAGCATTGTTTTCTGCTTTGTCGGGTAAGGTAGATGCATCACTTGTAGGTAAAATTGTAGTAACTGTAACAGAACTTTTAACTTTATCTGTTAAGTGTTCTTGAGACAGCAGCTGGTATTTATTAGAATCATTTTTCATTGTTTTGGTATGATGTTTTAAGTTTTCTTTCGTCAGTTCAACAACCGTGTTAGATCTTTCGTCATCGTCATGGTAGTTTCTATGTATAGAAACACCGTTTTCTATTTCACTCACTTGGATAGAATGTTCATTGTTTTGTGATTCGATATTTTGATCAGAGGTTCTTGTAGAGTCATCGCTTGTGTGAGCGAACGCTGACGACGAGTTTGCTAATTTCAAAGTTGACTGACCGGAGCCACTTGAATCTTCAACGATGGACTTTACAGTAACCGGGTAGTTTTGTAAACCATTAGCACATTCTTTGTCTGTATTGTGATTCTCAGGCATAATTGTGTTTTCAAAGACTTTTTCGTTTTTTGAATCAGTTTTCCCGCTCTCTTGGTGTTCACTTTCCGGATAAGCGTTTATGGTTTCGAAGTCAATTCCGTTTTCATTTTCAACACGTTCCATCACAGGATTCAAGTTACCGTTTTGCTTAATACTTTCATTTTCTTCAGTCGTTGCGCTGATCGTTTCGTCTGGCACTGAAATTTCTGAAAGGAGATAACATATAGAATATTTCACTGATTTTGTTCACCAGTTTTGTTTTGAATTATAATTTTAACATAGAAGATTCTGACTTAATGTCCTTTAACACAGGGGGTAAACGCGTTTATTGGTACTTTCTTTACTCACAAAAATGATTAAGTTGAATTACATAAGCTTTTAATAAATCATACACATACGTTTTCATAAAAATAGTTACCTTGTTTTATCTAATTTGAAATCTTGTCACTAATGACAAATTATGAAAATTAATTTACAATCTGGTCATATTTGCTTTTTTTAGAGATACCGGTATTATGGAACATACAATTTTTTAAAATCTTTTTATAACGCATAAAAATATCTGATTATTAATCACTGAGAAAATCTCTTATAAATTCTATAATTTACAGTAAACATTCTACCGGAAGTCAACGTGGAAACAAACCGACTACGGCCGAAAAATTTCATTCTTTACCTGAGAACGTAAATGTATTCTCCTTTTCTAATTCTTCCACCACTGCTTCCAAAATTGGTTCTTTCATCTTCATTCCTTAATATCTGTGTATAAATTCACTTTCTTATTTCAGCCGATTCAAAAAGACTTTCTTGTTTGTCTAAGATTAAACATAATCCACTCTACGAGATATATATTGCTCTTAATTATATCTTCACTTTAATATGATAAATGAATATTACAGAAAAATAACTAAGATAATTTTGATTTAAATTTTGTTTGTAAATGTCGCGTATTGCTCCTCAGGTATGAGCGTTGATCTGTATTAATATTATTTTTTATAAAATAAGTCGTAAAATAATATTTACGTTTCAACAAAATATGCGAAATGTTAAAGACATTTTAATTGCCTTTATTTCTTTTTTTACCGCTGACAAGCTTCGGAATAGTTTACATGCTACTGGCCAATTACAATAGAAATATGCGTGACTCGAGTCGGCTTTAATTGAACTTTTTGAAATGTAATTAGTACTCAAAACAAACCGTTCCTAAAGAAAAGCATAATTATTGAAACATGAATGTTAATATAATTTTTTTTGGTATAAACCCCTGTTATTTTATAACAATATTTTTATTGTGATATCAACTTAAAGACAGAAGTACATAAATGAAGAAGGCAAATGGACGGTGACGGATTTTATTTTTCTGCTCATGAACAGTGACCTATTTGTTGTATATCTTTTAAGATATTTATCTACGATCTCTTTAAACTTGACCACCATTGTTTAGGACAGTACTATCGCGTGACACCATATCTGAAACAATATTTATAAAATTAATTTAATACTCATAAAAGTTAACTGTTCTTATGGTAAGCTCAAAAATGTTTCATACTAAGTTTATTTAAATGTAAAAAAATGTTTATAAAATCAGTTCATTTATTTAGACCTTATTTTGTCGTGAGGCATTCTGAAAAATGATCGTCGTATCATGTGGTTTTCAAAACGTATACCGCTAAATTGTGAACTGGACTTCATCTGCTTTGAATTTAGAACATATTTTTTTAGAAATTTCAGGGGTTTCAGCTTGAAAATATTTGGACAGACTGCATGGATGTGCTGGCTTGGTTAGCTGCTCATTACAGGTTGCATAAGGCTTTGCGTTTTTTTGTTGGAACTCAATAGATGAAACCATTCGCGTATAGCCGATTTAATGTACTAAATATAACAATGTCAACCGAACATTAACTAAAGTACCTACCTAATCTCCAATTACCCGAGAAAATTTAAAAGCAAATATAATAAAGACGTTCACTATGAAAAGAGACACAATTTATAATTAAGGAACAATAATTGGTAAACTGCGGTAAATATTTCAAAACGAGGCACTTTTCCACCCACTTACTTACCGTTCTAGTCAGGCGTGTGTCAAAGTTAAAATATGAATGTATGAATATTGATAGAACAATTCGAACTTTTCATAACCTAATTATTGGGAATTTGTTTTTTTGTTTCATTTTTACGCCTTTTCCCAACAGTCTTTCAGTCATATAGGTGGGTAGTTTCCTAACCGTCGTTCCGGGAGAGTTACACCAGTACTAGACTACCTTCCTCCGTGTTAAACTACCAAAGCATCTCCCGGGGACACAGAGGTAACTGGATTAGAAGTCATCGACTCTAACGCCTCGACCACGGAGGCGATCTAATTATTGTGAAAGTAAATACATTAAACGTAATAAAGAATGTGTTTGCAATATATATATATTTTGTAATATAACAAAATACTCTGATAAATGATGATTTAAGTAATAAATAAATAAACGAATAAATGAATGAACGAACGAACGAACGGATGAATGAATGAATGAATGAATGAATGAATGAATGAATGAATGAATGAATGGATGGATGGATGGAAAGAAAAAATCTCGTTCGAAATCATTTTGCATGTACATTTTTGTACTTCATTTAATCTGAACAATTCAAAACTAGACAATTTTTTTATTATACCGCTATCTGACCATCAAGGATTTTATTCACGCGCCAGTTATAGCTACAACATTGCGATTACACAACGGCTTAAGTTATTTCTATTCCAAGGGGGGCATACGAAGCGCACGCATCCTCAAACCTCAACACTTTGTCAACAAAAACGAGTCATGTAAACAATCTGGATGGACCCTCCTTGTATTCTTAAGTGTAACGAAAGTATTTTAGAATTTACAGTGTTTTGATTTACTCTTATGCTATTCTGTTCTTATAAATGGATATCATAAGCCTTTATGGCGCCTTTCAGCAGTACATTTAGAGAAGGGTCTCAGTGGTACATTCATGCATGATCGGGCACTCAAGAAGAACATCGACCTTTAGTACACTATCTCAATAACTAAAGCACACAAAATAGAACCAAAATCTTTTGAATTTAAAGCCTCGGTGCTGAGGGGTATGCATTTTTCAAGTCAGCAAACTTAACGATTAAGGACTCGTAAAATACTTTACTTGTTAACGGTGTTTTGTTTGAGCTTCGTTTCTCCAACCTATGGTCAACCTGAAACGCCGCATCGACGAAACGATGCACTGAAGCGAAGAGACTGCGTTGAAACGAAACGACTTCCATCGCATACAGTCGCTTCGGGTATCATCTCGTCTCTTCGGCGAATCGTCTCGTCGCTTTGACGTATAATCTCGTCGCTTTGGCATATCATCTAGTCGCTTTGGCGTAACTTCTCGTCGCTATTGCGCACCGTTCTGTCTAGCCACGTGCTTCCTCGTCGCTTGAACATATCATCTCTCGCTTCGAGGCATCGTCTCGTCGTTCATCGAACGAATTAAGTCGTCGCTTCGGCGTTTTAGGTATATCACAGATCGCAGATGCGAAGACACTTTCGCCCCAACAGAACGTACTTTTTTGTTAAATGTTCTTGTTTAATATTGTGTAGGTTTAAATATCTTTCTAATGACAGAATTTTTCTAATCAAAGAATTTTGTTTCTAGTTTAAACTATTCGATAACACGTGAGTTTGCAAACAAAAATCTTATGGTTTGTTAATTGAGGAGTACTTGTAACAGATTAGATATGTTCCTTGTTTCACAGGAACATTTTTGTGAATCTTCTAAGTTCGCATACATAATGTCATGGTTTAAATAATCCAAAACTTATTAATCAGATCTTTTTTTTCTGGAGAAAATATCACAAACATTTTTTTATTTACCAGATATTGACATTCCTGTAAGCGCTGCAAGTAGTTTGAATAATGTACCTTGTTTCTTTACCAATGTTTTGTTATTGTTCCGCATGAAAAGGGAAATAAAAACCTACGTACCTCCGTTAGTAAAGTCAGAGTTGTCTTTCTTTTTAATACTATATCCAATGGTGTAAAAGATCTTAAGTATTTTTAGTACGGCCATATAAAAAGATCCCTGGGAAAAATAGAATCAAAAGAAAATATGGCAACATTTTCTCTAAGATTAAGAAAACCGAACACTGATAATGATCATTAAGATCTTGTATTTCTGAGACGGATTTAGGTGATGGTTAGTGGGATTTCTGGCCAGTTCGGATCTAGGGCTAAAGACCCTATTTTGCCAATTAAATTAATTCGTCAGCGGCACATATGCATATTTGCACGAAGATTTGTAACACAATATTCTCTACATAGTATCTCGCTTTACTGGGCATACTGACTTCGCTGGTACTATTTAATCTTGTTCATCAGCAGCAACTATCACAAGTCATACCGCTTAAGTCGCATCAATAATGATGATGAATGATGAATAATTATGAATAATAATGATTGATGATGATAACAATAATGATGATTATTCCTCTGATTATTTTAAAAGACAAAGAAAACAGTGAAGATAATAAATTTGGTATTCAAAAAAACTTTTAAGGTTTTTAATTTTTTTTATTTCAATATTACCCGCCTTCAAAATAAAAATAAAATACCATTAAATAAATAAAGACTAGCTAGTTATTGCAAGTTTCTTGTATCTTTTTGTTGCACTAATGCCTTCTTGATTTAGCGTTTTATTATGAATCCATTCTTCCATACACATATAAGCAATGGGGTCATATTCAATGTCAAACTTATTAGCGATGAGTTCATATCTGTCTTTTAATGCTGGAAGGTCAAGGGCACTGAACACGCAGACGTTATGTACGTAATGTTTTTCTTTGCATCTTGATAATAATTTAGTGGTGTTCCATCCAATATAACGCCCGAAGAACGGCTTCTTGTCGGGATCACCTGCAACGGAATTAGAATATTGGTTATATAGATTTTGACAGGTTATATGGTCATTATGGTATATATTATAAACGGTTGTGGTAAAGGCAATTTGTGAAATAAAATAATACTAAATAATTAATATTAAATTTCATTATTTCTTTTCTATCCTGACTAGTAAATGAAACGTTAAATTCGAGTAAAAAGATCATGGTATGCTTAGTGGTCTGTGATTTCTGTATTTGTTATTTATGGTGGCTGATTTGGTACACTGCGCGTTGCAAAGAAAAAAAAAAGAAGAAAATACATAACAACAACCACTGGCCGATAGGCTTCTCGTGGATATTTTGAGATAGAACGAAGAAAGGAAAGAAGGACGAAGAAAGGAAAGTAGAACGAAAAAAGGAAAGAAGAACGAAAAAAAGAAATAAGGTACAAATATGAATGTATAAATGAATTAGTGAGTGAGTGAATGAATGAATGAATAAAAATAAATAAATAAAAATAATAAATTGATTAATTAATTAATAAACAAATAAAAAACTAAGATAGAAAGAGGTAAAGAAAAGTGAAATCTGAAAGAAGATAGAAAGAAATAAATATGGAGAAAAAGATACATAGACAGAAAGCAAGAAAAAAAGAAGAAAGCAAGTAAAGAAGGAAGTAAGAAAGAAGACAGATAGAAAGAAAGAATGAAAATAAGAAAATGAAATCGAAAGTAAGAATGGAAGTAGGATAGAAAGACAGTATCAACAAAAATAAAAGAAAGAAAGAAGAGGAGACAAGATGACGAAAATGAAAGAATGAAGAAAAACAGATTGTATACAATAATTTTGAGTTATACACACCTTTAAAACCACCGGGTGTTTCAAGAAATGGGTTACTGTACAGATTATTCAAAGTTGCCCAGTAATGTTCGTCTGGAGTTAACGTATCAGTCGACCATGCTAGCAAAGCCCGAGCTCTCTCGTCCTCGAGGACAAACACAACAAATGCCCGGCTAAATACATTATACGCATTGCCTTTTGTAATTTTTAAGCCGTACGGCGGCCTTTCTTTGGCCCTTTTCGTATGTATGATGTATCCAGATTTACTCTTTATATCGATGTAAGTAAAATGTTTTTGTTTAAATCTTTGACTGTCCATAGTAATGAACACTTCGTGTATATCATTAGCTCCATTAAATTCATTCAATATTTGAACTGTTTGTAAATTCGTCATAATAGGGAACTCGCTGGCGGCCATATTGATTAGATATTTCCATTCAAAATTGCGTTCTATATGGTCTTTCATACAATTAATATCAGCAACTAATCGCGTATAACTTGCGTATATGATATATTCAAGTTTAGATGCTATGAACACATTGTCAAAACAGTCAGTTAACAGTGTCATGGTTTCTAAAACGTCGTCTGGCGTTTTCATATCAACATGTATACAATACTGGTTCTGTGGTCTATATATTGCACGTAAAAGTCGTTCAAACTGTTCTATATTTCTGTGAAACAAAATATTGTAGGCAATTGGAAAATCCTGTTCTAATTTTGTAACTGGAGCAGCAAAGAATCCTCGGGATTTCTTGTATTCTTCACAGTTTAGCGACAACACTCTTAATTCATCGCCTTTGCGGTGCTTAAAATACCGAACATTTCTAAGGTAATCACTGACACGATTTATCTCCGTGTTATCGCCCTGGAATAATTTATCACAGCTAAACGTTCTAAGAACCGGGTTAAGTTGAGGGTCTGTCAAATACTGTGCAGTTTGAGATCGTTGTAAAGTTTGCTTTTTATTCGTAAACATTATGGGTCCATCGTAGAACACATCTTGTGATGACTTTTCAAGCCACACGAAAGAGAAGACAAGGGACAGGCACATTATCAAGGACACGTAGGTGAAGTATTTCACGAATTTGATCCGTAAAAACCTCATGACGTCACTCACAACCACTACGTTATCTTCAGATAACTCTTTTGTATACCTGCAGAATAAAAAAACAAAACGTATATTGTTAATTTAGTTTGTTAATCTAAGTTAAATAAATTTAAGCGGGACATCAACAAAAGTTTAAATGAAAAACATCCTTTGTAAATTTATATAGTGACAAGTGCGGCAACAACAATTGCAACAATAACAAAAATAACAATATAGCAGCAGCAGCAGCAACAACAACAATAACAACAACAGCAGCTGCGACAACAACAGCAACATTTCAATATTTTCATTTGCAATAATGATAAACTATGTTTTATTGTTTAAACTCATTATACAAGAAACAATTATAACACAAATTAAAGTAAATAAGATATTCTAACACTATTGGATTTTTTTCTTTATACACAAAGAAGGCCAACAATGCTTTCGCAGATCTTATTACCTCCCGAATCTTTCAAATCGGCACAGTGACACATTTTGTTCGAAAAATCTGATCAATAAAAAACCTTTTTTGTTGTGAAAACTATCCAGAATGAAAGAAAATGGTCTAACTAACATAATGAGTGCGAACACCAATATCTTTAATTTAGTCGTTAACGCTGTTTTCGAAATTAAGTATATTACTACGCATTTGAACTCAAACCATGCATTATTCAACAACAATGCACTCAGAATTGTTATCTATTTCCTAATTAAAAGTCTATATATGTGCAACAACAACAACAACAACAACAACAACAAAAACAACAACAACAACAACAAAAACAACAACAACATCATCATCATCATCATCTACAACAACAACATATCATCATTAACAACACCATCAGCAATACCATTTAAAGACAAAAACAACAACAACGACGACGAAGATGAAAACAACAACAACGACAACGACGATGAAAACAACAACAACAACGACGACGACAACAACAACAATAACAACAAATCAACTAAAACTCTTCTTTCCAACAACAAAACCCTTTTGAGATGATGCAAAATGAGCCATTTGGTTTTCCATTATCAAATTTTGAAAAGTAAGCCTTTTTATCTTTTCTGGGAAGCTTGTTTCATTTACTTCACATGTCGTTAAAGTAATTGATTCCCTCGCTGTGGGAAACAAGCAATTTTCAAAATTTCTTGAATAAGAGAAATGTCAGGTTTTCTTTCCGTAGACACAGTGAACTTACTCCCTGAAAAGATGTCGCTAAATGATTTTGGCCAAATTGTAATTTTAACTTCATTTAAAATTTGCACGAGAGTAAAAAAAAAAAAAAAAAAAAAAAAAAAAAGTGAAAAAGGTCATAATGGCCATTTAGTTTTGTTACTCGGATATTCAGATTACATTTTTTTTTTTAAAATATGAGGTGCTGATACACTTTGTTTCTTCGTGTATGCTACAGCAAATATTATCAAGATATTTACGGAGGCTAATAACTTGTATAGGAATTCGACAAACTTACATTTTTCTAAAGAAAATTTGCATTTATTAAGGTAAAAACAAACGGTTGCAAATTTTACTTATTCTTGACATTTTGCAGAAACAGTAGTAAGGAAGTCATCAGTATCACAAGCAAAACAATTAGACACTGTGAGTTATCTGCTCTTGAAATTAGCAATGTTTGTTCAGTGTTTTAAATTCCGGGCAGATAACTCGAAAACGCACACGCTGAACCGCTTAAAATATTTCTTTGACCCTATTATAAGTCATGGCAATTCTAAAATAGAGTTTTCATTCTTTCTATGTCTGTAGGAAACTGCAGCACACACCTCCATCTAAAATTATTGGGTTTGCCAAGTTATGATAATGAAAATTTAAAGGTTGTCAGCCAAAAATATATAGCCTGGTCAGGCGGCATGTTTACGAGTGACCTAGTTCTATTCTGGTGGCATAGTCTAATCACTTCCGCTTGCAGCAGATTTAGGTTTGAAACTAATAAACTTGTCTAGTACTTATGGGTATTTTGATTATTTTTCTAAACAAAACGAAAACTGATAAATAAATAAATACCTCCCCCTCCAAAACAAAAGATAAAAAAAGAAGAACAGCAACAAAAACAACAACAAACAAGCAAAACAACCTAATTAAATCTGTACCCCCCCCCAAAAAAAAAAAAAAAAAAATTGACGTTACATTTAGGCCCATTGTCGACTTAATTGAACATTATATTATCATATTTATTAAACCATAGAAATTTTATATACATACCTAATATAAACGTAAGACTTCCAGGATACGTCATTTTCCTTGTATGACTCTGACGTCACGAAATGTCTTAAAATATCTTGTATGCATGTCTTTTAAAATATGTTTTCCATTTCGCATCCAACGACTGTATATACGTGACATTCTATTTATAAATCCAGTATTTATAAATAATTTCTAATTTCTTATCTAGGCACCATATGCGTTCATTTTTCTTATCTCCCATGCGAGTTTTATCTCCCGTACGAAATAACATTCCTATGCTGACCTCTTGTAAACTTTCTAGATTCTTTATATTATTCAACATTTATTTCAATTTTCCTCTGTCGAAATCAACATTTAACTGCTAGCATGCATAACATTATGCGGACCCTAAACATTTTGTTTTGAACATTTAAATGAGTCACTTTTAAACATTGTAATCCAATAAAAGAAAATCTCTTTATTACATGTTGAATTTCACATGTTAAATCGCCATGTGTTTGTGAGATCAAATATTAGATAAGTATTAAACATAGCGTGCATTATCTCCTTAAATTTCTCGTCTGCATTTGTGAAAAATGACAGGTTTAAATTAATAGTCCTTCGACAATCTGGATTTTGTTACTGATTCCTTATCATAGATGTTAATAAAGTATAAATCCGATCGGTAATTTTACTATGTTTCCTAAAATAAACAGCATCAACTGCAAATTGGTGCCAAAAAATAAAGATCCATCGATAATATCACTTATTCTCCTAAAATGTTACGCAGATATTGTGTCGTCTGCTATCGACTGCCTGTGTTCTGCAATTCTTCTGCAGAATCCGAAAATTAGTGTACATGAAACTCTTAACGTGGCATTTACTGTACGAGGTTTAATAATCATAACGAAGTTAACGAATATTCCCACAGGCTCGTCTGTGTAAATAAACCAAAATTCTCATTACATGTACAATGAACTCTTATTATAACAGAAGCAGAGGGGCACGTGGTGTAATTTTATATACCAGCTTGACATTTCATTCACCATTCTTTTGGTAATCGCATTGTCGTTATTTAAGCGTAATTTGGGGTCACTTAAACCAGAAATGCGTACGCTTTTAAAAAGAATTTTATATTGTAAAATGATAACATTTTCTTTGTTACTATTGTTTCCGACTTAACACGAACACTTGTGATAATTAATTGTTGCTTCCATAAGCACTCGAGTTATACTTAAAACTGAAAACGAGTGCACCTTGGCATCCTTTATCCTGCTTTAATAATCATAAATCTTGATATTTGCAAAAATAAAACGTATTTTGTCGTCTGCTAGATATAGTTTTGTTTAAACGTCATTTCCTATGTTTACTTTTATCTCTCCTCTCCCATCCCCACCACTGCGTTCTCTCTTTTGGCCTAAAAATTACCAGGAATAAGCAGGGTAGGTCGGATATTAAAAAAAATGTTTTGTACCGTAGTGGTTGGTGGGGAAAGTAAAAATTGTCTCATTTTAATATTTTGTTTGGGTAGACTCCTACTAGTCTGATTTGCTATTCATTTTCTTTAATAACACCTTATTCTGAATTAGTGTTCAACTTTATTTGTCATCCAATGAAAACGCTCTGTATTTCTTAAAAATTCTGTGCGTTAATTTTGACAGAAGAACAAAAGTCGATACTTTATCGAATTCCGTTCACATATAGTCGTCTTCTATTTTTCATGGCACTTCATAGAACCGCAAAGTGACATAATAAAGTGAATAATAATGAGGCCAAATAAAGCTTGACACTATATGTATGTAAGTATTTTTTCTGTAGCTGTTCTACAGAAATTAGAAACATTCTCCTGTCGCTATCGCCCTCGTCGAAGTTGCTAATGTCTGTAGAACAGCACGGATGAACACTAACATATCCATAGGTGCTTCAAGAATTGAAGTATTAAAACAAGTCATACAAATTGTCCTCCTTGACAATCGTCCATGAGCCATTGTTAGATGTTGACATTGAAACTTCCAATAATGTCCCCGAGTGGCACAAAAACATCATTTCTAACTCTTCAAATGACATCTTGGACGAAATGCAATATTAATTAATTAATAATAATTACTTTTTGACAGACCTAAAAAGGGTAAGGTCGGGCATATTTTTAGGTAGGATAGGGCGACCATAACAAAACATTTTTTTTTTGCCTTATCCTGCGGTGTGACTGGGTAATGTTGGAGACTACCTTCTGTGTCCGATGCCTTGTTTTGTTGATCTTCGTTCTCATTTTACGCCGTTAAGTATCTTAATCTTATTTATAATTGCACCGATGACATAGAGATATGGCGTTTGTCTTTCACATGTCTGTTACTTATGGTGGCTTATTTGGAACAGTTTTGTGCGTCGTGTTGTCACCAAACGGCACGTTATCGGACTTTCGTCTTGTCGTCCTGTCGTGCAGCGTGTTGTCGCATGTCGTTCGGCTCATATTGAAGAGTTAGCTATTTGTATATAGATATTATAAGACAAACGACAGGGCGACATCGCGACAACGTGCCGCACGACAACGCACCGTTTGGCGTGCTTTGCTAGGGACAGAACGACAAGACAAAAGTGCAACAAGGCACGGTTTGGCGCATTTTGCTAGCAACAAGACGAGAATACGAAAAGGCGATAACGATATAGGTTGTGTTGCCGCTGCGCAAAGTGTACTAAATCAGCTATCATATTTACTCCTGTTATGTTTTACGAAAATCTAAACTAATCTAAATCTTTTTATTGTACATTATAATTTATACATGAATAAACTTTCCACAAAAGTTTAAAATCTTATAATTAGTCGAAGTATGCAGAAATACCTCCTACTATGTTACTGTTTGCCAGAAATCAATCGCAACTTCTCGGCCCCTTCCGTCAAACTTCGGACACAACAGAACCGATACGGTATTTCGGTCTAACCTATGCTAAGAAACTAATAGTCATTTAATGCTAGGACTTGTTGAGAAAGTTTATTCCTATATAACAAATAAAAGTCCATCTTTATTTAGTTAATTTGTTTATATAAGTATACAGTACATTATTATATATACTTTTTATTATGGTTGAATAAACCGAAATTACAAAATGTCTTCCGGCCGAAATTTATTCGTATTTGTTAACAAACTAAATTAGTGGACATTTTGAAATTAAGTATGATTGTCAGACATATTTGCAATCATAATTTTACCGAAATAGACTTTTTTTTCCTTTGGATGTCAAATATAAACATTCATACATTTTAAAAGATTACACCCTCTGTTTATATTTACATTTAAAACCATATGGCAGAACTACTTTAAATCTGTATTAATATTTAGTCCGAGGGTATTATGAATAATAGCCGAGATGTTCTGATTCGGCACAAAGTAACAAAAAAAGGCATCGCCGGAACCTATGGGTACTGATTCCACTGAACTACACGAATGAAGAATATTTATACGTAACGAGTATACGCTTGCGTTAAGTAGTACTTAGTGCTTCTTAGATTGTAAATATTTATACATTCATTAAAGACACATTATGAATCGGAGAATAAATTTCCCTTATGTAGAAAGGGCAACACAAGTTTTGTATCGATTAATTATGGTTTAAGCGTATGTCAAATGCTTATCACATGAAGAAAAATAGCACTGAATTCGAAATTATTTGACTGTCATAAAAGTAGCTGATTAATAAGACTGCTTTACTAAAAAAGTGTAATCACTGTACATGTAACTATACTACTTGCTAAAAAGCAACATATTAAATAAAAGTAGATTCAGATATGTGGCTTCATTATATGTTGCAACGACGTTAAATGTCGCACTTGCCGCTAAAAGTCTTAAAATATTGTGAAGTTAAATGTCGCAATGATGACGTTAAATGTCGCACCGTTTTTCCATATCGTTAAATGTCACAATATGACCGTTAAATGTCGCAATAACTAAATGTATGTTATAACACAACTGGTATCATGTCAATATTAAAGTTATGTAAGTGATCTGGGGACAGGCTAGTTATCAAACAGGAAAGGATTTGCTGAGATGTACAGAATAATTGGCTGAAATTGAAGTCATATACTCGGTTTTATAAACTGAGCTCTTTGGTGATAAAACACATTTGTATACATTTGGTTTTAAAAATGCTTTTACCAGTATAGAGATACATGTAAACCAGACTTGAACATTCGTGCAGACTGAACCGGCTCTGAGGTTATGGCTGACTTACTTTAGAAATTTCTATATTGATATATTACCAGACTGATAGATAGTTTTAAAAAAAATACACAAAAACATGGAAGCTGGTAATGTGCAATTTACAAATTCAATAGCATTAGTAAGTCTTGCACTTAACAGAAATTGTTAGCTGATTACTCGTATGTTGAATCTTTTTTTCCCTGGCAGCACATTACATTACCTTTACTATTACAAGCAGAACAGGTCGAATTTAAAAATGCCCCGATGTTAATATTTGCAAAACAAAGTGTGAAATATATCTCAAATATTTAATGTATATAAAACGTTTGTGAAACGTTCATGTTTTGCAAACATATAATATTTCTTTTACTTACATAGAATGAATAGGAGAAAAAAACTTTTTTCAAGAAATTAGATGTTATCTTTTTTTCGATTTCAAAGCGGACTTAAAAAGGACGTAAACTGATATCCCGCTTGGTTTGTACTACTATTGTTGTATAAAAACCAATTCAAGAGACGTCTGTGAAAATTAGCCACGTGCACCTCATCTATAAACGATGTGAAAATGGCATATTTTTAAAGTCTGCCCTTTAGTGAAAGGGCGGATAACGCTTTATCCCTTTCTCATAAGAGAAGTGGAATCTTGTGATGCGTGTATGTGGTCGCACGGTCACTTTCCTTACAACATGTTCCCGATGCATGTATGTGGTCGCATGGTCGAAAATCTCTAATACAATGACAACGTTTTCAAATGTGTTTTGGTATTGAACCGCCTGGGAAAATTCTGAATTATCGTAAAAAACCGTTGAAATCGTAAAAATGAGTTTTAAAAACCGAATAATGACTTTGTTACTTCTGTTTAGGAGTTTTAAGAGTCTAAAAGTCTAAAAAGACCTTTTCACTTTTAATTTACAGCTATAAAAGCCTAATTAGGACTTTGATTCTCCTAAATAGGAGAGATAAAAAACTTGTTACAATTTGTTACTACCAGTTACAACTAAATAGGACATTTAACTCATAATTAGGAAAAATAAACCTTTGAACAATTTGTATCTCGTAATAAGAAGTTTTAAAAGCCTAATTATGAGAAATAAAAAAAAAAAAATAAAAATTGAGAATTAATTAATTAGCAGCCTCGAAAGACTAAATACAAAATAGAAACCTAATTTAAACTTTGTACCTTCTAGTTAGCTTATTAACAAAAATAACAAATATGATTTTTAATTATCCTAATAAGTTAATAAAACTTGTAATTAGGAAATGCAAACTCGTGATTAGTTTTTAGACATTAAAATATACAGCAACACAGTAAGGTCACATAGCGATTGTTCAGAACACCTCTTGAGTACAACCACAGACGTTACGTAAACTAGTTTCATGAAATAATCCTATGTCCCTGGAGGGATTCTAACCCACAGTGGTGAGGGGCAAGTTATGGACACTAGTCATGTTATGCATTTTAATGATAAAATTTTAATAGGGAAAAAAGCCCTGTTTTGCATTGTTTTTCGAATTTTTCTCCATATTCTACCAACAATTTGATCATGGGCTTCAAAGGTAAATGTGAATTGCATGAAAATCTCATTAAAATAGTTTTTAAAATCCATTCCAATGTCAATGGTCATTCAATAGTTTGTGTTCTTCATCATACACGTAAAATTGTCGAACACAGACACGCCTAAATGTTGTGTAGTATGACAAGACATGCGAAAACTAACAAACTAAACGTCCATTATCTACTGTGGCACAAAGGTGACATGTGTGTGTTTTTATTTATCTCGTGCGCACGAGATACTATGTCGTGGCCACGAGTTACTTAGTCCATTGTAGTCGTGCCCACGAGATACTATGTAATGGTCACGAGTTACTAAGTCGTCGGAACGAGACAATTTAGTAGTGCGCACGAGATACTATGTCGATGCCATGAGTTACTATGTCGTGATAAGTGCTGCGCACGAAATACTATGTCGTGGCAACGAGTTTTTCTAAGACGTGCGCACGAGAAAATTGAGTTGTTGGCACAAGTAAGTATGTCGTGCCAACTAGATAATTACGCACGAGATGATTAACCAATCAGATAACACGATATATATATATATATATATATATATATATATATATATATATATATATATATATATATATATATATATATATATATATATATATATATATATATATATTTTTTTTTTTATGAACTTTTTTAAACTGCAAAAATCCTGGTTTAAGTTTTACATGCAACATTAATCTTTGAAACCACTGAAGGCATCCACTTTAAGTTTGATACATATCTTTAGGATCATATTAGGAGATCACTATCGAAGGCACATAGATCAGACTTTAACTTTGACTAAGTTCTGGCCCTTTGTAGGGACCATCCTCTGATATGGATGATCAGCTTGTACGTACTAACGGTCATATGATACTTTGAGAAGGAATAAGCCCTTGATTATTTTATTTGGTAGGGATATTGTCCATGGCCAGTAGATGGTCTTCATTGATGTTTTTAGGTTAAAGGTCAAAGTAACCATGACACTTCATGTAAAATCCTTGTCTGATGAATAACTTGAGAAGAAATAAGCCATGATTAATTTAACCTGTGACAACTAATAATTTTAAGGGCATTGGGTCACAAATCAAGGTCACAATGACGCTAAATGTAAAATCATTGTCGTATCAATAACTTTTATATATTGCACAGTGACAGACGGGTGAAGACGGGACAGCATTGTCCTATGGCACATTTATAGTAAGGTAAGACAATTCATATATATAGTGTAAGCTGATTGGTTAATTATCATGTGCGCACGACTTAATTATCTCGTGCGCACGACTTAGTAACTTGAGGCCACGACATAGTATCTAGTTCCCACGACTTAGTAACTCGTGACCATGACATAGTTTCTCATGAGCACCACTTAGTAACTTATGGCCGCGACATAATATCTCGTTCGCACGAGATAAATAAAAAAGCACAAATGTCACATCTGTACCACTCTATAATTGCTGTCAACATTCCAAAATAATACTATTAACATCTTTAATCGAAAACAAATCATTTATTTTTCATTGATCTATGCAATTAAATTATGATGAAGCATTTTTCTATTGCTCATGATCTATTTGTTAAAAGTCAATGTATCAAATAATCATTAGGCGTTTTACTAAGCTATCAATTTTGTTTTAAATTTGTTCCGCACACCTCACATGTTATAGCCGACAATTTCGTATTTTCTAGGGTGGATGAACTTATGGATTTGCTCAAACACAAATCTAATACAAAACATACACATACAAATACATGCAATCATTTATTATTATTATTATTATTATTATTATAATTATTATTATTATTACATGTATTATAGTTTCCGCTGTAAGTAATATTTTAACATGCTGTCGGATATCCCTGCACACATTGAAGGTCGAAGGCCGGTTGTTCAGCAGCTCGCACTCTTCTATTTTCGCCGGAATTTAAAGTATTGTTAAGCCTAGTTATATTACATGTAGTTATGTAAGCAGACAATTTCCTACATCAAGTATATAAATTTTATTGAATGTCAAAAATGATTTCATATAATTACTAGTACTTATGCAGTCAAAGACTGGTGCTTAAGAACATTGAAACTAAAATTCAAGTAAAAACGGATGTTTTTTGGGGGAAAGACATGTCTTATCTTAAGTAAGATACTTATTAAGATGAAACATGTACAATTGCAAGAAAAACAAATGATGCTTGATACGATATTTATTGAAATTCTGGAAATATGGTATAAATTTGTCTGTGTGATATTGAAACATTTTGAATGCTTTTGACAGAATTTTAAACATAGAAAGTAGAAAATATCTTTATTGATTAAAGCAATTCAAAACATTGTGCTAGAAAATTTTACAGTTACCACCTTCTTTGAAGGAAAATGGAAATTTTGAAATTGTTTCTTGAAGACATTGACACAATCATTTTCATGTTTAATGTTTTAGTTAGACCATCAACTGCAATCCGTGTAACGACCATGATGTTTAAGAGGGGCGCTACTCTCCCGTGTACAAGTGAATGCTTTGATGTCAACTTTATAGGAGGGAGGCTTCAAATAAAATTTAACGTAGGTAATTTTAACGCATGATATCAATGAATAAAGTTCTTTATTAAATATTTATGTCAAAGCAGATAAATCTTTTCTTTGTCTTTTATCAAAGCCTTACACACGTATCAGTCATCACAGTTCTGAAATATATAGCATACATGTATTATGTTATAATGTAAGTTATACAGATTTTTGACACCATATAACCTGTCAAAATCTTTTATAACTCATAATATAAACGCGCGTTATAGCGCTAATGTGAGCGTTACACTATAGGCGCGTCAATAAAAAATGACTCTTTTTAACAGTTTACCATTCTTATTTTATATATGTGATAAATAGAATATTATATTCGTGTATATTCAATACTAAATTTATTGAACTCGTTGAACAAAATAAAATAATGCTCGCCGGAGACTCGCATACTATGATTTTATTTAACCCGTTCTATAAATTCAGTATTAAACATATACTCATTCAATATCCTGTATAAAGAAACGTATGCATGCATGACACTATGTTACAATTAGTTTGTTACATTTTTTACTAATTGATCATATAATCGCCTGAGCTTAAAGTACGATGGAAACAGAATAGTTCTCAATATAAATGAATTTGTATGAATGCATATTAATATCTTGTTTGAACAGCGATAAAGCTGCGGTCTCCCTTACTCCCGGCAGAGCCCAGGACCATCCCCGTAAGTTACCGGGATGATCCGGGACGATCCGGGGTAGAAAATATTGTTCCAGTCACACTAAACCCGGCAGCACTACGGTAATTCCCAACTAACCATCCAGGATGCGCTCCGGATCATCAAGGCAGAGCCCAGGTGAAGCTACGGTTCATGCCGGTGCTTCCCCTGTCGTTCCCGGATGACGCCGGAAGAGCCCAAGTTGACCCAGGCAGAGCCCCGGTCGATCCAGGCAGAGCCCAGGACGATCCAGGTAGAGCCCCGGTAGAACCCTGGTGGATAGAAAATGCGCGAAAATGATAACATTGATACATAATTTTTATTTAATATAATATCTTTTATTCCAGAATAGTGATTCATGATGATTTTCTGAAAAATTCTTATGCAAAACTGGATAGAAGAGAAATGGGAAGACACTGGTTGTTCCCGGCATAGCTTAGGATGAAACCGGCAAAGCTATACTTCCCGGATCATCCCTGACCACCCCGGTACTATTAAATATTTTATCCCATCCGGGGTCGAATGCCGGATGTTCCCCGATCTTCCCGGACGTTGCCGGGAGAGTAACAGATATACCCCGGTTGTCCCTGGTCGTACCCCTGACATCTTCCTGGGCTCTGCCGGGATGTCAGTGAGACTGTAGCTTAAGTTGTTGATATGGTTGACTGGCATTTGCTTTAATAAATTGTGTCTTACAAAATGTTGACAAAATATATTTTTTTAATAATAAGGAATAGGTCAACAATACATACCTAGGTTTTCTGTTTACCTGTGAAAAAAAAATAAAATAACTAAATTGTTTTAAGCAAACTGTAGAAAAAATTACAATACAACTTAAATTTTCTAACTTTATAATTATAGTGATGTATATAAAGCTCTTTCCAACTTTATCTAATATAACGACTATGCTAACGCCATTTTGATAACTTACATGCTTGAAAGAAAAATTGGGGAAAGAAAATCAAACATCTTAAACATAGAGGTGTTCAAGGACTTACGTTTCGCTTGTCATGTTCGGCAACTGGAATGGAAGGAAAGAATCTTTAATAAAACAACTCGAAAAACAGGTCGTGAAAGACATGATTCAAGTCAATGAAAAATTTAGTGCTACAAATTCGAACCGATTTATGACATCTTACTTGATATAGTTCAGAATTATAAGATTTTTTTTACCTGGAATTCTTTGAATTAAATCAAGTCCCTTACATCCTTCAATCACATTTCCTATGGTTTCCTGTCTTATGAACGTAAATGTTCTAGCTCTATTACTTTTTTCAAATTTAGCAAAAGTTTCCTTTATATCTTTCAATTTTTTTCGCGAACGTATTGCCGTGACAAATAACCTTATTGGATCATTTTTCTCTATCTCCATTGTCATTTTCATTGCAGATAGATTTTCTCTCATATTTGATGCATTTACTTCTAGCTTCTCTAAACATCTTAAAGTCTCGGTTTTTGTATCGTTTGCCTCTTCACAAGCATCAAAAATCAGGTAATCCATCTTTTCCTTTATCGTTTTCCTAAAGCTCTCGGCGTCTCTGGTAAATGTTTTATGTGTAGCGTGTGTACTGTCCATGTTTGTTTTAATATCCTTTTCGTATTCTTTTATTTCGTTGCTGCATTTTTCAATCTCTTTTATGGCTTCGTCTAAGTATTCATTTTTGTCTACATTATCTAAACTCATCGTCTTATCCGATATATATGATACTTCACATGTTTTATGCTCGAAGATTATGCAGTCTCTACAGCCAATCACTCGATGCGTTGCGCAATAAAACGTCAAAGGTTGTTGATCATGCTTCGGACATATATCTTGCAAACCTCCTAATTCTTCGTCCACAGCCGACGAACCATCAATACAAGCTGTATCTAGAAACGTATGGTTCCTACACATCTTTCCCCTCCGATGATGCTGAAAACACTCAGTACACATGTTCTCTTGACATTCATTACAACGGCCTTTAGCTGCTGTTACATTTCCATCAAAAATGCACGGTTTACACATAATATCTTTACCGTTTTCAGATTTTTCATAAATAGAAACATTACCTTCCGCTACAGCCATTTCAATACATGTACTAAATTAATATAATATTCTTTTAGAAAACAATTTTTACAAGTAAAGTTAAATCCCATACAACTTGCTTTGCGTAAACAACTGTATTATAAAGTAATCCGATCGATATGGATTTTGAAATATGGTCTATATAAATATTTAAATAATACATTCCATACATACTGTACTACGAAAACCAAATAGCGCCATTACTTCAGTTTAACGCTTTACGAATATCCCAATTTTAGATATTAACTACAATCATGGTAGACGTTTATGCATTTTTATATAAAATTACAACAAATTATTGATTTCAAGAAAAGTCTAAAATTCTAAATGATGTGGTAAGATCTGCGATGTTTTTTTTAAACCGTACAACTGACAAGATAAATCTTAAAGTAAACAAAAATATTTATTATATGTAAATTTGATAGTAAAATATATCCTTAACATGATAATTAATGCGTCCGTATTTCAAGTCGTGTGAAAAATTTTGTCGACTATGGTAACCATCAGAATATCAAACCTTGGTAAAATTGAAATGATTTTGCACAATTAAAAAAAAGTTGTAATTATATAAATGATTGAATTTGATCTGATATTTATCGTTGATATCGATAAGACACATATTATACAAAATCTTAAAATATTTTTTATTTACATGTACATAATAATAAAAAATGAATAAATATTTTCGCGATATTTCCTTATATTAGAAAAAATATTCTGTCAGTTGCTGTTAAATAATTTCAATTGATGTTGGTAATTTTCTTGTAGATTTTTACATGATGCTTCATTATTTAACCGGATGAAGAAGTTCAATGCCATGGTGATATTAGTAAAATGCGTGACTGTGTGGTCGAGTGGTGAACGCTCTAATGATTGTTGGTCACGTGTGTTCATTTCCCGTCACTGGCATGCCGTTGTTAACGTAAAACTATACATATCCTGCATAGTACTGGTTGGTTCCAGGAACGGTATATATAATGACAAATGACCCTGTGACATAAAGATTGTTATATAAGCTAGTTTTCAGCACAATCAAATTTAAATAAATTCGCATAAACTAATGAAATTTCTGATCTGTTCTAGAAAAAGTAAGGCTGACTGGAAAGCTTTAACACATAGAGAAATGTATCTTTCTTGGTAGGATTCAAATGTATTGCTTTGAGTGAAAGGATATACTTATTCACCTCCTGATTTATTAGAAATATGTACTACATGTCAGCACAAGTATAACCCCCTATAAATAGCTAGTAAAAATTACTTGTAATAGACTTCAGAAAAAAGGTTTTTCCATTTGATATTCTTAGTTTCCTATCCTCGCTTTCTCTCGGGAAATTGTACTCTTACCTATTAAAATGAAAATATTTGAGGGTTCTCAGGTATTAATTAACGTAGAAGAAAACATGCAGGAATAGATATAGTCTTGTGACCATACGCCGCTGTTACACTGTTTTTAATATGCGTGACTCAGGGCACAATGTAAAAAGCTTAATTCCATGACGGACGCGATAGTTATATTATAAAAAACAAATCTGACTTATTAAATAAGTCGGCCTTTGGGCTCGAGTTTTAAATACGTCGATGTGAATGCACGAAAGAAAGGTGTATTAAAATAAGAAATAATATATCCCAAACTGTGATTTAATCGCTCAATAACATCACTGTTTGGAGTTCGGATGCGAGGAATTATATCACGAGGACGTAGCCCGAGTGATATAATAATGCGCATCCGAACGACAAACAGTGATGTTATCCAGCGATAAAATCACCGATTTGGATATATTATTTCGATTCTAACACGACATCAACAAATTAATGCTGCCGTACCTGATATTAAGCAAAATTGCGCCTGATTTGTTTCCGTACTTATTGTCAGCGCGTGGTTACGTCACGTGTATAATGATTACGTCACATGTCTAAATATAGAACGTCAAACAGTGATTTTATAGCATTCGGTTCTTCTATGTTCAATAGGGAAAATGCGGGTCGTGTTAGAACCTGTATTAATACCTTATTTAGTCCAATTTAAAGGATATTTGTTTGCCATATATTTTCTTGTTGTGATTGTGCAAAAAAGTTTTGTCACTGTTGAGGCGCCGTAGTTTTAATCCAGGGTAATATAGGTGAAACTCTTTACAGTATGATAAATATAGTTTGTATAAAGTCTATATAAATACCTAGGCCTTAACCTGTACACTATTTATCGATCGATATTTCAATTATTTACTTGTAAAGCGTTGTATGTGTTTAAGCTTTAAATACAGTATTTATAGTTTCGTTATAGCATAGAGAATTTAACTACTAAAATGGAAGTATCTGGACGAAAAGGACATATTGTTTGTGAACCGTGTGCAGAAGATGGAGACGACATTACTGCTGACGGATGTTGTAAAGAATGTGAAGAGAATATGTGCAGTAAATGTTTTCAACATCACCGGAAGGGCAAACATTGCAGAAACCACGTGTTTCTCTATGCATATTGTGGTTCACCATCTGCTTTAAAAATAAAGCCAGTAGGATTGATAGACAAATGTCCAAAGCATGTTGAAGAGAAAATAAACTTCTACTGTGAAGCTCACGAAATAGTTGGTTGCGGAGAATGCATAATACACGAGCATAAAACATGTGAAGTTTTATATATATCAGATGTGACAAGGGGACAAAACGAACATGAGTATATAGAAGAGGTTGTTAAAGAAATAGAAAATTGCAGCAACGAAATTAAAGAATACGAGAAAGAAATACATAGAAATATTGCGAAAATGAAAGCTGCACATGTAAAATTCACTTGTGATGCTGAGCGATTTAAGCAAGAGATACTGGAAAAAATAGACAAACTCATATTTGATGCATGCAAACAGGCCAGTTTTATAAAAACTGATACCTTGAGTGCATTAGGGAAGCTAAAGGTAGAAGTATCTAATATAACAGATGAGTTATCATCAATGAAAACTAAGGCCGGCATGGAGAAAAATGAGCCAACCGGTAACTTTGTCATGGCCTTATGGTTAAGAAAGCGATTAAAGGAAATAGAAGAAGATTTAATAGAAATTGGCAAAAGGACTATTGGGACAAAATATAGGTTTCTGAAAAATGAAAACATTGAACAAGAAGTTGAAAAATGCAAGGGACGTGACTTATATCTTAGAGGTCCAGGTAAGAAAAATGATTAAATTGCACTAAATGATTCCTATTTATTTTTTAAATGACACGCAAATGCCATTTCACATTAAGCGCTCGTTATTCGGAAATATTTGACAATCGTCTATTTAGCATTTTCTAAGTATGTCTTCATATTGTCATAAATTTTATTTTGTTTCATTTTATAAAAAGATACGTTATGTTTTTCAGATGATGAACTGGACAAATATGTGAGCATGCATTTTACAAAATATTGATTATATTATTATTTAAGTCCCCTATTGGCGGTTTTAGAAAGTCAAATTTATTTCATAAATGGATACATGATGACAGCTTGACAAAATGCAATCTAACTTAAGTTCAGATATACTTTTTTCTACAGTGTGTACGTTTTGGGAGCTGGTTTTAATCAGATTGATAAATATAGCTCGTAACTGTACACTAAATGTCAAGGTAATATTACAATAATGATACTCATAAAATAATTAAAGTAATGGTGAAATATTGGCATAGAACTTTGGCCTGAATGTGATCTCTTCTTTTAAATTTTGAACTGACTTTGAGTTCTTCTTTATCTATTTTAGGGTATCAGGAACCCAAGGTATGTGTCTTTGTCTCTTTTTGTCTTCTTAAATACTGTTGAGAACATGAATTAAAAATATTATTAGATTTAATTGCCCACAAATGGTATAGTCTTAAGCGGAGGTCAGCGATCTATTATACCGTCATTGGCTACTTCACAGCTGATTAAAAATTAGATACTGGTTATTTGTTTCACTGAGTTAAAGTATCTAAGTCATATTTATGTTAAGCTTGTATCGTAATTGTGAATGGAAATATCAGTATGATTTATTTTCGAACAAAATGTTCAAATTGTCTTTCAGAAATTCAGAAATAAACTATTTGTCACATGTTTGTCATTGCCGTTATCTTGTCAATGGAGACAGAGATTTGCCGATTAACAAAATCTGTTTTATGAATAAATTATTTATTTATTATGTATTTAAGAACGGTTATCCTAGAGAAAGCTTCTGGAGTTTTTGGTTTAACAATAAAAGGAGGTGGTGATAAGCAACTGCTATTTGTACATAAAGTTGTACCTGGTACACCAGCTGCAAATTCTAACAAGATACTGCTTGGAGATAACATCATTTCGGTAAGAGCGTAAATAATTAAAAAAAAATATTGAAATGGAATAAAAATAGCCAAACTTTGCAAAACCTTTTTTTTTTTTACAATAACTCAGGTTTTCAAAGAATGGTGATATTACCGTAATGGTATTACCGTAATAATTGTAGTTATTATCAAGTAAAAAATTGTATTAAGATAAGATCATAAAGCGAAAGAACTCATAAATCAACGAGAAAATTGAGCATTCTTGACGATAATAAGAATGTTATACTGTTTTTATTGGCTTCTTTTTAGTATGGATATTTTGACATCTGATTCACTTTGAAATAGCGCGTAACTTATAAGACGAAGCCTCCTCAGTATTCATATATATTTTTTTAAATATTTAAATGAAAACCATGTTGTCAAGATCCTGGACCCTTTAGAAAAGCCCCGTAACTCTTTCCGGTTCCCAAATGGGTACCTTTTGGGTAGTCCTGTGTGCTGTGATGTTGTCGGGTAAAGTATTCCCATAACGGTTAAACGTTCTGTCTCGTATCGCTCTTCCTTGGATTTAATCTTATAACCTTCCCATAGCGAGACCTATCTTACATAATAAAGGACAAAAGGTTAAATATGAACGAATGTTAGGAGTTTATAACTATTAATACTTTGCATTTCGTGTTTTTCCGTACCAGATGATTCTTTGAATAAAAATCAGACTGTGCTGCAAACTGATACTTGGAGGTGGAAAAGTAATTTCAGTGATAGAATTTCAAAGTAAGATATGTATGCATAACAAAAAAAGGGAAAAAAGAAATAATTCAAAACAAAGAGGGACAATCCTGTCGCATATTTCAAAGATAACATTTAATACAAACAAGCGATATCTTGACATAACTTAGATACTTTTAGATAAAACATTTTAATTATTTTCCCAAACTTACAGAATTAGATTTTCATGACCGGAAAATGCTTCGAATGATATATTTTTTCATAGAAATATCTCAAATTTGTTAACTTGTCTCTTTCTGAACGAACACCACTTCACAGGACTTTCAAAAATGTTGGACATATTGCGAAATATTAATTATTTTTTATAATATTTCTGACTGGTGTTACTTATTTTCATCATTTACCAATTATTTTAATAGATAAACAACGTAGATGTAACTAAGGCGTCTCATCGTGAAGCAGTTTCCTTAATGAAAAAATCTGAGAAAACAATTCTACTTCTTTGCCGCCCAGAAGGTAAGGACATTCTCGAAAAATGTATAAGCTTTTTTTATCTACTGTACAAAATATAGTTTTATCACAGACATAAACACACAGATTTTATCTGACCTTTCGTTTGTAGAACTTTCTTATTTTAGAATAACTTGATTTACTGCTTACGATTTTGTTTCAACCTGTGTTAGAATCTTAAAAGTATGCGTATATTTTTTTTTTTATAAATTTCATTACTGAATGGTTTGAACAATTTTACCCGATTTCAGATTTCAACGCAAAGAAGTAGCTATGAACTATAGAAAGTTTTAGAAGAATGAACAGCATGAACTGTTTCAGTAACAGGTAGGAGGCAATATGCCCGAAATCAAAAAGATACATCAGATCAAGACTTGGATTAAATACTTATATCATGATGAATGTGTTTTTAATCTGAAAGGGAGCATTGTGTAGAAGGAAAATGTCGCTTAAGTATTTCCATCTAAATGTATTATAACAACGCAAAAATTTGCAAAAATAATAATTATAAAAAAAAATGTTTCAATGTTACTTTATTAGTCATGTCAGAATGAGTATGGCCGTGGTTTGTTTTTGTAAACATTTGGTTTTTCACCATTTATTTTTGTTTTTGTTTGAGTTGTCAACTCAAACATATACAGATATAAGAACGGGCAATGTATTCCATTAGGGAAAATCTCTTTTGTCTCCATCCCGACAATCGCTATGACTGTCCTTTACTGCTTATGTTATCCTACATACCTTTCCAATGTTTCAGCCATTTTAACATCTTGTGAGAAATTTGGCATTTCCAACAAAGATAATGTTTCGTTTTCTTCAGACATCTGGAAAGAAAATGATTTGACCTTTCAAGTATCTGACAAAAAATGTTTTTGCTTTTCTGACAGAAGGCAATACAATATTTTGGTATTTCTGACATCTGACAATAATTAGTTTTTGGCCTTTCAAATATCTATGCTTATGTTTCTAAATTAAAACAAGAGCACCGCAAAGGCCGGTTAATATACTCACGAACGAACTTTGTTTGAGAAATCAGAAATAATCTTTCAGTTTGGGAAGAGACGCATTCATAAAAATAAGCGAGAACAAAGATCAACAAGGCAAAGGAAACATTCACAGGATGCAGCTCCCGATTTAACTTTACCAACATTTTTTTATCTTAATTATCTTTGAAATACTAAATAACCCCCGGGATGAGAGCATCTTGACTCACTGGTGATTGATTAAACTTTTATAAACATCTATTAGGCTATGCTACATGCTATAAATATATAAAATGTGAACTTTGTTGTTTTTAACACTAAAAGTTGATGCATTTTCTAATTCATCAATCAACACAAGTATGTGACCCACATGGCATCGGGTCGGTGTCAATACTGACCCAAGGGGGAATTTCGTGGAGGTCCACAATGTAATGCTACACACCAACTATTTCAACTCTCAGCATAGTAGTTTTGCCAAATAAGAATTTAATGTATTTTCCTAAATTTATCTATGTTAATAAAGTGATCATTAGGGCATTGCAAATATTAATCCTTGGTTTATATAAATTGTTAGGCAATCCACAAGATATTGTTACATGCCAAATATCTAAGCTCTGGGCATTGTAGTTTCACAAAATAAGACTTAAATGGTTTCCTTAAAGATTTTATAAATCAAGTATCCCCCCTCCCCGAGGGCGGGGCCAATATTTACCAACTGGTTAAATGATGGCATTGAAATTGTAAAAAATCATTGTGATACTATTATATGGTTAAAGCTAGATCATTGAAAATGATATATATATATTTGCGGTGTATATATATGTTGTGAGGATTGATCTGCATATAATGTTTTTAATACTGATTTATTTGAACTTTTAGAAAACGATATTTCCGTCTTCAGTCAGCAAGGTTCGATATATATTGTAGGCGATTATAATAGCAGAGTTGGTAATAAGCATGATTTTAATACACACGATTGTTTAAATTCATATACAGACGATTATGACTATATTCCTGATGAACATCTTTTCCGGACCTCTGTAGACAAAATTAGTAACAGTCAAGGTATTAAACTCCTTGATCTATGCAAATCTTCATGTCTACGAATAGTTAACGGTAGAATTGGCGAGACATGTAAATATACGTACGTCTCATCCAGAGGCGCATCGGTGATTGATTATTTATTAACCAGTGAGTCCATACAAAATTTTACCATTCAGTCTACAAATGAATGAAGTGACCTGACCATACACCTTTATATTTTTCAATATCGTGTTAAAAGTATTCAAAAAAAGTGCGAAAAAAGTCAAGAAATTATGTTTAAATGGAATAGTGACCGTAGAAATGAATTTCGCAGTGGTCTTATTGCAAAATTGCCTGAGTTTAACAGAATTATTGATAATATTGATTTTACCAACCGTGACTGTGTAAATAGTGTTTTAAATAGTTTTACATCTGTGTTACGCAATGTAGCAGATCCATTATTTGGTAAATGTTGTACTTTTAACAATGACGTCTATCTTAGTGATAGCTCGTGTATATGTTAATAATATCTGTCATACTTTGCGGTTCGGATCGGAATATCCGTCCCGAGGTGGGCGGTAACGAGGCTTGCCGATTATTATTCTGATTATTTTTATTATGCTATTGGATTACGTCAAGGGGAGGTAATTTCACCAATTTTATATCTCTCTTTGTAGAGGATTTAGAGCTATATTTGCAAACTGGTTAAGAATCAGGACTGTCATTTGATGATGTTATTTTGTTTTTATTGTTATTTGCTGACGATATGGCCATCTTAGGCAAGTCACCATTGGAACTGCAAAACCATTTGGATCTTTTACATTCATATTGCTCCTCTTGGGGATTAAAAGTAAATACAAGCAAAACAAAAGTAACGGTTTTTCGAAAACGAGGGGGGTTATTACAAAATGAGAACTGGACCTATGATGGCCAAATTTTAGAAGTTGTGAATGATTTTTATTATTTAGGTACTGTTTTTAATCATACAGGTAATTTTTCGCTTAACGAAGAACACTTGGTAGGGAAAGCTTTAAAAGCTCTTAATGTTTTGTTTTATAATTGTAAAAAGTTTGATCTCAAACCTAAAATATTATGTCAATTATTTGATGCTTTCATTGAGTCTATTTTAGGATACGGGTCTGAAATTTGGGGATACACGAAATCTAAAGATTTGGAAAGAATCCACTTAAAATTTTGTAAACGTTTGCTTAATGTTAGAGCGAATACTTGTTCTGCTGCAGTTTATGGTGAGTTGGGGCGTTATCCGCTGTATGTGACTCGTTACGTTAGAATTGTCAAGTTTTGGTGTAAGTTGAAAAACACTGATAATATTGTTTTAAAAACTATGTATGAAGATGGTTTATTGGATTGTAATAAAGGACACCGCAATTGGGTTTCAAATGTTAAAAACTATTCTGTAATTATGGTTTTGCTGAAATTTTTAATGAAAATTGCGTTGATGCAAAAGTGTTCCCTATCATTTTTAAAAGCAGAGTTATAGACATTTATATACAAGAATGGACAGCTACGTTAGAACGTAGCCCAGTTTTGTTTAATTACAAGAAGTTTAAGCTTAATTTTGGTTATGAAAGTTATCTTGATATTCTGCCTCGTAAATATAGATATAATGTTTGTAGATTATGATTATCTGTACATCCTTTAAGAATACAGACTGGGATATACAATAGGAATAATACACCTCGTGATCAACGATATTGTTTATGTTGCAATACATTTGACATAGAAGATGAATACCATTTTATATGTGTATACCCTTGTTTTAATAGTCTTCGAATGCAGTATCTTAAAAAAAGTTATTATGTTAGACCATCTGTGTTTAAATCTATAAGTCTACTTTCAACGCAAAATAAAAGTATTTTAATTAAGTTATCTAAATATATCCATGAATCTTTATCGTTGAGAAACACAATTATTAACACTTAACAAAACTGATTTGTAATTATCATCTTGCATAAAGTTTGTCCTCTTTAATCATTGTTTATTTATTTAAGAACGTTTATAATTTGTTTATTTTCGTATGCCATGTGACTATGTTTAATCAAATCTTTTGTTAAACAAGACGATGTACCTATGTATAAGTCTGTAAATAAAATTCTGTACTGTTCTGTTCGGTATTATTTATATCACTTTAGTACAAGTTTACAAGGCATGCGGCATGACAAATATCTAAACACCGGGCATTGTAGATTCACAAAATAAGACTTGAATTTTCCTACATAAGCCTATACAAACCAAGTGACGCCCGGGCGGGGCCAATATTGACTCCAGGACCATGCTTAATATTCAGAGTTCAAACTTTTGTTCTGCACGTCGTCTTGTTAAATGTAACAATTCTGCCAAATAGCTTTTATTTCCTTACATTGGTACAAAAGATTATGGTTAACATTTCTCGTCTCCCCAAATATTGCATCAACGTCTTCGTACAACATACGAAAATATGACCAGTTGAGACATGTTCATTCCCGAACTAACCAATATTACAATTCTTCTTACCCTTGACAGTTCGTGATTGGAAAAATCTATCAACAGATGTAAGAAATTCACCCACTTTAAAAGTTTTTAAAAGTAAAGTTATGCCAGTCCGGAATAGTATAGTACGCCCGCTTATTATTACAGCGGATCACAATTGGCACAGGTCTTACATGCTGGGCTTCGCATGAATTGTAGCAAACTAAATCATCACCTTTTCACTGGTAATATAGTCCAATCTCCCCTTTGTCATTGTGGAAAACCTGAAAACAACTATCGCTATGTCACTTTTATAGTTGCCACCGTACATGACTTCTCACAAAAGTGAAAATTTATATCATTACAACCGTAACTACTTTCATTCAGCAGCGAATGAATTACAAAATAATTCATAACGGTAAAATGACGTCATCTTTATCGTGCCATCAAATCACTCAAAATGTCTCTCATCATACTCTCCTGTTTGGGGATGTTATTCCTTCTCAATCAGACAATACGGAGTTATTTCTGGCCGTCCAAAAAATACCTAATGGATAGTGGGAGGTTTGCATGACGAGTAAATATTGCAAAGTAGTGTCTACGACTTAACTATGAAACTGGTAAACACTTAAAAAAATAATAATAGTTTTGCATATGTGCTGAACAATAATTTGTTTATTCATCTCTAAGTGTTGGTTTTCATCCTAATCTTCCTTCTTCTCCTTCCCTTTCTTTATTTTTTTGTTAATATACTATACTAAAATATCTATCAATTACTAATATTGTAAGTGTTTTTCCATATAACCTAGTTTTGTGATTTTTTTTCCCAAAAATATTTTATATACAATCAATAGAAGCGGTTATGGTACACATTTGTTTTATGCTCTTTACTTGCTCAACTACCAGCCATGCATTAGTGTTATTGTAATTTATGGAGATTGACTTTAATAAGCACCTAGTGCTTCCGTCAAAATCCATTGCGTGTATAATGTTAGCATGGTTGTTAAAATGTATCTATAATTTATGATTACAAAATATGCAATAAAATATGTTTTAACCAACATTTCGGCCAGACAGTTGCAATTTTCTCTTATCGCTTCAAAAGATACAGTCTGGAAAGAAACTAAACTGCTAACAGACGGTCGGACAGACGGAAAACCAGGTGCATAACAATATACGCCGATGTTCCAGCATATAAACATCATCATTTTTATGTTTAAATGGTGAAATCTGCATATCAAATACATGTTAGCTGGTGTTTGAGGGCGTGAATACCATCAATGTACAGACTCAATTAAACTAAACTTGCAACATTATCATTTTTGCCGTTTTGCGCGTTCTTCAGGGATAAGCGTTTTTTTACATTCTGTCCATTTGACTAGCGCCGTCAGATCGTGATCTGTACTATTCACTATTCAGTCTAGATATATTTTTGAAAAATAGATAAACATCGAAAATGATGAATTGTCCTCTTTAGATTGGAACATCGACATGTCCATTTCAATTATTAAGAAAATGTTATGAAATGAAAGCCTTGCGAACATTATGTTTACATGATCATTTACCTTCAAAGAGATCAAATTTTCGGATCTAATTTGTGATTTCTTTTTGTATCTCGTTTTAGAAGAGAGAGCGGCTAAAAATTTTAATATTATTTGTACGTTAAGCTCAAAATAAAATCTTATGCTCTTTAAGCATATCGAAAGTTAAATACTTTATTATCTTTATTGAATACATTGTTTCCTTGAATAATTTACATTAATTTTGTACTTCATAGATAATGTCTTTCAATATTTCTGACATAATAGCAATAAAGCAATAAAGCGTTCATTGCTGTTTACAATAACATTCCAGTTATTACATGACTTGTATTATCAGTCTGAGGTCGTTGTACACTGAACAGCTGCTCTTCATTTTCAACAATATACACATTTCGTTTAAGACAAAATGAGCAAAAGTAAAGTATCTGTCAATGGCCAGTGCATCTAAAATTTGCTAAGGCATTTTCGCGTTTACCTACACAAGGCATACTACTACTCAATGACCAAAACATTAATTAGAAAAAGATTTTTCATACATCTTTTTACTTATAGCTTTTGTCCATGAATAAAGATGGATAAAATAACTTCTGAATTTTATATAGTATTGTTTTGACAATTTTCTATAATTCCATAATGGGTAACTTCATATGATAGGTCAACTTAAACTAAAAGGTAATATCTACTGGAATTACATTGTGCACTCATGCTACTTCGATGGAAAAATTCTATATCAGTGTTTTAATTGATAAAACAAGGAATGACTCTTACAGAAGAGTTTTTAAAACATATTTATTTAAGCTCGATTGCGGAATAAGTTCTTTCAACTTATATAAATCACTTACAAGTCCGCTTCCCGGAACCAACCAGTACTGCTGTAAAATGAAGAAACATTGTCGTGACCCGATTAAGGTTCGTATCCATGACCCCTGGGTTTAGAGGCAGACTTGCTGATGAGTCATAACATAGTTGTGCTATCATAATGTGTTTGTATAAATTTGTTGTAAGGCACAGTTAAGATTTTGTACTACTTGTTGATTAGCTGTGCGTGGCGTTATATTTTGCAACGACACTAAACATGTCACTTAAAGTCGCGCTATGGCAACCACCGCTAAATGTCTCAAAATATTTTGCCGATAAATATCGCAATGATGACGTTA